TATGAAGCTTGCATGCACCAAACATCAGGCTAACATCACACATAAAACGAATCAAACTGTAGAAAACACAACAAACACATTTATTATTGAAAACCCAAACGAAAACAATGTTGAATTAAAGGAAAGTGATGTTGAAATGAATGATAATGCTTACACTCTTATTCTGAGCAACCAGGACAAACAATTCGAACAATATGTTTCCTGGGTATGTACCAATGTATTTACAAATACAATCATAGCTAACAAGAAATCCTATATGCAAACAATGGATTTACTCGATTCTAGTGCATCAATACATGCTACTCCTTATCTATTTTGATTAACAGATGTACACAACATAACTCCTACAATTGTAACTATTGCAAATAGGTCAACAATGACTCTTAATTGAGCTAGATCTATGTGTATCAAAATCCCAAAGAATATACAAGAAAAAAGTGTCATAACATTACAAAACATCTATTACTATCTACAAATGACCTTTTCCCTCATAAGTCAAGCACTACTATGTAGGGAAGGTTATTCTTTTATGTTTACAAATGATAATTGTACTATAACATCACTATGTAACAAATACATTAGACATATATGATTGAGAAATAACTTGTATATTTTGTACAATAATCATTTATTAAAAACAATGAACAAACTATCTATTTATAATATACATAAATGCCTTGGACACATAAGTTACAATTATATTAAACGATTATTAAAGACACAACCAAGTGTACTATCAACTAAAATAACAAACTACAAAGAAAAAGAATGTATTGAATGCATAAAAGCAAATATTGAACGTACACCAATACCAAAACTATGTCAATCTCCTCTTGCAAATCAATTTGGAGATCTTATTCATATTGATATTATTGGTCCTATTGAACTGTACACATATAAGAACATATGCTACTTATTAACAATTGTAGACGATTCTACTTGTTAGTGCATAATGCTCAAATTACAAACAAAATCTGATGCATATACACAATATGTACAATGAACAACTAAAATATTTACACAGCACAGAGTTAAAATAAAACTTTTACAAAGTGATAATGATACTGTATTCCTTAGTGAAGATTTCCAACAATATTTAGATTCACAAGGAACAAAACAAAGATTAACAGTACATCATACTCCACAACAGAACAGAATAGCAGAACAAATGCATAAAACTATATTTAGAGGTGTAAGAGCATATCTAACATCTACTGAATTACTATTTACATTATAGGCTGAAGCAGCAATTCATATTACCTATATTCATAATAGAACACCCTGTGCTGCTTTAAATTATAATACCCTACATTACAAACGTTACAGAACACACAGAACAATTGATAATATATACGAATTTGGTCAATATATTATCATTTGCAATGAAAATCCTACAAAAATACAACAGTAAGGTATCATCACTTGTTGGATAGGATTAGACAATGAAAGTAAAGGCTATAAAACTTGGCACAATAATAAAATTACCATCAAACAAAATATTCAATTTCTCGAAGGTAAACCTCCTCAAATTGAAGGGGAGAAAATAGACAATACAAACAACAATACAAACGAGTGTTTAATAATTAAAAATAACAAAACGGATGATAGAATAATAAGAACGGACGACAATGATACAGACAACACTGATCCTAACAAAAAAGGAAAAGCAGCAGAACCAACAGACTTAACAGACGACAAAGTTAAATTAACTGAAAAAGAAGTAGAACCTAAATTACATTGATTGGAACAGAAACAGAAACTGACAGAATGTGCTATTGAGCTTGAACAATGTATGGAGAATAAACATGTAACAAAACACATGTATGCACTTAGCAAAAAGGATGAAGATAATATTACCATTCATTTAACAGAATTTAATGCTAAAATAAGTGAAATACAATCAGATCCGACTTCATTTTATGAAGCAATCCAACGTCCAAATTGTGATTCATGGATTACAGCTATGAAAGACAAAATAAAACAATTAGAAAATCATAATACATGGGAAATCATGAATCCACACAATAATATTAACATTATCAGAACACAATTTGTCTATAAAATAAAGCAATACACTGATAATAGTATAGAAAAATATAAAGCACAATTAGTAGTTCAAGGAAACTATCAGATTGACAGCCTTGACTATCATACAGACAATTTATTTGCTCCTACTGTTAGACTATCTACAGTGCAATTAATATTAGTATGGGCAGCATCTAATAATTATGAAATACATCAGATAGATATAAAATTGGCATATCTGTATGGACAATTAACAGAAGACAAGGAAATATATGTTAAACCTCCTCCAGGTAACTTAATAGACAGATTACAGAATGGACAAATATTACAATTATGAAAAGCACTATACAGATTAAAACAAGCTGGTAGAAGATGGTATAAAACACTATCTAATATACTACTTAAATGCAGATTAACAAAATCCGAACATGATAACACTGTATTCTTCACAAAGAAGAAAGAAATAACTGTAGCCATATTATTTGTACATGTTGACAATATTACTATTGTGGCAAAGAATAATAATACTATTGTAATGATAAAACAATCTATTGCATGTCATTTACAATATACAGACAGTAGCAAATTACACTGGCTACTTGGTATAGAGATTCAATACAACAGAGAGTATAGATTCATCAGGATGTGTCAGACACGTTATATTAATAGTATAATAGAATGTTACAAACTTACAAACAAACAAAGTGTACAAACACCTATGCAGCCCAGTACACAATTAAAAACAGTATTGCAAACTGATAACAATAGAAAACAAATGTCTGATATACCATACATGAACATGGTTGGTGCACTTAGATACATTGTAGACTGTACACAGCCAGATATAGCATTTGCAACAAATCAGTTAGCAAAATACCTCAATGACCCCAGTATGGAGCATTATCTGGCACTTAAACATTGTTACATGTACTTAAAAACTACAAGCAATGTCTGGCTCCAACTTGGCAGCACAAATCAATCAATATTGAACAGCTATACAGACACAGACAGTATGATGCAAGAAGGGCATTGTGCAATATCAGGATATGCATTTTACTTGAGCAATTCATTAGTTTTGTGGTCAAGTAAAAGACAAACACTGGTGGCAAATTCAATGTATGAAGCTGAATTAATAGCTCTTGCAAGAGGAACACAGGAAGTGATCACACTTACTCATTTAGCTGAAGAGATTCTGCAGGTCTCTGATGCACCAATTAATATCTTTTGCAATAACAATACTGTTATACAAACAGTTACATTGGACAAACTCAAATATTCGGAACGAACGAAGCATTTAGATCATAAGAAAGATTTTATTAAATGCTACATTGAGTTAGAGTACATAAATGCGAAATACATACGGACGAACAATCAACAAGCAGATATATTAACTAAAGCACTACATGTACCACAAGTCAAACATCTTACCAGTTTACTTGGACTAGTAAGAGTTTGAAGGGGAGTATTATAAGATGATTAGTTCATCAACAGACAAACCACAAGACAATGACTTCATAATGTCTCAGTTAGAATACATACAATATAAGGATGAGAGACACTGAGTGGTCAATCGTCACCTCACCCCTTGTCTATACGTGCCCCCCTTTAAGTTCTCCCTCTCAACATGTACTCACTACATTAAGTGTGTAGGCCAGCTTTGTACTTACTGTACTGTAGCAGCTCATACTTTAACTCAAAACATGAGTGTTGTAAATTGATGTAGAGTATACTACTAATAGCCAATCTACTGTCCTTACACACTGTAGCAACTCCTGTATCCTTTGTACAAGGGCCTGTACTCAGTTGTAAACCTGATTCACTTCTTACAACAATGACATGGTTGAAGAAGAAGGACAAACTTGAAAAGAAGTAGAAGATTGAAACATAAAGTGTACTAGTTTGCAAATTTACACCCTTGGGTGTGACTGGGGACAGTCACATTCTAAAACACCTGGGAGATGTCATACTCATACAACATGTATGTTCTAATATGTTCCAATTGGAAGGGCTCAGTTGTATCAAAGTTGTATCATCCTCACATCAGCAATCCTTTAATTATGTTATCATTGCCTACACAATAGTTTTGGTCACTCAACTCAGACTAGTTAGGTTCCAGACTCTAGTTCCAATTCATAAAGGTAAGACTCTGAGCCTTCAGACAGCTAGTCAATCAATACAAAGGGGACTTGGATCCAGAGTCCTGGATAGGTTGATACAAAGGAGACAGTAGTGGATTTGTTCACAAAGGACTAGTAGCTACAAAGGACTCATAATTTCTATAAATACCCTCATGTAATTTGTACTTTCCAGCAATCAAGTTACTCTCTACTGTGACTCTTAGTGTGTAGTTTAACAGTCTCCTCAGTAAACATTCATCTTGCCTTGTCTTGTCTTGTATTGTCTTGTTCTGAAGTGTGGCTTTGTCATTCTGTACTACTCTTGTCTTGTTAATTGTCACCTTCAGAACTTGTATGTTCTGCTTGGATCTACCTATTCCTTCTCACTCTTGACCCCTCTCAGTGTCTGTACCTTGCAGACTCAACTGACCTCTTCTACCTCAACTAGTACTTGAGATTGACAATAGTCTAGAATGTATATAATAGAAAAAAACAAGAAAAGTTTTGTATAAAAAATTATGCAGAGGGTTCAAAAGGTTGTGTTTAAAGGACCAGTGAATGCCTGTAGCAACCAAACCACCCCTGCGTTACACGTTACGGTTGTACCCATACAGATGGGTACAGTACTTGACAACCTGTATTCGCATACATAACACCACGCCTGCTGCACATAAGCATCTGCATACGTTTTTCCAGTGCAGGAACAGCGCTGAGGCTGTGAATGATGTGCTAAAAACCTTGTTCCCTGGGCTACGTCGCGGATAAATAAACGATGTCGTCCTCCACTATCGCTCCATCGACATTTCCTTACTCCCATAAAGCAGCTGCAGCTCCGTCCCTGTGAACAAGACAAGCAAGATGCGCTCGATATTCATGACAAGTTCGAGGTCATTACCAGAGATGCACTCCCTTCTGGATGACGACGTCTCGTCGAAAGAGAGATCGTATACATCAGAATATACTTGTTCGCTATTCTCTGAAAGGCTGTCATCGAACCAGACATGCGACGACCTGCCTGGCCCGGGTCGAATTATAGACAAATACATCTATCAGCCTGGAGGGCGGTTTCTCGAACGAAAGCTAAATCCCCTCCTTTACGGCCGCGATCGATTACGCGAGCTGTACCAAGCTGAAACCTCCATCGATAACTTCTTCAAATCTGTAGCTTTGCAATCTAGCGGTTACTTTCTTGTCAAACACGGGTATTGGGATATCGACGGATTCAAAGTGATCAAGCTCAGCTTGTCAGGGCTGCTTTATTTCTGGGGAGGACAGAACATCAAAAGCTGGGACAATTCGATCGTTAGGGATCAGTGCCGGGTTATTGCGGCATCCATACGGTAACTTTGTCCTCGTTATCATTTATGTTTACTCTAATCCATCAATAAGCTCACAACGTCGCAACGTCAAACTCGAAGCTATCCGAATCGCTGCCATTCTTTTGAATAAGTACCCGAGACTGTGGAGATACTTCAATGTATCTTCCATTCGTCGAGAACTTCTGGCTGAAAAAGTTACACTTTCCGGAGGACCCTATTCGGAGTTCGACAAGACGAGTGGCTTTTACTCCTTGCTACACAACCTATCTTTGGAGCTACCACAAGACAGACTCTCGCGGACAGACTCTCTATCGACACGAGTTTCTCTACTCTCCTTTATCGCTGATGTCCTGGAAGATTATTCATCAGAGATGTGAGTGAATTCATGTATCTTGTGTATAGCAAGATGCAATGTTTACATTCTTTACATTTCTCCTTAATCAAAATGGGAAGAGAGTCGCACGTCGAATTACAGTGCTTCATCCGACAACTCTTGTACATACACGGTGTTCACATACTCTTCGACCTGAAGTCGAATAGCGAGTTTTCCGAAGTCGTTTTCTGGGAGAAGTACATTCGCCTTCTGGACAAAAAACCTGAGTCGTGGAGTCAGGATGATATAGACGTCAAATTGACCTTGTTTACTTGCCTGCACATGTGCTTGAAAGGGAATGTGGAAACCATGCCTCCATCACTTTATATTAATGAGGAAATTACGACAAAGATGGCGATGTCTCCAGGTCGCTCATCCGGAAGGCGGTCTTCACGATCAGAGAGAAACCGAGTCGAAATATGCGAAGAGTTTGCTCGCTTGCATTTTGACGTGTTCCTGAAGCGGTCTTCTTTATCAAACAGGTATGTTATAACAACTGCCATTTCGAGGTCTTCAACACGACAACTGACTCTACTCAACCTTTAAGTGGTAAGGAGAATCGAGACGAGACTTGGACGAGTTTCGAAGAAGAATCTACAACACTGAAGTCTAGAGTCAAGCAACGGCTTTCTCTGAGCGACCGTCAAATCGAGTATATCTGGTATCGATCCGTGGAGGCTTTCCCAAGAGCTTGACTCAGTCCGGAGAGGGAGCAGCCTCAACTACTCAATGCTGGCTGAGCAACTATCTGTAATTTGTCTAGAGGATATAATTGTGTCTTCCTGATTGTAATTTATTTACAGTACCAAATTATCATTTGTCAAGGCAAACTTAGTCCATAGAAAGTCAAACAAATAGCAAATGTACTGATAGTTTTTAAATTCATTTCCGTGGACAGGGTTACATGCAAGTAGCACAAGAAAGATGACGAGGAGGACTAAGATCTGAGCGCCGAATTACTGCACTACAGAAGGTACGATAGAATTAGTAATTCTGTCAGTGTCACGTGTCAAATTCTTTACTTTTGCAAAAAAAAAGTTGTACCTTTACATGCTCATAGACTTGGATTCGTTATTTCGCTTGCGGTCACCAAACGTTCCCTCATTTCACAATGGCCGAACCAGCTGCTACTCTGCCAGTGCTCTTCACAACACACACTCCATACCCTCTTCCCGCTCAAAAGTTCATGATTCCTGCATCATGGAAGCGCTATCAGTTATCCCAACTCGTTAATAAGGCGCTCTCCCTCTCTCAGCCAATTCCGTTCGATTTCATTCTCAAAAAGACAGGAGAACTCTTAAGAGGCTCGTTACAGGAATGGAGTGAGGCTACCGGCGTCGGGACGGTGAGCCTCACTGTTCGCTTTCTGCCTCGCGGAGCTGATACACTGACAGTGACATGATTTGCAGGAAGAAACATTAGAAATTGAGTATGTCGAGTCGCTGCTCCCACCGACGCGCATTGCTGGCATGCCACATGATGATTGGGTGTCCGATGTATCATGTGGTATGCAAGGTCATTTCGTTACTGCAAACTATGATGGTCTGCTGCGTGTGTTCGACTCCTCCCAATCGCTAGTGCACACAATTTCGGGACACAATGCTGCCGTAACTTCTGTCTGTACTATCTCTTCTACACCTGATGGTTTGGGCAGGAGCAATGATGTGATAGTAGCGAGTGCATCGCACGATAGGACGGCGCGGCTAACGTCCTACAATCCAGATTCGAAGACAAGCCGAGCATTGGCCTCCCTCCATCTGCATACCTCTCCTATTTCATCTATTCTATCCTCTCCTGATGGCGAACACCTCCTTACCGCGGGCTGGGATAACCTCATTGGACTTTGGGACTCTAAGGTGCCATCTTCGGACGAGACTGACGCTTCCTCCACCGATGAACCTAAGTCTCGAAAACGTCGGCGCCTGGCGACTGGGAATGGTTCCTCAGAGGCTAAACGAAAGGCTCCTTCGGCAGTACTTAAGAGCCACACTGGACGTGTGACTGCTGCAATCTTCTCTTCGACAGACGGGAAGCGCGCGTACAGTGCGTCACTTGATGCAACGGTTCGCACTTGGGATATCGACACAGAGATCTGTCTACATACGCATACTGTTACAGAAGCTCCCTTCCTTGCCCTCGTTCATCTTTCCGCTCCTCACCTACTTGCAGCTTCTTCAACGGATCGCACTGTACGCATTATCGATACACGCACGTTTACTTCTACGTCTTCTTCTCTTGATGTGTCACCGCCTATAATCCTCCAACACGTGAATACCCCTGCTTGTCTCGCGGCGTCGCCTACGAGTTCTCATCACGTCGCAAGTGGAGGGTACGATGGAGTTGTGCGTGTATGGGATGTACGGAGTGCTAAGAGCGCTATTGCCAGTTTCCGTGCGGGTGAGGGCGTCGATGCGGAGAAAAGGGGAGACGCGAAGGTGCTGGGATTGGACTGGAGAAGTGGGGTGATGGCGGTAGCTGGTGAGGCGGGCCTAGATATATGGCGCGTGCCAGAGCGTGCTGAGGAGGCGCGGTAGACTAAGGATGCACACTGCAGTATATGAAGCTTGGTTTGTTTGGACGTTTGAGTTGGATCTTCCTAAGAGCTCACTTACTTGCTAACAAGACCCGGTGTTAGCAGCTAAAAGTATTTGTGAGTTCCGCCTCCACACTGTTCTGAGGATAATCGAACTGATGCTGTCTATGATTTCCTGGTATATTTTATTGTGTAATGTCGTCGAAAACTTGAATAATTTAGACCTAACCTCAAATGAACTCAGCTTGATTCCGCAGTCAATTAACTTGCGTGACACCAGACGGTCGACGAAAGAAACTAAACAAGACTTCCTCGGGATCTGCTCTGTTCAAATGTATCACTCCTTTATATTGCTGCTGTCAGCTCCCGCCAGCGTATGCTGGCGGCTTGCGAAGAAATTCCGACGTCTACGCGACACCCATTCTTCGCTGCGTTCTCTCACTTTACGGTCCGCTCTAATATCCGTGAGCACTGGATGGCGGGCCGCCAATACTGGGTGCCAAGAGACTTTCTTGGACGGGCATTAGCGAAGAGAAGTAGGCGAAGGTATAAAATCTCGACTTGACGTGGGCGAGAAGGGAGGCGTCTCAGATATCTAAGTGAGCTCATCTGAATACTGTTACAGAAAGAAAATGCACGGCTTCACTTCCAGTTTCATCATTTTTATTTCGGCACTGGCTGTTCATGTAGCTGGCCATGGGGTCGTCACATCTCCTAAACCACGCCAGGTGGATTCATTCTTTAATAATAATGAATCGTATCGCCACTGACGAGCTTTGTGGATTATAATCTGACATTCTGCTGTGCTGGGTCTCGACAACAGTACGGTCCTGTTGCAGAAGCAGCTTGTGGCGAGGCGGTGTACAATGTCCTTACATCTGGTGACCTCTTTTCATACACTTTCTCTCCTCTGTTTGCTTTGCTCACCATTTCACTATTATGTGACAACAGATTTAGAGGGTCCAATCGAGTTTGCAGTGGAGAAGGAAGACTCCTCGTTTGACGCTGCTACGTGTCCCTTGTTTTTCTGTCGAGGCGCCTCGGTGCGTGTGTTCTGCCACTGTCCCTCATGGGACAACATTGGAGAACATAGCCCACTAATGAGATCTTCATACTGATGTTCATACGGTTCATCCTTATGCTTCACTTAGATTGAAGACAATGTCGGTAACACACGTAAATACGCTGCAGGCGACGTCGTCAACTTCAAGATAGATCTTGAGGCACATCATACGGGAACAGCTGTATGTTTCTCATCCTATACCACATTTCGAGTCTGCTCACCGCGTCCCATCCTACGCCCATTTCTTTGGCGCGCATGAATCTCAGAACGTCTCGGTCGTACGTACATTTCTCAAGGCTCGCTCTGAATTGGGATAGTGCTTATGGTGCGAACGACGGTAATTTTAGGTGAATCAAATGTCACAAAAACCAATCGGTGCTCCTCTGTTCTACTGGCCAGTTTACGCGAACGAGTCACTTGGACCGTCCGAATGGCCAAAGAACGAAAGTACGCATGCTCGCTGTCTCAGATCATAATTATGACATTACTCATTCTCACAACGTTTCGCTTTTTCTCCCTACCATTTTGAATTCTCGGAAAACTCGTTGTACAACATTGTAGCTGACTTCAGCGTGACGATTCCGGACTTGGAAGGCCAGTGTTCGGGTGCTGGGAAGTGTGCGATCCAGTGGTGGTGGTAGTGAGTATTCTTGCTTGCTTTTTCTAGACCTTCTTGCTCTATTCTGCTCTCGTTTTTTCTACTGCTTCACGATGTCTTTTTATTTATTTCGTCCTTGAGTCAGACAGTCTGATCTATATCCGCTTTATAGTGCATACAGTAACGACCAAACATACGAGAGCTGTGTCGATTTCACCCAGTAATCAACGGTACGCTTGTTTGCGGTGAATAATATTGCTGCATCTCGGAAGGGGCGAAAGATCAACTCGGCCCGTTCATACTCTTGCAGTGTCGATAACAGTATGTATGGATAATTCCCCGAGTAGTTCCTTACCAATACACAGCTCAAGCACGATAAATTGTGAACTTCCAAAAAAGTCGGCCTTATACCAATACGGACAAATATTTGCGATCGACAAGATTCACAATCTTTTAATTTTCCTTTCGGGTTTTACTTTTACTTTCTTTCATACATGGGAGATATGACGTCATACACGGACTACGTTTAAATTTCAGCGTTTCACGGCTTCTGCTTCTGCTTCAAGGTTAGACGGGAACCAAGAACTTGACGAGTGCCTGCTTCCTGCACTTCGACGTTTCGAGACGCTTCCTTCAGAGTTTGGCAGCGTCGATGCCCTGCGTAACTGCAGCGTCATAGCGTTTCGCGGCTTCGTCAAAGTTGATCACGTTCCAGATCGCCTTCAAGTACTGTTTCACACAGGGTATACATTAGTTGTAAGTTAAAATAGAAGTAAGAAGTTGCTATGGAGGACGCACGTCAGGCTTGACATTGAGGTACTGGAGGTAGAATGCGTGCTCCCAGATGTCGATGCCGATGATAGGGAGGTGAGACAGGAGCGGGTCCTGGTTGGATGTCGTCGTGATCTCGAGCTTCTTCGTCGTCGGGTTCAAGCCCTGGTCATGGTACCAGTAAGAATCATATCAATGGCAAGGGCGGAAACCAAAACAACGTACGAGCCAGCCCCACCCAGATCCTTGGATAGCGAGTGTCGCTGCGTTGAATTTCTCTACTAACGTCTTAAGGTCACCGAATTCCTGTTGGATCGCCTTCGCAAATGCCGAGTTCGGGTCAAGCTGGCCACCGCGACCTCCCTTCTCAGGGGCGGGAGCCATATTCTTCCAGAACAGCGAGTGGTTAATGTGACCACCGCCGTTGAACTTGAGAGCACCTTGGAGAGCGATGCGCTCCTTCGGCGTGGAAGACTTAGCGTACGCTTCCTCGGCAGCATTGAGGGCATTGACGTATGTCTGGTGGTGTTTTGTGTGGTGGAGCTTCATGATTTGCTCGGAGATGTAAGGCTCCAGAGCATTGTAGTCGTAGGGCAGCGACGGGAGAGTGTGCTATCGACGGACATCAAAGTGAGTATATGCGCGACGATCGCGACGATCGCAACGCAGCGGAAGAGAGAAGAGAGCTCATTAGCAGATGAGTGTACCATGGATGAAGGATGGATGCATACCGGCATAGTGGAACTACTAGTGAGACAGTCGAGAGGAGGGTTGCTGGTGAGTTATGCAGTCGTTGTCGCTAGTCGCCCTCTTTATATCGTCATACGATTGTCGCGCTGAATAAGCTTTCAACATTTCCCCAACGCTCTTTCAGCCTCTACCGACGCACCTGCACTTGACGACTCAATAACAAATCCATAAAGGGTATACAGCACCCTATCCCCTCAACGTATTCTTCCGCCCTGCATGCCTTCTTTCCCGACATCACTGAATCGCGAAGCCAAGATAGCGAACCCGCAGAACGGAAATGAAACGAGTTGACCGGCCCTGAAGGCGAATAACGTTCACGTGCGATCGGACATCCGACGTCTCGGTGTTACGCGCTCGTTCTTTCGTCTATACATCCAGTGGACGGACACTTGAACATTAAATGCTATGTTTAGTGCTCCCGTTCCTCTGGTACTTATCTTTCATACCTTTCCTTCCGCCAATTCATCCTCTTCTCTCTTTTCTCCTTTCACTACCCCGACACTCTGGATGCACCAGTCACCTGCAGATGCTCTCCATGGCTTCTCATTTCTGTGTGCTCGAACTGGGTAGCTTCTTTGTTCTCGCTTGCACCCCGCATGCCCACGAGTCTCATATCTCGTAACTACTGTGCAGGGAGTACCGCAGAAAATAACTCGCTACAAACTTTCTTGGCATGCATGCTGTGTCCCTCGTCGTCTCTTCCGAAATCCGAGCCCACTTTTCGCTTGTTTCCGAGGAAAACTACCGAGCTATTGTACTTTCTCTTGATCTCTTCCCTCGACCCAGAGTACAGTATACCTCATTGGTTTCCTTACCATTGGTGCAGATCAGTAATGCCTTAAGCTTTCCAGAACTCCAACTGCTAAGGTCCCCGTGTCTCTCTGACGTCTCTTCGCGCACATCTGCATCGAGATCCATAGACAAGCACCGACCCCAGACCGGCCTTATGGCGTCGGGCTCATCGTGAATGATTTTGGACCGCCTGTCTATTGCAGCTACTCCACTCCACCGTTCAGTTATACTGTCTGGGCTTCGGATGAATATGTGGTTGAATTTGCCTAGCTCGACTGGATCCAAATCTTCTCTCTCAAGAAGGTTGCTATCTCACTTTCATCGGGGACACTGGGAAACGCTCTCAGGATCGATAAACGAGAAGTGTAAGAGACACAATATCAACGCTTACTTCTGTGAATTACCTTGCTGGGCCTGGACATAGAGCTCATTTATTCGAGATATCCGTGCAACAATTTGACTAACTGGGTCTTCCTTGGTTTTTACCTTACCAACTCCAACGTCTATTCCTACTCGCTTGGTTCATGTCTATGGTCGCTTTGCTCAGGCTCAAACAAAGAGGGACAAAGCTTGGTACGGAGAGTCTTTACTGTTCGTTAGACGTAGGGTGGTCTTCATTTTTTCCGTCTCGTCGATTACGCCCCGCTCTTTTCCGTGAAAAGAAGCGGACTGAGGCAGCATGTCGTACTCTGGCTTTCAGTAATGAGCATAGTATTGGACTCCCAACTCTTGGCGCAGGATGGTAAAGTTGTGCACCTCATCGAATCTAATCCTCGAAGGTCGCCGTTCATCTATCAAGCTTCAGTTCATGCATCTTTGACAACAGGTTGCATACGAGCTACCGACCCCAGACCGGTTGTGTGGCGGCGCCATGCGGTATTTCTTATCTTTGCTAGTACAACAAACACGACATGGAAGGGCGGGGTATACGGTTTCGCCTGGCGAACATCATATTTGGAGTCTGGGCTTCACTTTCATATTTGCTGTCTACTCCGACTGAGCTTTGTGACATTCTTGCAGCTGTACACTTTTTCTGTCCCACAAATCACTGAGCTCTTCCATTTCACAATATTAGGCAATTCAAATATACTTTGCACTGTGCAGGACACTCAGAATTTTCCAAAACCTCAAGACATAATGGAAATTTTGCATGAGACGTCACTATATTCCGCCTAGCCTAGTCTGAACGCATATATGCTCCTCGACTCCCATCTGTGGTTCGTGCATGCAAAGCTGAACCCCTACAATAGGACATACTGCACCCTATTTCCTGAGCTTCACGGCATCTCACCATCTTCTCGGCCAGCCCTATTGTCCTTCTATCCTTCACAATCACTGATAGGGCTAAGAGTTCAAGTCCGATAATCCGATAATCCGAACACGGACTTCACAACCGTGAGCCAAGTTGTTGTCAACCGCAAAGTACAGCGCTGAATGCACTAGCCCCCCGCTCCCACATTGCTCTCAGGCAGTGAAAGTGAATTATCTCTCAGATTCTCTCCCCGCACTTCGTGTGTTGCATCCGCCTAAACACTGTGCATCATCAAGCCGCGAGTACATCTATGTTGCACATTAGTGAAGCACGACAAGGGGTGGTCTTGTCAAACGTGCATTCACCTATCCTGTTGTTTTCTTGCTCTGATTTACAACTACCGTTAACCACACTGCTGCTCACTTTTGATTCATTCTGGTTGGCACCATTGTGCACTGCACTTGAGTCGGCACAAAAACAGATGCATGGTCTTGAATATACTCACTCCAAATTCCAGTTCTAACGGATACCAGGGGTGAAATCTTAGTGTGTGTTTGGGGGGGGGGGGAACTCCGTCCTCTAAAACTTTTCTCTTGACTACCCCTCACCCGACGTCTCAAGCTTTACAGAGAACCAAAGGCAATGCACTACGTCACAGTCAATTCATACATATATGTTCGCAGCACCATCGATGATCCTTCCAAAATTATAAATACTAGTAGTCCAGCTCTGCTGAGTGTGAGATTCAAATATCAGATAATATAGCTGATTGGACTGGATCTAAGATGAGGGGAGACGGGATGCAGAGTAATTTGAGTTGTATTTTGAGTCTGTCCAGCCGTTTCCTTATTTGGACATTTGAACAAAATACGGATCAACAGGTTTTAGTCTCACGGTCACGCCACTGTTTCGAGCCGGCCCTCAACATTGTCATTTTCCGTTGTCGAATTTTTCTGTGCTCTTTCTCGCATCCACTTCCCCTAAACATCTCTCATTGCCTCTCTGCCTCTCCTGTCTCATGAATGCGATGTCAGGTAAGCTATTCTTTCAAAATGGATTGCAAAGGATGATACTTTAGTCATTCCCAAACATCAGAGTGCTCTTGCACGATGATTTTTTTTTTGTCATAGTTACACTGATGCGTCCATCTGCCTTTCTCCTCTTCTTCAAGACATGTGCACTGAATCGTCTTACTTACAGCTCATGATACACCGTATGGTTGTTTCCTTGGTAAAGACAGTTAACGCACTGGATGAATAGAAAAAATCGGCTTAAATAGATGTGCGTATGAGTTTCGATACCCTTTTATTCGAGTGTTCGCCTAGTGCTGGGCGATATGCTATGTTCGAAATGATGATCTCCATACAATCAAACTAGAGTATATGAGGTGGCCCCTACGTGGTGTCCACGACGATTTTTCTTTATCTGTCAATCCACTGATCGACTTCATCTTTCGTGCTGCTTCCGTTTGAATTTTCTGATTATTAACTGACAATTTTTGTTTTCTCAGATATGCGTACTACGTGTACGAGCATGCAACTACCATACTGTACAAATGGTTGAGTTGAACGTAAGCCATTTGAATTTCGTTTACGGTTTCTTTTATTCCTGCCCTTCCTACGATGAATAATGGAGTTACCGCCTGAGGCTCCCTACGCAGGGTTGCTAGAAGTGACGAAAATTCCTAGGCTGTACTTTTTGTATATCTGAACCCTCCTTCCCCACATTCATTTTTCTCATTATTCTTGTTTCTGTGAGGCTAACGATACGTTCCAATAGAATCCCTTCCTGGTAAGGATGGTGATCTACGCTATCGACCTGAGGTTGCATTTAGATGAGTATTCGTCACTGTGAGTGCTTGTTTCCGCCAGTCTGGCTTGCTCTCCCCGTAGTGGAGCAAATAATATATGATGTTTCTACACGACGGTCTTCGTATCATCGCTGCCGAAAATGCCCGCCACAGCTCAATTACTTCGGGCACCCCTCACTGATCTCATTCTATTCTTTTGATCGTTCCGAGCCTCGAACGCCATATTGACCATTGAATTTGTAGGGACTGATATTTAAGTAATACACAATTGATCGATGTCGAGGAATAAGCTAGGCGGTTTGGTGTTGACAGAGGTTAGAGCTACATTTCTTGTCACGAGTTAACATCACTGCTCTTCCCATTCCTTTCTCGAGATGAACAATTAAAAATGTTACCAACTAGAAGCTGTTCCTGAGCTTCTTGCAATGATTGCCAAATCCATGTCCTCTGATACATTCTTTATCGTGCATTCATCTATATGTACGAAGCCTGACTAACTGCATCTTTTGGCAGGTGTGCGAACCTAAGGTTTTCGCCTGGTAGCGTAACCTACAATCGAGGACAATAGCAATTTGATAAATGCAATTTTGCAGTGTCATTCAAGATGCCACAGCATCTTGCAAGTTTTCATGCATCTGCCTTGCATATTAATACTCGTCTGATGTCTATATATATCATCATGGAAAAAATTACAAAGTCCTTGAAAGTGTGAAACAGTCAATGTCCACTGTGAATAAGCAGCACCACTCTACACAATTAAAAAAACACGACGCTTCAGCTCGAAACTAGATAGTCCAAGTACTCGTCGTGTAATCAGACTCGTCTTCAATGAAACATGTCACAAGTGTCCCTACTTCCACAGTCTCGACGTATCGATTCGTCTGAGACTCTTCAAGCAACTTCGGGTTTTGGATGTTCAGTATGAGGCGCGAGACCATTATTACAGAAATCCTTTACAAAATTGAAAGGGCCGAAATTAAGAATAAAAGCGAGGTGAGGGATATAACAATGGATAAACGTACACGCTTGTGAACGCCGTGCACACATCTTTCAAGAAAGGCTACAAGCCATTTAGCGGAGGCACGCGAAAGTCTGTTCCGAAAATGACGTACATGGGCAAGCTAGCGGGGTATCAGATAAAAAGCGTAATTACAAAATATTCAAAGTACGGACCATAAGAACAAGCACATTTGACAGGTTTGCCATCGTCATAACACTGTATACGCACATGCATGGATAGTTTAGTTATCAGATGCCGTTAATGTCCCGAACGTGAGAGAAAAGAACTGACAAGAAGAATATCGATCCTAGCATATTCCTCGGTAAGAAGTCATTCTGTTGTGCGAAAATACAAATCGTCTGCTCACCATCTCGAATTAAAATTTGAAATAATCGGCTCGAGCCAAGTTTCCATATCTCCAATGCTTTCCAGAGTGTTAGTGAAAAGATGACAGCATCGTATACCATCAACACTATCCAAGGTGCTGCTATCCCTGTAAAACGACGCAATTTATTTGAAGTCGCATATATTCGAGCCAGTTTTGTACATACGCATTCCTCTGAATTAACCCCGTCAGGTTTCATGTGCATTTATATCGATATAAGTGAGGCATTTACTCCTGATCCGATACCGGTGCATGACAGCCGAACTTAGCTGGGACATCGATGGTTTGCAATTGCGCTTCACCCCCAAGGACAGACCACTAGTATGGACATATACAAGTAAAAATAAATAATTTTCATACAATGAGATAGAGGCTGCAAATGACGCACCAATCCCACTGACACTCCGCAAACAAAAAGTGCGGCAAGGAGTTTCCATACTGCTCGACTTCGTTCATATAAGGCGTATGTGCGGATTCCAGTGATCACTATGTATTTGAATCGATTAGTAAGAAGTAACAAGAAGTAAAGGACAAATAGGACGTACTTGCGACGATTATTTGAACAATGACAATAATAATCTGATCGAGTGTATGTAGCTTGCTACAACTACCAAAATGATTTTATAATTTCCACGACAGTTAAAATATTATTTTAAGTAATTACCTCTAGAAATCAATGCATGAGTAAAAGCTCTTCGAGAATAAGATATCAATTATTCCACTGACCGATGACGACAGCGTTCCTAGATTATGCACGATAATCGTAGCATTCATAGCAAGCGGAATATATCGATTCATGAAGAACAAGACTGCAACAGTGTTTATGCGGTACCAAGGTATGCCCGAAGTCTTTCTATTTATCCTCCAGAAGAATCGGACTTCATCATCAAACGTTAGGATATAGTCGTAGTAAAACAGCACTGCAGGGAAAGCGTATCATCGAGGCATTAATTCTGAGTTAAAGGGTATGGCTATGTCAGATTTCTCACCGACAGATGCTAGGGAGAAATATCCGCTGATTTGGCTGGATTGAAGACATACATGAGGACTGCTAGTTAGGAATCGCTGATTTGACATACCTTTGCAAAACTGCATCTTCCAGCTGGCTCGAATTTGAATCTTGCATGCTTCAAGCGACAGGGGAAGCAGAGATCCGACGCGAGTTATCTGGCCGAGTCCTGTATTAGCGGTAAGCAGAGGGTTAGAAAGAGATGAGGTGGGTTGAGGCGAGGCGGAAGGTTGGCAAACGTCGCTCTACGAGTCTGTAATATAGTGGACAAATTTTCGGGAGACGCTTTCTCCCCGTCCCTGAATTAGATCTGTCGTTTGGCGTGTTGTTCTCAGAAGCACCCAGATTACAGTTATCTGGGCATTCACGGAGGATCATCTCAAGTGAGTTGCGGAAATATTCTCACGGATGTCGCTCCAGACTAGATCGTCGTATGTCGTTACAGGTACAGCATTGAGCGTGTCTGCTACAGTTGAAAATACCTTATTGCATCACATTATAATGCATAAATTGAATATTGCATAGCTTTCTACCTAATCCCAGCTTGGGATAAGGGAATTATGCACAAAAATAGTCTATTACATATTGCATCAAGATTTGTGAGAAAATTATGCAAAATTCTGAGCATTTTAGGAAATTAGACTGCTTACTGTTGTGATTTTTGTACCCAGAAGCCTCAGATATTGTTCTCTAGCATACTTCAATACAAAAAGAATGTTTCTGATTAACATTTCATTACTTACAATGTCTTCAATGCTGCCACAAGACCAAGATAGGGCAGCAAAGATCTCTTCATGATACGTGGGGGAAAGTTATTTGCATTGACTAGCTTTTTCTATCTTTTTGTTTCTACAGATTCTGACTGTATTTCCTTGTATTACAAACTATTTCTTGAGTTTTACAGTGATATACACATTTACTGTACTTGTCATTGTCTTGGTTGTCTTTCTTGATGCTCTAAATATGTGCTTATTTTCTTGTCATAGTGTATATGTCTTCAAATAAATTGAAAAGTAATATCGAATGTTGGGTTCCTAATTAAGTAATGTTTTCGCACGGTTACCATAATGCATATTGCTCATATTGCATAGGTCTGAGGCCTCTCCCGACGTTATGCAATAAGATATTTTCAACTGTATAGACTTATTGCATAAGTCTTCCCACGTGCATTACAGCTCTTACGAGGGTAATCGACGTCTAGTGGAAGCACGTCCGGCCGTCTTGTGATTCGCCCCTAATAATAGAAAATCAGGTGCGTAGTCCGCGTTCATTGATAAGCTTATTACACCATTATCAAAGTGGGTCATGAAAGACAAGTCAATGGAGGAACTCAAGGAAAAATCAAGTCTCGACGAAAAACATGAGCTTATCACCTGCTTGCACTGTGGACCCTTCTTTTATACCTTTTGCAAATCCAGAGACCTTCAGACCTACATTCTCCTCCCCAGCTGTTATGTTTATCTCTGTCTTCATTGCTTCCAAGATAGCCACAACTTGGTCGGGAGAGGTAATGATATCGCTGACAGCCGCCTTGATTTTCCATACAGAGCCTGACAGAGAAGCAGAGACAAAATTTGGTGTCTCTTGAGATTCTACATGAATTATGAATTAACGAGATTTTTATTGAGAGGTCAGGTGAGACATACCTTCCGTGGCAGTACTAGTGCTGCTAGCTGCGTTACTCCGCTTACTTTCAAGCCACTCTTTCAGGAGAACACTTTCTCTATAATTTTGTCTCGTCAGATTGATTTATGTAGGGATGTGAAAATACCGTACCGGGCTTCTTCAGATGCTACGGCCTTTGCTTGACGTGCTCTGAACGCAAGTATTTCATCATGGATACCTGAAACGAAGCCGAGGTACTCCTTCATCGAAAACACGACTGGTTCGATCTGCGGGATGCCGTCACTAACCAGGCCATTGAGATATGTTCGATCCCACCTTGAAGGCATAACGTCCGCTGTCAAAGTGTTTTTCCATCTGTTAAGCAGCGTCAGTATTTTGTCATGAATTGTTAGGGGTTTAGTCAGTACCTCGATGTATTCCTCTTCCGAAACAGATTCAAAGGTGACCTGGTAAATAGTTGGGCAAAATGCCGTAGGAGAAGCACGATAAACGGGTACCTGATCAAACGGTTCTAAGAGCCACGGTCTTTCCGGAGCAAAGTCTGGGCCTTTTCCCCAAGGCTGCCACGTTGGTAGTGTACACCCAAATAACTGGTAACCACCAGGAGACTCGACTGGGTAGATGGCCGCGACCAGACCCGCAATTCCGACGGCACCCTAATGAGAAGAGCCCGAATCAGCTCAAGATGATCACCAGGTAGTACTGCCGTGCAACTCACGCGAGGCGTGTATGTCCTCGACGGGTTCATCTTTTGGCCCACAAGTCGACATCGCGGATTAATCTACCGACATGACGTGAGACTGCGTAATAAAATGGTTAGAACATGAGCGAACCGGGACCAAGAATGGACACGCAAGATAGAATCCGACACCGAAAACCAGCTAGATTGAAATTACTAAGCATAAGGTTTCCGATTAGTCCAGAACCTCAACGGACGCACCCACGGTGATGAGACAAGTAGACGTAATGCCTCCGTTGCACCTCCCTCGACGCCATTGTTTGCGGCCAAGTATTCTATATTACTTGGAAGATAAACAGCTTTTGAACGCGAAGAGCGCATGTAGCGTTCTAGGGCATCACGATTCCACTTATCGTCTAGAACAATGGGGAACTTTAATCTACGGCCTGGGAACCGCATATCTTCTATCGACTCCGGAAGGCTCTGTTCTGCTTCAATGAGCATAGCCAATACTTCAGCTTGGGTTGTTAGCCGAGGATCGAAATGTACCTGGTGAAATCAGGCAGTGACAAATTGTACTACTCTTCATGCTTACCATGGTTGATCGGATGCAAGGTGCAAACTCCTTGATACCGGGAATTTGCATCTGGCGAGCCACTGTCTCAAGCGCATGGATACGAGCTCGAATGGAAAAATCAAGCGTCATCTCTCCGTACTCGACAAGTATTGCGGAGTCGCCAGCCTTAAAATGCAATTGTTATAAACGAGACGTCTGGCCCACCTTTACCCTCTTACCTGTCTGAATACTGCTTTTGGCTTAGACGAAGAAGCCGATACACTGTGCAGCTTTGGATCTCGTAAGGGTAGAGATGAAGGAGAGTAGCCCGGCAATTTGAATGGTGATGCATTGAATCCCGATGACAATGCAAATATCGTCTCCAGCCATTTGTCCGCACGCTCTTGAAGGATAATAGCATCCGAGTAACTAATACGCTTAAACTGCAGTTGATCGCCCGGTCGGAGTTGACCAAGTTTCCATCTACCAGTTGTCAGAGCTCCGTTCAAACATGAACGTCGGGGACGTACTGATCGGCTGTAGCGATAGTAGATATACACAAATATCCACCCATGCTTGGTCCTTCATTGGTCAAAACCACGGGTGTATCGCCATTCAGATTAACAGAACCCCGAGGATAACCATTATCAAGGATGTTGGAAGGATGTGAACCGCCTTCACCACCGTTCTGCCGAGCCCAATCTAAGGCAGGCGCATCAGAGCCTTCTTGGTTGACTGGTTCAAGTCGGATGCCCATCCGGTTGCTAGCTGCACTGACTCTCCATTTCCTCGAATAGAATGCCTCAATCCCAGACTCAGTGAGGAATTCAGTATCGTCATGTGGGCCAGGAAGAGAGTACAGCGTCCAATCAGAGTGATAATCAGGTAGGAGCACGTGAGGAAGAGGCGGAGCGTCGTTCGCAGATGCAACGCACAGTTGAATTTCCAGCATGTCCCCTGTTTGCAAGTTCCTTCCCTAAAGCAAGGAATTCTTTATGATCAATACTGGAGATAAACAGTTTTTCATGCTCACTTGGTAGCCACCACTACCCATGGATGTCGACTTAGAGCCTAGGTATTCTGGAATTCTAGGAAACCCACCTAACACGGCAAGATACGCTCTGAATCCACCACTTGAATACTCCGTGTCCGGATGTAGAGCTCCAATGACCAGTTTGGCTCCTCTTGGGACGATGATACGTCCCCAAGTTGGTGCTTCACGTCCGTCAACGGTGACAATAGCATGAGCACCCGTCACCGCAACTACAGCTTCTACGTAAAATAGAGCGATGAAGGACAAAGACCTCGCGTGTCCAGAGCTCTTTGGCGGAATTACTAGCTCAAGGCCTTCACATCCGAAAGGATTGCCAATAAGGGCGTTCCCTGCCTGAAATGCGAGAGGATCCATGGGACCGCTCGGCGGAATACCTAAACCAGTATCTCTCGTTGGTAGAGATTGTACAGACGTCTGGATCCCAGGGGATATGATAGCAAAAGCACTGGTTTAACATGAGAATCGGCCATCAAAGAGACACACCTTCAACGCACTTTGGAGTATACGGAAGACCACCTCGATCTATCCATTCAGTAGTTGCATTACCCTCTACAAACGTCGTGTTCTTTAACACTTGAACTAAGAAAGGTATGTTGTTCGGCGGTCCTTGAACAACAATGTGGCTCTTCGTATCAAGAGTGCGCTTTCCTTGATCAAATACTGCGACCAGCTGCTCGATCGCCTCCTTTCGCGTTGCACATCTCGAAATGACTTTGGCAACAAGCGGATCATAGAAAGGCGTTATGACCATGCCAGTCGAGACCTTCGCATTTTCAACGGACGTAGCGCTAATAACTTTGGTTTACTTACCCATGTATCAATGCGAAGATCATCAGTTTCTTCAGGCAGTTGAACATACTGTAGGATTCCAGGGCTTGGCGAGAAGTTATTCGCGGGATTCTCGGAATACACACGAGCCTCTATAGCGTGTATATTTGGATTAGGGTGCCCGAATGCCTCTTGATCGAGACGGTCAGGCGGTAAACCCGGGCGAATGTCCGCGTTTAATCTAGATTGATGTTCATAAACACCCTGGAGAATCATGAGCTCTACAATGTCCAATCCTCGGTAAAGCATTTCCGTCACCCCGTGTTCTACCTAGACAAAAGAATTAATGAAAAATTATAGAAGGACGGGGCGTGTATACCTGTAACCGTGTGTTCATCTCGAGGAAGTAGAATGTTTCCGAAGCGGTGTCCACCAAGAACTCGACAGTTCCTTTAAAATACCTGTGAGTTAAGCTCAAGCAGCATTGGCTGTTCCTTACCAGCAGACTTGTAGTTGACTAGTTCTCCTAGTCCTACAGCCGCAGCGTACATCTTCTCTCTCATGTCTATAGCGGAATCAGTGTCAAATATCCCACCACTGTTAGGGTAACACCATACCCTGGCGAATTGCAAAGTAAGGGCTTGGTGCCTCTTCGATAATCTTTTGGTGACGCCTCTGAATACTACATTCTCGTTCACCCATATGTATAACGTGTCCACAGCCGTTCCCGAATATCTACATCAAATGTATTCAATGAATACCGAGCATACGAAGCATGCAGCCAGCACGGTACCTGTATCTCAATGTGACGGGAGGAGCTAAAGAACTTCTCGATGAACACGTCTTCATTATGAAAAATATTCTGTAAAAGATATCCAGTGAAATGCGATTGCAATAGATAAATGCTGCATACTTTAGCCTTTTGCTTAGTCGTGACAATTTTTTCCTGCAACTCGGCTGCATTTCCACAGACAACGAGACCCATTCCTCCACCTCCTGCAGTCGCTTTCAACATAACTGGATATCCGATCTCATCCGCAATTTGCACCGCATCTTCAATGCGCTCGACTAAGCCAACCGAACCGGGAACGACGGGTACTCCTGCATGCTGCGCGAGTTCACGGGCGCGATGCTTGAGTCCCATATCTTCAATGATTTGCGCTTGCGGTCCAAGCAAGATAATCCCATGCTTCTCCAACAGAAACGCGAAGTCAGCGTTTTCGGAGAGAAAGCCGTATCCTGGATGTACGAGCGTGACGCCTCGTTCAACACATATCTTCACAACTGCATTGGCGTCTACGTATGCCCTGGCATTAGTCCCTGCATTGACGTCAGCGCCAGCTTCCAGCTCTGCATCCGTAGAGGAAGATCGAGATGGTAGAAGTGCAACTGCTTCATCAGCGAGCAGAACATGAGGAGACGTCGCATCCACTTGCGTATAAACCGCGACAGACCGTAGCCCTATGTGTTTCGCAGTACGAAGAATACGGAGCGCAATCTCTCCTCGATTCGCAACGAGTAGCTTATGGCGTTCCAATGGCAATGGTTCCGCCATGACGATTGAACCTAGTCGAATAGCGAAGCGGACGAAATGCGTCTAATCTTCAGCAGATACATATATAGATAACCAAAGAAGCAAGACTGAATTAGCTGTGCTCCACGATGGCATGACGAAGTTAGTACCTGATGGTCATGAGATTCCGCCAAGTGATCCATTCAGTCCGAGACTTCGGATAGGACTTATCTGTGGATCTCAAACTGTAAGAATAGCTAACGTGTGCATATTTACACGGATTGACCATTGTTCCTTTTACATTCGATTGCTATTCTGGTTCATTCACGAATCAAATCTCACTGATAACCAGCATTCTTGTTACTCTCGTCTACAAGGCGCTTAACCGTCTGGGCGATCTCAATTGCACCCTACAAACGTGTCATATTAGTAAAAATAGGGGCACTTGAATACATCTAGACGGACCGGTGAATCAGAATGGACGCATATGCTTATGTCTTGAACGCCTGTCCCGATTGGCAGGGTACCGCTCTTCGTAGTCACGAGTTCCTCTGAGAGCATTCTCCTGACCTGGAGCACTGAAATTGAGTGTTTAACATTGGGACAGAAAACCCAGTCAAACGAACCCGTGTCTCGACTTCATTCAGACTGACGGGATCATGTTTCCTACAGGAAATAAGAAGTTTAGCTTGAGTGCTTCTCAGGGCAACGAGATAAGCACTTTGTTATGAGAAGTTTTCCTTCAGGAGAATATTCCAGGTCCGCAAACCATTCTTTAAAAAGGTCGTAAGATACCGCAGGACGGTAATATGTGAGGGCGACCGACCAGCAATGAATTTAACACCTTGTTCTTCTGCTGCAGTCTGGTGGCAAGTCCCAGCGAGACCCATATACGCGACGTTGAACATCTTCGCGACGCCAACGGCCGCTCGCGCTAACTCGGGCGAGCGAGCAGTTTGACCGTAGACGGCACCGTGTGGTTTTATCTTATGAGAGCAGTAAGATCATGAATTGGAGAGCTATGATGCACCGTACGTGGTTCATCACGAGGCCATTCTTATGCAGGAAGCCTGAGAGAGCTCCCACTTGATAAACCAAGCACGATGCGAGCTCGTCCTGAGCGGAACTCCTCAGAAGGCAATAGTCAAGTGGACGGATGAACGAACGGGTTCAATAGCCATCTCTCTTCTACCAAAGCCTTGATGGTCTGGCAAGCTTGGGTGCGCACCGACCTTCACGTTGTTTGCCTTCGCAAGTGAAACAGTCTTATCCATAACCATGAAATCACTAGATGTTAATCTCATGTCATTACATGTTCATATCGGATTCCATGAAGTTGAGGCTTACCCCGCGTGAAAGCCACAGGCTATGTTGGCTAGATGAATGGTCTTCATGAGCGACTCATCGTCACCCTATCATGCCTGTTCAGCAGGAAATCGTTGCATTTATACTGCCATGGGAAAGGACTTATACCATAGAATATAGCGAATAGCCCTGGGGATACTGTGTTAGTATGTTATAACTTACAGTAATTACTATTACGAGACCGCACCTCACCCATATCACAATTTACAGTTGCACGGAGAACCATCTTCAATAAAGCACTGTATCGCACTTGTTGCTAATCGTTGAGGGTTAAGTGCCAAAGTAGGACCGTATGGCCATGGGATCATTGGGATGAGGTTATTTGCATATGCTTACATAATTTCGCACATCTTGAATGTGTTTCACGGACTATTCCTCAAAGTGTTCCTCACCGTCCGACTCAATGTGAACTAGCCAAGTAGCAGGCATCTGGAAGGCTCGTAGGTGACCTCCGATTGAAAACAGTAACCTGGATCGCTGAGAACACCGCGCCTTTAGTAATCAAAATCTAAGGACCTAGATCAGCACCAGAATGCATGGTATGCTATTAAGCTTACATTTCTTACCGACTTGAATCATTTTGTTTTAGGAAACCAGTACGGTAATATGATTCATAACTAACCAGAATTGATGTTTTCTAATTCTCTCTAACAAAAACAAAAGTAAAAAAATCGCGTCGATCACTGAGTCTGAATTTCCACGGCGAACGCCGAGTATGACACGTCAATGCAACTCGACACGCGACCGCGTCAACTCAGCTCTCCAGTTTCTTTCTCGTCGTCCACCATGGCTGGCTGTAAGTTTGTTCTACTCGTTATTCTGCTCGTGCGCAGTGAAATTGACTCGTATGCTTGCTCTCTTCGTATGTAGTCCGGTTTTTAAATCTCGTGCGACCGTTTTTGCCTATTCTCCCCGAGGTGTCCTCGCCCGACCGCAAGGTGCCCTTCAACCAAAAGGTCCTCTGGACAGCCGTCACTCTCCTCATCTTCCTTGTCTGCTCCCAAATACCTCTCTATGGCATTATGTCCTCTGACTCGTCCGACCCTCTGTATTGGATGCGTGTCATTCTTGCATCCAATCGAGGAACGCTCATGGAACTGGGAATTAGCCCTATTGTAACTTCTGGGATGATAATGCAACTCCTCGCTGGTGCCAACCTTATTGACGTTGACTTCAGCTTGAAGGAGGATCGAGCACTCTTTGGTGGTGCACAGAAACGTGTGTATTTCCCGTTTTATTTCTCTATCGCTATTTTCTTGACTGACACGTTGCGCTGGCAGTTTTCGCTCTCATCATCTCGCTCGGCCAGGCTACCGTATACGTATTAACCGGTCTCTATGGCTCGCCATCTTCACTTGGACCAGGCGTCTGCTTGCTTCTCATTCTCCAGCTCGTGGCAGCTTCTCTCATCGTCGTCCTCCTTGACGAGCTCCTCCAAAAGGGTTATGGTCTTGGTTCTGGTATTTCACTATTCATTGCGACGAACATTTGTGAGTCGATCGTCTGGAAGGCATTCTCACCTACGACTGTAAACACTGGTCGCGGCCCAGAGTTCGAGGGTGCCGTTGTTGCGCTCTTCCACCTTCTATTCACTTGGAACGATAAAGGTCGTGCGCTGCGCGAAGCATTCTGGCGTGACCGTCTCCCGAACATCATGAACCTCATTGCAACTGCAGTTGTCTTCGGCGCCGTCATCTATCTCCAGGGTTTCCGTCTCGAGATTCCGGTGAAGAGCAACCGATTCCGTGGCCAGCGTGGTGCATACCCGGTTAAGCTGTTCTACACGTCGAACATGCCGATTATGCTTGAGTCCGCCCTCACGTCCAACGTCTTCATTATTTCACAGATGCTCGCTACTCGTTTCCCGGACAATCTTCTCGTTCGTCTCCTCGGCGTGTGGGAGCCGATGGAGGACTCCCCACAGCTAGCTGCCACCTCTGGTCTCGCGTACTACATGTCTCCGCCTCACACTTTGCGCGCGGCACTCCTCGATCCCATCCATATGGCCATCTACATAATATTCACTATTAGTGTATGTGCACTTTTCTCGAAAACGTGGATTGAGGTTTCTGGTTCCGGCCCACGTGACGTCGCGAAGCAGCTTAAGGATCAGCAGATGGTTATGGCGGGACACCGTGAGGGATCAATGTACAAGGAGCTCAAGCGCGTTATTCCTACTGCTGCAGCCTTCGGCGGTGCCATCCTCGGATTACTCTCTGTCGCGGCTGATTTAATGGGAGCTTTGGGCAGCGGAACCGGTATTCTCATGGCCGTGACCATTATCTACAGCTGTAAGTACAGGCCTCCCAATTTTTTTTCCCGCAGATGTTCTGATCCACCGATTGCAGATTGGGAGATTGGTATTCGCGAGTCTGGTAGCCCTGAGTTAGCTGCCTTTGGTGATCTCCTCGGGTGATGGATTTGTACAAGTTCAAAATTTCATGCAGGCGCGCTTGGGCAGGATGAGCATCGCAAATCGGATCCAGAGTAGATCTGGATGGGTAGGCCTGAACATTTGATTATGGTACTTGTGATGATAATCTTATTCCGCGGCGGGAAAAAAGTATTAGATACTGTCGAGCGGTGTCGTTTAGCTGGAATGAAAATACTATTTTGCCTTCTGGCTATCTCGCTCCTTTCTTTACTTATGATTAAACGGAACGGAACCTTGATTCAAATTGTCTGCTTGCCTCAATTTCAGACTACAGAGGCAACTTAGATCGGACGACGCATTAATAATGCAGAACGCAACCCCGAGACACTCATGGTTTGTCCGCATGTCACTGTAGGTATTTGTTTACTGCCCCTTCACACCTGTTTCCGACGCACATTTAATGATATCATCATAGACATTTTCTCAAGTTTTAAAATTAGTCTACGGTGCTTACATGGAATGGAAACCATCACTGTCCGTTAGCTTCCTCGTTTGATACGCCGTGCGCTCCAGGCCGAGAGGAGCTAGACCGATGTCATTGTCAATGCCAATGTTTATTTGAATATTTCGTCGCCCTATTACCGTGGTAATCAGGCATCTGCCTATCATCATGGTTGTGCTGTTAAGGTCCCCTTCCGGCTGTCAGAACTCCTTTCCAAGTGGGAAACAAGGCGCTAGGAAGTCAAATTATCCGCATTGAACCTTGACCGCCCTGTGTTCAACTGTTCTCCGCGCTGGGCCTCATGACTCTATTGGAACTTCGAGCGCCCAACAAAGTAATCATATGTCTTCTAGACGTTCTTTTGCTTCACGCCCCCTAATCCCTGTGGGAAAAGGTCGTGTTTAAACCCCTGCTTACTTATATGCGGTCTAAGTTTACTGGGTAGCATATAAAGGCTGCTCCGCCAGTTACGTGAATACGGCAAGTTGTTAACTATGCCTCAGACATTCACGCACGCTTTCGATACGCCCGTCTTCAAGGGAAAGGTCTCGTTCAGTACGGGCCTCTTCATCAATGGCAAGTCCGTGGACAGTGTCGATGGGGAAACTTGGGAGTACGTCGATTTGTTCATTACCCTTGTCAATTTAATCAATTAATTAATTTACCATGTAGTGTTATCAACCCGAGTAAGTCTACTCGTTTATGCGTGCGTTTCACGCCTTGCTTAGCAAATATTGGATCCAGCTACCGGGAAAGCGACGACTACGATCGCTATGGGTAATTCAAAAGATGTCGACGTCGCGGTGAAGGTCGCCCGCGAAGCATACGAGACTCGCTGGGGTCTGAATGTACCCGGATACGAGCGAGGGAAGTTGCTTATGAAGCTGGCTGATCTCATGGACGAGGTCCATGACGAACTCGCAGCGCTTGAGGCGCTTGATAATGGTACGTCGATTTCCGCTTTCGTACATGCCTATATTTGATCCGGCATTTGCCTAATTACATTTTTTTTTGTATTTGTAGGCAAGACCTTCAGCTGGGCTAAGAATGCCGACGTCCCAGGTGCAATCCAGACTATCCGGTACTTTGGTGGCTGGGCGGACAAGAATCAAGGCAAAGTCATCGAAACCGATGAGTCCAAGTTAGCATACACTCGTCACGAACCTCTCGGTGTCGTCGGCCAAATTATCCCATGGAACTTCCCTCTTCTTATGCTCTCATGGAAAATCGCTCCAGCGCTTGCAACGGGAAACGCCATCGTCCTTAAACCAAGCGAGTTCACTCCTCTTTCCGCATTACGCTTAGTCGACCTTTTCCAAAAGGCAGGGTTCCCTCCTGGTGTTATCAATATTGTGAATGGTTTCGGCAACACCGCTGGTGTTGCGATCTCTGAGCACCCTGGTATTGATAAAGTTGCATTCACGGGAAGTACACTTGTTGGAAGGAAGATCATGGAGGCTGCTGCAAGGACGAACTTGAAGAACGTCACACTGGAGCTAGGAGGAAAGAGCCCTAACATCATCTTCGACGACGCGGACGTCGACCAAGCAGTTAGTTGGGCAATCCATGGAGTCTTGTACGTCACATATCTCGTCGTACTTGGCACAGAATGTTTCTGATATGTGGTGGTATTTACTATTTAGCTGGAACCATGGCCAATGTTGCTGTGCCGGAACTCGTGTCTTTGTCCAACAGGGCATCTACGACAATTTCCTCCAGAAATTCACTGCAAAAGCTCAAGCGCTCAAAATTGGTGACCCTTTCGGTAAGGAGACGTACCAGGGACCTCAGATCTCGCAAGTCCAATACGATGTATGTATTCTTCTTCATTGAGCCGTCACTTGATTCTAGGATTTAATGCTATTTGTATGATAGCGTATCATGGGCTACATTGACTCCGGGAAGAAAGACGGTGCAACGCTCCACCTTGGCGGCTCACGAATCGGCGACGAAGGGTACTTCATCGAACCTACCATCTTCACTGACACTCGGCCAGATATGAAGATCGTTCGTGAAGAGATCTTTGGGCCTGTTGGAGTTGTTATCAAGTTCGCGAGCGAAGATGACGTGATTAAGCAGGCTAATGATACGCATTACGGCTTGGCTGCTTCGGTAAGTATACCTTGAGTAATTTAATTTGACAAGGATGGTTAGTAAAGAATTTGATCATGACAGGTCTTCACCAAGAACATCGACCGTGCGCTGCGCGTCACCCACCGTCTCCAAGCCGGTACTGCATGGATCAACTGTACCAACCTGACAAATGCCCAGATTCCATTCGGTGGATACAAGCAGTCCGGAATTGGGCGCGAGAATGGCGAATACGCATTGGCAAAGTGAGCATTTATCCCCATTTCCCTTCAAAGTAGCATTAGTGTGCATGTATGCTTACTACATTTCTCTTTTTTCCAGTTACACTGCCGTCAAAGCGATTCACGTCAACATCGGAATGACGATTTAAAAGACATCTGTTCATCTTCAAAAAATGAAAGTATTTACGCGTGTTTTCAACTACGGATAACTTGTAGCAATAAAGGAAACATATCAAAGCTAATCGAATCTCACACGTGAAATCTGTCCTGACTAACTGTAGTGGTGCTACAAAGGCTGGTTTAACTGACATGCTTTCCTTTTTGATTATTTTTGATTATTTTTGAAATGTTATTTGTCAATATCCGGGAAAGGAAAAATATTACTCTGTCCATGGAGGATAAATATCCCGAAATGAACGCGGCAGCTATTCACCACTGGCATCTTCCATCAGTTCCACTGAGTTTAGATATCGTTGAATTATTTGTTTACAACTGCAACAATCTTAATCTAAATGTCTACATACATAAGACTACTAGGTGTTCTTCATGAATAATGGTTTACATGTCGCCTCGTGAACATTCCACGTAGGAATACTCATAATATCCCATAATCATAAGGTACGTATAAGTGAAAGATGGGAGTGAATAACGAAAAAGAGTCAATAAAATGCAAAATGATTAAATTAATGATATCGGTTCCCGACCATCATATACATATCACAGCGCTGCTGTTGAATAGCGGCGAGCGCAAGCGTCGCCATGACACCATAAACAAAACAAGACATTGCCCAGCTCGTCGAGCGAGAATCCCAGTATGCACCACTGGCATCCATCGTTGGCTCGGATTCTCCACATTCCGCTTCTAGAATAGGTGCATCCCATGATGATGGCGGCGCAAGAATTACGGACAACGACCGTGCTGGTCGTACCTCTCGCCGACGAAACGAACGTAAACCTGCACGTAATAAGGGAATGCGGAAAAGAGAGAAGAGCGGAGAAAGCCGCAGATATGTGTCAGCTGGGTCCGCATCTTCGAAGACTGGTGAAGGTACCGGTGAATTGCTTGTACGGGACGTCCAGCGGAAAAGTCTCAAGGCAGGGAGCGCGAAGACCGCCCGCAACACAGCTTGTGTCTTCAACAACGGCGAGTGTATCGTGGAGTACAGTGGAAAGCTGAAAGTCCTTGATTCGGTTAAAGACGTTTGAGTTTCTGACCTAGAAGTCTCGGGTACTGCAGCCGTCTGTTGTTCAACATCGACTCCAGGAACATCATTCCTGGTATCGTCTACCGAAAGCGTAATTTCTGGCACTCGTCTGGTTCCTTCGCTTGACTCGGTGCGTCTACTATACTCCTCGTCCACAACTCCAGGACTTTCAACATCGACGCGAGGCGGGCGTTGCCCATCGTCCTCAAGCACACGATAATCAGACGGTGGCGAAGGTGGAAGCGGAATATCAGCCTCTTGCAACCTCGGCCCCAATCTCAATGCTTGTTGAGCAACGTCGGCTTCATATTCAGAAACTGGTGGTGCTTCGATCATGGCCCAGTCCGCCCAATCTTCCTCCGGAATAGACGCAAGTGTACCAGACCTCGAGAGTCGCCGCTCAGAGCGCGGAGTACTCGCACCGGAAGCCTGCTGCACGGTTGCTCCAGCCTGGTTATTCGTGAACAAGTCAGTGGGGAACGCAACGGTCACACCCTGAGGCTCGGAAACATTGCTCGTCATGTTCTCAGCCGCAGAGCCACTCGTTTCCGTAGGCGTAGGAGGAAAATCCGTCTCAAATTGCGTTGGTTCTGATACTAACTCAGAAGCAGCAATTAGACGACTAGCATCACCATCAATGACTTCCGCATTCTTACTTGCACGCTCGTCATGCAACCCGCCTGCGCTCCGCAATGGACTCATTTTCTCCGCGTCTGCTTCATCCACCTCTCTCACAGGGCTCAATTCTGTCTCCAGTGCATGAACAAGCCCATGACTTGAATGTCGTCGATGATGTGTCGGAGCAGACGGTCTGTCCGTTTCCTGCTGCGATTTAGACGAGGATGCCGTATCCACGCGTAATGGACTTCCAGAATTGGGTAATCCGGAAGAAATTCCTGCACTAAGTCCAAGCGCAGATTGTACAACCTCTGCTAAGAGCGTTTCATTTGCTCCTGAGTCGCTCTGCGTACGTGAACGTGTACGAGATACTAATGAAGGGGAAGAGGAAGGTGAGCCTTGCTCCGCACCTCGCAGACTATCCATGCTTGATTTCCGTGACCCTGCATCAGAGTCAGGAGCTGAAGCGGCACCAAGCGCCATGCCCGAACCCGCCCAAGAAAGCGGTCTTGCTTTTGCACCTGCTCGCAGTGAAGGGTCCCAAAAAATGTCACCCTCTTCTTCCTTCCTCGCTCCCTTCTGTTGCTCATCGGAGTCGATCCTCTCGTCTGCCCCAGGCCATCCTCCAGGAATGGACTCTGCGCGTCGGTGCACAGACTGTTGCAATAAAGATGAAGACTTCAGCGACGACGCAGGAGACGACTTTGGGGACGGAGACGGGGAGTCGAGCGATCCAATTGAAGACACAAAAGATTGCGAAGGTGATGGTGGTCTGCGACTCGATCGCGGCGGAGGTAGAGGCGGCGGCGATTTCCGCCCTTTGGGACCCGTATTTCTAAGGTTTCCTTCAGATAATAAGCCCAGAGGTGGACTCGGCGGCGGTGTCGAAGGTGACCATGCCTGCTCGTCCTTCTGTTCTTGTTCTTTAGTCTCAGTGTGCTTCACATTCCCTGGCTGTGGCTTCGACTTCGGTCTGATGACTATGGCAGGCCCCAGTGCAGGAGTAGCACCAAGCGGCGATCTTGCTCGGGGCTTGTAGGGTGAATCTCTTGAGGGCCATGGCTTAGGTGACGGTAGACCTTCACTTGCATGTCGAACGTGCTTCATATTAGGGCTGTCAAATGGTGACTTTGGCCTTGATCTTTCCCGAGTCTCCTCCCTACCCCGCCTTTCACTTTTCAAGCTGCTGCTCATGTTCAGGCTATCAGTCCGACTTCTCACACTGCTTGCGCCACTCAGTGTTCGCTGACGTTCTCTCTCGCCCTCGAGTACCATACCCCACGCAATGCGTCCTTGAACGCCACGAGAGGCTTCCGTGACACACATTCCAACAATGTCACCAACTAGCCCCTCGACTGTGTGAGCATGCTCCGAGTACCACCACTCCGCAGGCCAGTGCGCTAGATACAATGATAACTCCGACAGCACTGCAGCAGCTTCGCGACGAGCAGCTTCCTCCTCCGTTTCGTCGTCTCCATCCGCGGCGAAAAGGGCATCTTGGATCGACGAGTCATGAGAATGTTCAAGAGCACAACCATCACCCGCAAGACCGAGACAAACACTGTCCATCTTTTCGGAATCTCCTAGCTTTTCCTTGTCCGACTCATCGCTGTCGTCATGTCTAAACGGATACACGGCACCTTCGGCACAGCGTGCGCGGAACCATGGTTCAATTAAGAGCTCAGCAAGCCCGACAGCACTAGTCGTTGCATCTCGAAGTTGATCGGCTTCAGGTCGTTTAGCAAACACAGCCGAAAGCCTCTTGCAGAAATCCGCGTGGGATGTATGGCGTGGGACTGACGCGCTTGAGCTTGAGCTCGAGATATCCTTTGACTTACGTGGCGGCTTGAGTGTGGTGCCCACGTCCCATGCGAGCGTTGACAACAGATGAGCTATAAGTGCACGGTCCTCTCGTTCACGTTGCGGAGTCTGTGGTCTGCCGGGTGTCGTCGGAAAGATTGGATTACGATTTTGTGAAACAGGTGAACGGGGATCTAGAGTTGGATCGGGTTCTCTCGGATCTGTAACCGATTTGGACACATCATCTTGGAAGAAATACGAAGGTAACTTCGGCAAAATCTGTGTAAGCGGGATGGAAGCGTAGATAGCATCACCAGGTATCGCTCCGAATACGAGGACATCCTGAGATTCAAGTGCAAAGCGGTACCATTTCCAATACGCCTTGTCTTGTCTGTTAGAGTTGCATGTGAGCTGCTTATTCAAGAATCAAAAGTTAAAGGGAAGATAGAACGGACTTGTCTTTCTCTACACCACGAAGGACTTCGAGCGCAGTTTTCGCACGTTCGCGTACCTTGCGCGCGTCGATAATAGCAATTTCCACGTCATGCTTTACTGCGAGTTTGTATCGTCGCACTGCATCCCAAAGGCACCAGAAGAACGAGAATGAAGTCGTCACATAAGGTGAGCTTGAACGTGTCGTCCAGTCGAGATGCCGAACGAGGTCGGCATAGGTCATCACTGACCCTTCAGTATTCCCTGCGTTCTCAACTGTTGAAGGGCGTAGACGAATATCGACAGACTGAGAGCGTCTCGCAGCCGGACGAGGTGAGCTCAAAGAGTCGGATCGCGTACGAGAGTGCCTCATAATAACGCTTGCACTGCGCGAGAGATTTCCTTGCCTCGAGCCAAGAACAGACTCTGCATCTGATCCATCGTCACTGCCGATATATGAGTATGAGCCTGAACCGCCACTTAGAGTGCTCAATGTGCTTAGGGTGCGTCGGCGTCGTCCAGGATCTGGAGAAGTGAGATCATCCTTAAATTGACGCGAGAGGAAGTAGGGGTCTCCTGGAGCTGCGTCGTCTTCGTCTCCTGGATGGCCAGGATTGAAAGCAAAGTAGTCCGAAGGGCCACTATCAGCAGTGCGAATCGATGTAACCGAATTGGACAACGATGAGGGTGACCGGGTAAGGGAAGGACGATGAGGGGAACCAAATGGTGAAGCGGGACGCGGGGACGGTGAAGTGGGACGGGAGAGGACACCCCGACGCTTGGGGGTGTGTACGCGGAAAAGAAAATGGTGATCTTCAACAAGAGTATCGAAAGAGTAAGTCGCGCCAAAGCCGTATTGCGGCAAGAGAGTTGTCTCTCTCGAGTTCGACGAGTCCACCGTCGTTGGCAACATGGTGAAACAAGTTCGGGAGACAGTAGCGATTACGAGGTGAATACGCGCGAGCGCTAGATATGAGAATTGCGCTAAGGCCTGGAGTAAGTTCTAGTGCTGCGGTCGCGAGTAAACACGCTGATGCCACGCTGAAAGCATTGGATAATGAAATGTTGCCAGGAGGTTTCCGCCCGGCTTCCGCATTTCCTTCGTACTCATGCATCCCACGAGGCAGGCCGGGTTGCTTCGGAGCACTTCTAGCCTTGATATTTGTGTGAAATGAACGCCGAAATTCGCCACCTTCCGTAGGGTACCACGCGAACCGGACCACGAAACATTGATTGGACGAATCCAGTCAGCAGTATCATTTTGTACCGAACCTGTTCACGTTGAAGGGGAGGTGATGCGACGACGCGCCAAGCACACGTGATAAGCAACTGCGCCAGAAAAGGCAATCAAACAAAGGCGGTGAAGGAAGGTCGTCATCTTTTCCTACTTGTTGTCAATATGTCAGAGCCAACAATAGCCTGATCATCTGGTATACGAATTTGTATGGAAGAAACCTGCAAATTGTCGTACTGAGGTTTGTCTACGTCACGAGCTTCTCGCTACCGCAGCCGCCACATGTGCTCTTGCCGAGGAATGCTGCCTTGGAAGTTGCAAGACCACTCCACGTCACAGCAGTCGTTTTGGATACAGCCACTATATAATAAACAGAGGATAGAGGGGCTCCTCGGTTTGACCTTTATAAATTATCACGATCAGAGGTTACTTAGCCACATCTAATTGATAGTTGCCACATTTCATCTGTGATCAACAGACATGGCTCATTCCGTCTCAGATGTGAACCACACAACTTACTAATGGCTGGAATGACACTTTGTCCAAGACAACTCTGAAGCTCACTCCTAGATACCACCTCAAATCTCGCTGAACTAGCATGATAGCATTTGCTCCTAGTCAGACTCTGTCGGACCGTTATCCGAGATCTGGAAAGTACAATGCACTTTGAATAACTGCTGTGTAATGATCAGACTGTACACAGCCTATCCTGTGTCCTAGTATGCAACTTTCGGCACAGTCTGCACAGCCCTTAACTAAATGCTTCCTCTTGTAATTAAAGAGCGTCGAAAGTACTGCGGTTCCTTATGCCCCTTCATCCTCCCCATTATGTTACTGTCGTCGTCGCTGAAACATCGCCCAAATGCTACTGAGAAACCAATGTCCAACTTTCCCTCAAGGACCACTGGAGCGATGGACTACGATACGCGTTCCACACATTCTCTTATGAGCTCAATCTCTACCTTGTCCACGACATCAACGGCCGATAATCTGCCAGGGCCGGGACGTGTTCTCGACCAATACTTTTTTCAACCAAGTGGACGGTTCGTTGAGCGAAAACTTAATCGCTTTCTCTACGGCAAGAAGTTGGCTCGCAATCGCAGCAGCACGTCGCACAATAACCTCAACGTTTATTCTGATCCTGCAGCACGTCAGGATGGAGACTCTGTCGCTGACCAGAAAGAATGGGAGGGCAGTCAAGCTGGACGTGAGGCATCCACCATTGGACGTCTGCAACGTGTAGACTCAAGCTTGTTGTCTGATGATTGGACCTACACCTACGTCACGTCTCCAAACCAGACATGCGACGACCTTCCCGGAGCTGGCCACTTCGTTGACTCTTACTTCTATCAGCCTGCTGGCCGATTCCTGGAAGCCAAAGTAAACAAATTCCGAGGCAACAGGAAGGACATCACTGCATATAACAAATTGATCATAACTGGATATCGAGATACCATCATGAGAATCCTTGACCAGAATGCTAGAGCACTCAACCGGACCTCCGACTACTTGGTAAATGACTGGTTTTGTTGGAAAACGCGAAGTCTGTCAGGTCTCCTGTATGCCTGGGGCGGCCATAGTATGGATTGTCTTCAGGAAGACAAAATTGTGTATTGCTGTAATAGTATTGCAGAAGCTGCAATGTGAGTGTCATGCTGTTTTTCTCATTGATTGGACAAAAAGCTCATGAATACTGGTAAGGTCAAACAATTCTATTATTCAGGACGAGGCTTTACATTGCTACAAAGACCTCCTGAAAGCTTATCCACGCCTATATCAATACTTTCGCCAGACCCGAATTTTCGACCGTGTCCTTCAAGGATCTGCAGAACAAGATATCGAAGACTTACTAGGACCACTGGTTGAAATATCGCTTGTTTTACCTTCCGAAGAAATTACTCGCTCAAATATGCCTACCGTTCGGCCCTTCCTCTTATCGTTTATTGCAGATGTGCTTGAAATCCGATCAGCAACCATGTATGTGCCAGTCGGTGTTTATTCACAACACGTGATGTATTCACTTTCTTTTAGTGAAGCAGAGACGGTCAATGTTCCCAAGTTCCTCCAGGAAGTCCTTCGGATCAACGAAATTTTTCATTTCTCTGGCGGGATGTTCACACTAGAGGATCCTGTTACGCTATTCTGGGACAGAGTCAAGAGAATTCTCGACAAGCCGGGAGTCTACAGTGGCACTTTGTCTACTTCCTTACTTGTTTCTCTGTTTTCTTCTTGGCAATCTCTTCCTATTGGGACATATCACCCACTACAGGACTTCATTCGGCTCTCCTTCCGGATTGCATTAAAGCTAGAATGGGAGAGTGTATTCAAAGAAGCAAGGTTAGTGCACGTCTTTTTAAATTACTTTATTCTCATAGATTTAACTGACAGTAATTGCTTACAGCCAGTCATGTAGTACAGTGTGTCTGAGGCTCGTGGAAAGCATAATGTCAATGTTTCCAGGTCAAACTGACATGCTTGCAAGTATTTGGCAGCAGTGCACTCACGAAGCATCTCACCAAGACATTGAGCAAGAGCCTTCTAATAATGATGCAGATGTTCTAGAACCTGTTGAAGCACCTTCATCTGTAAAACCTATTGCAGTTACTGTTACACTAGATGTTACTGTGGAGTAGACATTTAAAAAAGAATAATGAAAAGTGAAAGCATGTTAAGGTCTGTATCATGATAGAAACCATATAAGTACAATATCTATGCTTTTTTGCCTTCCTCTCGTGATGCTAAGTTTCAAATGACCTAACACCAGCCAAATTTCTCTCACAGACGCAAAGTCTAATAGTATTGATACATGTCTACGTAGCCATATTGATAAGAGGCAGGTCGTGAGAGAAAGCCTACAGTAGAGTGCTTGGAGCAAGAATTTCCTCATCCTAGTTCTCGAATGGAGCTTCTGCTTCTGTATTTGCTGTTGGTACCTTTGAAGCTGAAGGCAGTTCGAGCTGTTCAACGTGAAGAGAGACCTGTTGAGTTGGTATAATGAAGCTGTTACTTCATGACATAAACGCTAGCCAATGGCATACGGAAAGGTAGCCCGTCTTAATGACGTGGAGTAGATTTGCGTTGTGTATCTTTGTGCCTCGAGAATGATTTCCTGTCTGTTGTCTTTCAGGGCCTATCAATAAATTGTCGAAGCCGAGCTAGACGGAGTATTAAGCTCTAACTGCCATTCAACCAATTCCTGGACTTACTTTGTCTTCCGATATTCGATATTTTCCTCCTTCTCGCAGCTGCATCATTACCGAAAAAGACAAATCATCTGGGGGTTACCAGTGTAAGGTCAGCTGGTTTACACGACACAGATATTAGACACGCACCGCTATCACAAAGGGGAAGGAGTTGAGCATCAATGGCATTGAGTTTCATTAGCATGCTTCTCATTTGTCTCTGTACAGTTTCAAGCGGCAAAACTTCGGTCCTAGAGCGTTCGGTTCCGGCAACCTTCGCTCTATCGAACGAAAAGATGAACTTCTCCAGGGGCGTTGCTGGCTGATGGATACTAATTATAATCCTTTCAACAGCATCCTGCGTTACACGATCAGATTCATCGGAACGAAATAAAAATGTGAGAAGAACAAACGGGTACCTCTACAAGTTCTTCACCGATTGCCTTGACTACTTCTGATACATATTCGTTGATGGTTCTATCCGTGCATCGAAAGACGGGAATGCCGAACTTAACGCGACGCTCGAAGATTTCGAAGGGATAAACTTGACGGACGCATAGTATAGCATGTAGGGCGACTTCAACTGCCACGTATAAGCAAGGACAGTAGCAATATAGCCTTTATATCTCACGCAGTTCAGCTATTGCGGCAACAGCCGCTTAAGATAATTAAAAAATTAGAGATACTGATATTCCGAGAATAAAAATATCGGTACCGAGCTCCGAAAGTTGGTTGTTGCTGTCGGGAGCACACTGAGAAGACTCTGCCTCATCACTATTCTCGTTGCCCTCTGTGCTGTGCTCTTCTCGGCTTTTGTCCATTTTGCATGTTATATGCTCAACATGAGGGTGAGTGAGAGAAAAAGTATGCCTGACCTGGAGAGGTGCTGCCACATCTGGACAGGACAAAGACCCGTTTTCAAACTCCGATTACTATGCAACTGTCTAGAACTCGGAGACGCGGTTTATATGCCATCCTTCATGAGCTGAACTCTCCTTGAGTTCTTTCATCGCCATCAACCTTCTCCGCTTCACAAAATGGAACTTCAAGGTTGCCACATTGGACGAAGAACCCTCATTCCAATGAGGAAAGCCAAGAATGGAGCGAAGGACTTGTCATCCAACTATTTAACGCATTTTTTGCACTGCATTTCGCTGTCGAACGGTATTCAAGGGCCGGATACTGTGGTTACGGCAGACCCTCGGATACGGGAGGTTCTGTGAGCCTTGAGTGAGACCGCCAGCTGAGCCTTCTCTTGCTTGTCAACCGATCGACGTGGTCTCGACTCTCTCTGCCTTGGCCTTCAGGGTGCCTTCGCGAGCGGATTGAGACCTTTATAAACTGTGCTAGTGTTTACTGCGCAGCTTAGAACCCGCTGCTTTTCTAGCCTACACTCACCTCTTGCTGTCCACTCTCTTCTCCATGGTATGTCTCAATAATTACGCACAATCTCTTTATCTCAGAACATTCTTGCAGCACACCTCAGAAGCCATCGCCCGAATGTCCACCGCCGCAAGCCTCGCATCTTCAAAACCTGTATGTCCCCCACAACAACAAACTCCTTCATTAAGTAATTGATCAACTACTAACAGATCAATAATGACTGTGAGTCCTGGCGCGAATTCTCCGGATCGCCAGAGGTCAGCTCGTATCTAAACCCAACGTCTCACACAATTCTCTTCATCTCTCCATCTTCCTCTTTTTATACACACTACAGCCCTCAATAAAGTCCCAAAAGTCATGGCGAGCCCGGGCTCTGGGTCATACCCTACGTCCTCAAATCAAGCGTGGACTTTCATTCCTCTCCACCGTGTCGAGTGTCGTGTCGAGCCCCCGCGACGAAGTGTCGGAGGTATGTCTTTTGTCCCTATTCCTTCCGCAATTTTATTTTAACTCTATGTCGGCTAATTCAATCCTTTTTTATGGTACCGATAGGAAGATCTTCTTGATCCTGAAAATCGTGCATGGATGTGAAAGCTCTCCCGATCAACTGTATTTTTAAAAGCAACATCGCTGGCCAGACCGGCCTTACTGTACCTAGATTTTTTTATCTCTGTTAAAATCAGTCTGTAGGAACCAGAGACATTTGTAGTTATGGCTATACCTGTAGTTTCGTCAAATGGACGTATGAATACAAGAACGTGCATCGTCGGACATTACACCATCACATAAGATGAGCTTCCTGCCAGCAAAATGCCGAAATAATGCGAATATCAACCGCAGAATTATAAATTTGGTTTTGTCAGTTCATTATTCTTCATTCCGGGAATGAGCATCATATAGATCGAGCCAGCTAAGCAAACCAGAGGAAAGGTAATACGTTTCATGTGATTCCAAGATACAAGAAAGGGTAAAACACGGAATGATTTTCTAGACTTCGACATACATTTCCAAAACAAAATATTGCAAATACAAAATTGAGGAATCTTGCCTATTTCAGTGATTTCATAATTACACGTTCCTCCACATACAGTCTATATCTATCAGTTATCAACAAAGAGGAGAAAGAAAAAGGACGACACGGAATTCGGACGGCCCAGCCATGAATCAATTTTCTGTTTCGTGAGAGGGGTAGCTGGCCTGAGGATATATCGTTCTGCACAGTACACCACGCCTAAAATAAGGTCGGGAGAATTTCATCGCGCAGCACTTCATGCTTCGAATCAGTATCCTCTTCCGGTTCACATGTCGGCACATGAGTCGAGACGCTCTCGCGTGAACGGGAGTAGCTGAAGACGTTCTGAGTAATACCACAATACACATAAGCACTGCAGCATATTTCAAAATACAATCGAGGGTATCTGTGCAAACGTACCCTTGGAGTAGAACGTGAGTCCTGATGAGCTTCATACACCTCATAGGCGCTGCCAAGAACAACGACACCAGCCAGCGCTCCGACAGCAGCGGCGGAACTGGCATTCACACCGTTCTGGGATATGGCAAATGAGGTCAGGTGACGTCTAAAGTTCACAAAAATCTCTAAGCATTGCATACCTGCGAAGACTTCCTGATCTGAACGGGTATCAGGCGGCGTGGCTGCGCAGGTCCATCAAATACGAGCGGTTCTGGTAATGGTATCGGTGGAATCATGTCAACGCCCCCCGAAGCATTCAGAGACGCAGCGCTGGTAGACGAGGGGCGCGAGTGATCATGTCGTGTAGTGACGCGAGGCGGGTTACGCGGACGAGCGGGGCCGTCAAATATAACTGTTGACCCGTCGTTCGAAATTCGCTGATGAGCAACGGTGGACATCTGGCGAGCATGCGCTGCGTGTACGTGACCATAAGGCTGCTGAGTTGACTGACTCCTATGTGTAGCGGGGCCTGAAGTTGGTGACGGTGAATCCGACGCTGCAGTCGATTGCGACTCGATGGGACGAAAGTGTGACGGATAATATCGTCGTGCGGCACTGAGGCTCGGGCTTGTCGGCTGTTCGCTATCGAAGATCATGCGGCCTGGAGCGTCAAAGATATCAGCGGCGGTTGTGAGCGTTGATGCCGCTCTGGCAGAACTGGTGCTCTGGTTCGCATGGAAAGATGAACGTGCGGCGACCAGTGCAGGTCGAGACTTAGATGCGGCAGCGAGCATCTTTTCGTTATTTCCAGTAGATTATCAACAGTTGGGCTGTGAATACGAACACCGGGGTGTAAAGACAGATGATACATGTCCTCTTATACCAGCGTGGCGAAGCTTTTAGAATCTCCCATAATCGTCGACCTAAGCGGTAACAAGCACGCAATGACTAGCCACCGCGAGGGACAGTACAGAGATTGCGTTCACGAGAATCACGCAGCCGTGGAGATAGACAACGTCTTCCAGGTTAGACGGGTAACTGAACCGAGGGCTTGGCTTTCTGTCGTCGTATATGGTGACCTATTATATGAACCCTTGGCATTTCTGGGAGCCGACCGCTTCTTGTACCAGTACTCGAGCTTCACATCGTGTAACGTGGAAGGCCTGAGCGGCGATAATGCGATTATGTATGATGTGTGTAAGCGCTAAGGATTAGAAAACACCCTTCTGTCAAGGTGGTGACCATGATAAGGTGCCAGCACGGTGCATCGTCTTCATGAGATGCGAGGAAGTAAGCCCGTATCTTTCCGCGGTATCAGGCTTTGGTATTTAAGCGCAACATCGCGTATTTACAAGGGATATACGCATGTCGGATCCCTGGAAAGTTAATTTACCTAGCATGATTTTCGCTGAGAACAACGCGAGATGCGAGGTTATATAGAAACTTGTAATACGTACCTCCGCTTAAAGACCGAGTACCGTTCACTAGCTCAATGTCTAGTGCTATGCATCACCCGGAAGGTCCAGAATTGTCACTTGGCAGGTCCCAGGAAGGCTCTATGCAAGTTCGCAAGCATGAGACTCAGTGATCACGATGCCAGTACACTTTCTTCGAAGCGAGTAAGCCCAGAGGATAGAGCATATGAGCCTTGAGGTATGCAAGACCAGGAAATACTATAGCAATATGCTGAGCTGAGGACGAGGCGATGACGGTGTCGGAGAGCCGTCGCGTTGATCAGCAAAGACCGAGGGACGCGAATTTATCGTGACCGAGGGGAGTCGGCTAATGTTGCCGAAAATGGGGAATTGATACGTAGCCGATGATGCCTTTAGGGAGTCTCGGTGCTCCTCCGGGTCCATCGCATGAAAACCAAGACCGAGGGTGCTTTGTTCATGTCACTGTCAGAGTGGAGTACTTTGTTCGGTGGTCCCGAATGGCACGTGACGCGGGGTGGTACAGTATGTAATCATCGATCGAGAAAATGAATGAAAATACGCATTTCAAGTTTTACAATCAAACGATGCCATTAATGCAACATCGCATCAAGTGCATTCCATACCAACTCTTCGGCGTGCATTCGCGCCAGTTGTTATACACGACGTATGTGATACAGCAAGTTATCGTGCTGCTGTACCCGCAGAGTGGACTAAAGTATATAAAATACAACTCGGGTAGTAATTTCAGTAAGCTCCTTTTTGTGCTTCACGGTCGGAATACACGCTCAGGTTACATCGTTTAGCTAATCAATATACTAGACGCTACCCAGAGGTGGTAGTTGTCAATCAAGATCAATTTTCACCATCCCGTTCGCAATCGGATGCACACTTCGTGTGATCCTCATTTTCCTTTATTCTTGTCGAAATCCCTTTTGCATTGAATACAAGCTGCACTGTATCCTTTCCCCTCGCCCCGTGCAAAAGGTTCTGTCTCTCCATCCTTTATAACTGTAAACAGAAACCAAAATAAAATACACGTCAGTAAGCAATGGACAATAGCAAGTATTTCCCTCACTTTTAACCTTATAAGGTTTTTGTGAATCATCCTTCGTGGAATATACCTTCATGTCTTTGAATGCAGCATCTTTACCCAGCTCTTGGTACACAGACACAACCCAGGCATGAGGCAGACGTATTGAATATGTGATGAGCATTCGCACAGTTATGGCACCTTCACTGGAAGCATACCTCTAAGAAGTTTGGCGAGATCATCATCGCTTGATTTATCTGTAACTTCTTCCCAATTTTCGCTCATGAAGGATACTTAATACGAGAGATCAATCAGGCTGTTGATGTAAAAGAACTCTAAGCAGGTCAAGCTTTGGGATGTCAGCAAGACGTCAATGTGATGACCGTTCTTAAATACTCTAATCACCTTTCACTTTGCATTTTCAGTCTGTGCGGAAATATCTAGAATAGTATCATCCACATACTGTGGCAACAGCGCCACAAGCGAACATACAGGTTACTTTGCTGGAACTAATGGCGCAGTGGCGAATGAAGGTCGGACACCGTTCTGGAGTTTTGCATATGATCCTGTGAGCATTCCGACCTTGGAATTAATCCTTGCAGAGTGGTGAAAACCACATGCAATGTTTTATTGTATCCATGCTGTTAGATTGATCATATTAAACGAAGGCATAGAGTATTTACAGGCGTTTGGAGAGCATGTTGAGCCTTAAGTAAATATTACTTGGCACACCCAACGTTTTCAATCAAAGAAACTCTCAAGATCAATAATCAAGTGCTATGCGCTTCGATGCTCTTTGGGACATTACCAAATTGCTGTGACGCTGCAAACATTTGTCCCAATTTCTCGTATACTAATCCGCACTTGGGAACATCCCTTCCACGAACTATGGCTTGCGTGATTATTCCTTGGTCGGACACGCAACACAGCACACTGTGATTATCAACGCCACCGCGCCGAAGCGTGCTATCACTGCTATGTAGGGCTAAATCACAACGTAGCTTAATACCCATCGATCTCGGCTAAGCTCATGCCTTAGTACAATCCAATCTGCGTCAACTAGCAACGGGTATGAGCGAAACGAAGGAAACGTCCACTGTTGGCTGTATGCGTTGACATTCTCACGAGATGTTGCACGTGCTAACCACCAACGCATTTCATTTTCGCCAAATTAAGAAATCATTAAAATAACACGACCTCATCGTTTATCAATTCCTGCGATACCAATTACGAATCATCTCTTTTTCCATTTTTTTCATGCAGATATTTTCACGAAAATTAATTAGATACAATGTGCATGCAGAACATCGTGAATAGTATGTACATATATTTACCCTCCGATCCGACGATTCAAAAATTGCTCGCCTCCGGAAAAGCAACCATATCGAGCTGATCACAGAACACCAAGAAGAGAATCACAGGCACAAAAACTCAGAGCAGAGGAGGTACGAGAGATAGAAAAAGAGAGGACAAGACAGATAGATACAGTATCAAAGCACGCCTAAATATATCATTTAGTAGTTGGATAGAATGATTCCAAGAAATAGCGGTAGTCAGAAAATAAATGACGAAAACTAGTCTAAAGTGGGGTTGTATACTAACACGAATACAAGGTGCATGTCAACGCGAACAAAACATTGAGAAGAATGGAGTTGCATGAGTGCGCATCGAGGAGTGTTCCATGTCGACAGTGACTGGTGGTGTATCAAGATAGATCATAACAGGGCATGAGGCACAAACAAGTAAAACATTTAACACCGAAAACCATGACAAAAACACTAAGCACAAGAAATGAAACGAAGCATTTCGACAGCAGTCAATGGACAAGAATTGCAAAAGATAATTCACAAGAAGGTATACTGGATCGCAAAAAGCACAACAGAACAAACATACAAATCACAGCAAATTCCGGGCGGTAACGATAGCCCGCATACAGTAACAAGAATTATCAATAGCGTCCAATACGCCGTTGATATCCGAGGGGATCCTAGCAGACTCGAAATTAGAGCGGCCGCAATGTCTAAATCAGAAGCAATTTGATTATACCAACTCTGTCCTACTTCCGGCTCCTCCCGCTGCCCTCTCCGTGGCTCGTATCCGCAATCGCACTCGAGCTCGGTCCACTGCCTGATGTCTTCCCGCGAGCATTCGCCCCGCGTCCCCGTACTGTCCCCTCGAGGTACCTTCTTGGAGCATCCACGCCGCGTGGAATCGAAGTCACCTCCCCACTACCTTGTCTCTCATCACCTTCATCCTCTCCCCTCACTGACGCTCCGCTCGACGCCCCACCACTGATACTGCCTCCACGCCTCCTCGTATTTGCTCCACGCTTTTTGTCCTTTGTTGCGGTTCCTGCATTCGAGCTATTGGCGCCACCACCATCTGGCGCTCGTCTCTTTCTTTCCGTCTCCCTTATATTCACGCGAATTCCCCATCGACTGAGATGTTTCGTCAACGGCGTGCTTGCCTTCAGTCCAGGGAATTCCTTGGTGCTATACACGGCAAACGCGCCTCCGAAGCACTGTGCAAGTATAGGGACATCAGCACTATCCCCGGTCCGACTAAACAGATCGAAGAACCGGTAGCGAGGCCGGAAGAGACCTTCAAGTTTGACCGATAAATCCGCAAAGACAAAATAGAGGGTAGGACGACCAGACAGGTCAAGGATTGAGCAAGCATGGGCGTACGACTCGCCGAACAGAACGCGAGAAAGTTTATCAGCCTCAGAAGGTGGAGGAAGGGCGTCCGGGTCAATTGGTGCACCGATGCTCGCGTTTATCCCGCGAATAGTCGTACTCAACGAGTGTGCATGCGCGTGATTGGGATGCGAATGAAAAGCGTATGGTGACATCGGTGAGATTGGAGAAGCCGACTCCCAACCCGCTTCCAGTGGAGAAGCAGCGTTACTCTGATTTTCTTCTTCAGCAGCGAGTAAACTTGGCCTCGCGGTACGTTGTGGTGGATAGATAAAACTGCGCTGTTCATATGGTGAGTATGGCGACTGTTGTAGGCTCGGATGAGCGGAAACTGGACTGGGTCCGGGCGCATATTGTCCAAACGTTGCACTGTGCGTGCTACCTTGCTGGAATGCTTGTCCATGCCCGGGTCCTCCTGCATGCAGCGTCAAACTTGCGACCTCTGTTGGGCTGGGTGGAATCGTCACGCGATAAAGATCCACGTGGCAGATCAATCCACCAATTTCGACGTCCTCCGCTGCGATTACCCGTTCATATTGGTGAGGTGTCCCATGATGTACACTTTCATACAACTGAAGGGAAACAACTGGAGGTGGATCGAGCGGTCGACGATCCTTTCGCACTGCACGCGTTTCACCATCCTTTTCCTTTTCTGCCCGGTCCTTGTCATGTTCTTTTTCTTTGCCCTTCCTTGCCGCGCTATTTTCTCCATCATCTCCACCATGCGAGCCATTTCCAGACGTAGGCGGATCAGCGCATTTCCTCCCTAAGTCCGCCTTCTGGACTTCGATTATCTCAGCGCGAACCGTCCGGCCCGCGAAGGGACCTGTCGCAAACGTCTTCCATTTCCCAATGTCAGACGTAGTATGCCGTCGTGCGGCGAGATTTGTTGGTGACGGCGGGCCGGCCAACTGTGATTGTCCAATCGAGGTGTGTGTATGGCCAGATGTTGATGAGTGGGCTGGCACGGAAGCAGATGTAGGAACCGCTTCTTGATGCGGATGTGCATGCGAGTGCAGCGTGGGCTGTAAGGAGGACATTGGTGGCGCAGCGTACTGAGATTGAGTCTGTGCTTGACCCTGGACATTGGCGCTTGGGTAATAGCTGGAGGCAGACGCAGATCCAGTCGTTACCGTTGGCGTGGTAGGTGGTAAATCGGAGTCGATATAATCCGTCTGCGGCTGAAAAGCCGTCGCGGGAGGAGCGGCACTGTATTGCTGGGCGGCCATGCGCGTTGACGCAAAAGTTGAGGGTGGGTAGAACATCCCACCGGTATTTCCACTCGCGGCAGGATCATCTGCAGACGGCCCAAGTCCTGTAGTTGGAAGGCGAGCTTGGAATTCGTGCTGTTGTACTTGTTCATATTGGCGAGAATGTGCGTGCCGTGCTGCGAGCTCATCCTCATGGTAATATGCCGCGTTAGCATGGCCAGAGGGAGGATTCATCGCACTACTTGCCAGGATTGATGGTTTTAGGTCGGAAGAATGTAGAATAGGAATTGGGCTTCGGAGGAAATTTCGCACAAAACGTAGAGTTACCCAGCCGCCCGAAAACCAGTGGGGAAGCAGGACAGAAGGCAGAAGAAAACGAGGACAGCGGACACACGAGGATTGCCGAGTTCGGACAACGACAAGGAGGTTATTACTCTTTCCCGAGTATACGCTTAGCCGACGTACCTATCATGACATGCCAAGTGCAGTGACGGTGAAGGGCAACAGAGAATCAGAGGTCAGCGCGAGGCACCTCAACTGCAACGCCAAAACGATGCTGAGAACAGTGCTGACTCACGGAGCGTATATATTCAGATCACTGTCTTCTTCGCTCCAAATTGGAAGAAGATCGCGACACCAGGATTGTTGCAGAGAAGTAGGATAGTTGTTGAACAATAAGAGACGTCGAGGACGTCCCCGTGTCGTGCCGCGTTTCGGCGCTCAAGTCGCACGACCCGTGCAATATGTATGCTACCAATAAGTAAGATATTTGGTCAGATAAATTAATAAAATAATTCGGCAGGCGATGTCCATCCGCGTAGCTTTGACAGAAAATGATAAAATTCATAGTGTGAGCCAAGACGCTTGGTGGGTGGAAGGTAGACATGGAGCGGGACCGATGCACGAGGCAGTGTCGATTCGGAGGCAGCGTGGAGAAATGCCGCCCCGGATCGCTGCTTGTCACGCAACCGGCGGGATCTGCCCTCAAGGATGATAGGTGTGCCGCAGCCAATGGCGGCTCTGGGACGGGGATGTCGGCACATGGGGGTGGAGGGTGGACATGGACCAGGAGATGGGACACGGGTTGTTGTGTACTGATGGCGACACAGGCGCAGGGCCCGTCCAGAGCGGCATGCGCAAATAGCAGAAAATTACAGGAAAAAAAGGCAACGCTACTCACATGGAAACGGAGCAGACAGAGACTCCAGGCGATTAAATCGGAGCCAAAATGCAGGAAGAGATGGGAAGAAGGACGCGGCGAGCAACGTCGAGCTCGCAGGCGAGTGAGGGCAGGAGCAAGGCTGCAGTCCGGGAAATGGGCTCTATCCAATTATGTCAGCAGCTCTTTTGATCCCCAATCACTCTCGTGATGCATACAATTAACAATTATCACAACAGATGGATATCAAATCATCTCTAAGGGCCTCATTTGGAACAGTTATCTCAATCACGATCGTAATAGAGCGTTGTGCCTTCTGACGACTTATAAGTCATTGTTCATATGTATTACACACATGTACACCGTACAGCATACAAACTCGATCTATGACAAATGAAATGTGCGAACGAACGGAACAAATTAAGGGGGCAGTAGAGCTAAAGTAAACCAAACAGGATATGGCTATGGGAAGGTCGAAGTAGGAGCCACACCAAACGACAGCAAAAAGAAAAGGCAGAACAGAAAGCAGGGCAGGAAGAGTAGACGAGTAAACGTGTTGCCTGTTACAAGATCGCATTACAATACAACAAGTAACGTTTCGCCAATCACACTCAAGACGTAAATCTAAGTAATTACAAAGAGCAGTGAGCAAAAGGAAAAGGTGGCTAAGTAGTATTAATAACTTACTTTGAACTCGACAAAGTCTGGTCAACAAGAGAAGTCGCCGCTGTAATATCAGCTGCCAGGCACTGGAAGTCCCTCCTCGCGAGTTTGACGTGTGCCGGAGCGTGTGCACGACGAGCGCGAGAGTGATTTTGGCCCTTCGAGCCTTTGGAGCTTGTGGAAGTAGCCATGGCGGCCTTGGACGTGGTCGAAGAGGATAATACCGTTGTCGAATCATCAGCGACAGTACTTGAGTCAATTGTGGAAGTTTCGGCGGTGCTTGAAGCAGAAAGGGTCGTTGTCGAGCCATCAGCAACAGTCGAGTCCGCACCCGATGCAGATACCAGATCGGATGTAGCAAGACTAGAAGATGCACTCAGACTGGTACTAGGCGTAAACGATGCATTTGCAGATGCGGTTGATGAAACAGAAACATAAGCGCTCGCTGACTCCGAGACACTTAGACTTGCAGTGGATGATGCGTTGACGTATGATGCGGATGCAGAAACAGTGCTGGATGTGGATGTCGTAGAGTTCGTCGAAGAGTTCGAAGTAGAAGTGGACTCCTCGAAGCATTTCTACAACGATAGGGATTCGTTAGAAATATTTACTTATATATTCAAAGGGGCTCACCTTGAAGAAGTCGAAGTCCTTTGAGAAAAGTGTGATCTGGGTACTATCGTCGAAAAGACTGAAGAAAGATCCTTCTGCACCGGCGTTGACAGACACTCCACCATTCACGTCAACACAACCTCCAACCTGTGCAGAAGCACCAGTAGCACCAGTGGAGTCAACACTCGCAGTTGCACCAGCTGCAAGGCCGAGGTCCAATGCAGCAAAAGTATCGACGTCCAAGAACACTGTTGCTTCCACAGTCGAGAAAGCGCTCAGGCCAAAGTTGAGCTGAACGAGGACACAATATCATTAAAAAAATCCAAATAATTCCAGAATGAACTAGAACACGAACACTGGGAATGAGATGAACTTCTAAGGTGGCGTTCGACTGAATATTAGGGCTTGCAGACAGCTTCAATGCTAAACAATATGCAGTCAGTTAAAAAGCAGACATCAATGAATAAAGGACACTGACGAGTATCCTTTGGTGCGACAACAGCGCTTGAAGTTTTGCCATCGGACGGCGGGAAGAACAGCTGTAAATCGGACACTCCATAAGCTAGATCAACGGACATAGCGACATCGAGATCAATGGTAGCCTTTGCTTCGGCGTCGATGTTGAATGTAGGGCCGAGAGAAAGAATTCTACGCCAAACATCAGGCCTAGTCCTTGACACTTGAGAAAGAAATTTACGCACTTCGGAATGTCAAGGCCGGGAAGACCAACAGTAAAGAGCGGAATCTTTCCGGTATCAACTTCTCCGGCAATGTTGGCATCGATGGTGAGACCTCCGTCAAGATCCGCTGATACATCTACAAGTTAAAACTCCCGCACTGAGACTTCGATTCAATGAGTAGCACAGTGTCTAGTAATTACCTGAAAATAGGCCAAATTCCTTGACCTTTGGTGGAATGATAGAACCGGCGAGGACGGCACCAATCGTGACCTGCGCGTTGACCTTTGCATCAACATCGACGCTCAACTTTGCTTGCTCCTGCGCAGAGCAAGAAAGTGTTTTGTTGAAAATATTGAACTTTTGATCGATATTGATGGGAGGAAGATCCGTAGACTTCGTCTGGTTGAAATCTAAATAAGACGATATTAGCGAAGTTAAAGAAGAATCTGGGAAAGTGCTTACCGCCAAACAACGAATCAATGATTCCTCGCTTATTGACTATGCGAGAGCGACGCTTGGATCCTGCCGGAGTAATCGTAGCATTGCCGTTAAATCCAGGAATAGTTGAGCCGAAAACAAGCAATGACACGTTTCCATGTCTGGATGATATCGGTTAGAATTTACAATGCAACACCGTTGATCTCGGCTTACTGGGAAGAAGGGACTTGATCAAAGTTCGTATCAAAAGAAACAGCGTGAACAGTCGGGGTTGACCCATCACGACGTCTAAGACGAGCGTTGAGATGTTCCGGAAGAGACTGGTCCTCGGCTTCTCCGCAGCTTACGACACGAGCAAACGGGCTCGGGCCGCACTAACAAGATAAAATCAAGAAATACCCTCGTAAGAATCCAACAAAAGTAAGGATAATGCGAATTCAACTAACATTCTGAGGCAGACGGACAAGCGTATGTTCAGCTCCATTCTGGAAAAGATGAGAACAGGATTCCTCATCTCCCGAACAGACGATGCGAATGTCCTGTGCATCGGCATCCGTAGTGCAGTTGAGAATTTCCCAGCCTGCAGCTGTCGTAATGTCCGAGATAGCGTTGGTAGAGCCGGTCTGGAGTGTACTCATCAGTAACTTCAACGTTCGCGGTAATGCTGAGCTTACAATAGTCATGGTACCTGCCATGGTATTTTCGCCGGAGGGAACATCCCAAGAACATGACCCGTCAAGACAAGGGATTGACCAGTCATTAGCCGCAGAGACCAGCAGCGGAAGTAAAGAAAGAAGGCCGAAGAAGTTGGATTTCGGCATGATGAAGAAGAGAATGGTATTAATGGGAACGAAACTGGTGTAATACGAAGACGAAAGGCGTTCCGAAAGGACAGTGATGAGAACGAATGGGTGTATATAAACGAAAGACTCTGCGTAAATGGCCAAGAGGACTGGTCGTCTGATGGGACTTCATGACCCTTGAGCAGGTAATTTATACCATGTGCGATTGAGACGCTCAGCATCGTATGTCGCTGAGTTGAATAGACGAAAAGCAACGATTTGACAGGAATTTGATCGGTAGAAAACGGCTTTCGACCATCATCAAGAAGACCAACAGCAGTTGCGAAGGGATTTCCGCAACGCGTAGTGACCACCATGATATCGTTGCCTATCACATCATGGAAACAGAGCACGCTGTGCAAATCCATTCAACAATCTGGGACCCTGATCTTCTGCAGTGTTCAGGAACAATCTGAAATAATTCCGTCTTGGCCCACGTGACGCTCTACACGTGCCAGTACCATTCAGCCAGATTCTTCTCATTGTCATTGAATCTCAATCCAACCGACCCGATTCAGACGCAAAGAAGACACGACGCTGAGTAACCTTCGCCCCATGTGGGAAGATCCACTAGCTGAGACGTAGCTTTCGAAACACTCTTCTCGAGAATTCCCTTCCAGTATACAGCCACCTTTACGTTGAAACATGAAGCTGTCGAGGTAGTGTCTCATCGTTTATGGATGCAAGGTCCTGGACTCGGAGCAACCACCATAGAACGTATCAACGAGGTCAACAGTAGGTTGATCGAAGATTCGAGCGCTCGAATTCTCGACCTGGCTGGTGTCTTATTCAAATCATCACCAACCCCATTGTTTGCAATGATTGCCGCAACATAGTCTGTCTGAGGAATGTGAATTTCACCATTGGCCACAAGTGACAAATAAGAGCAGGAATCATCGACTAGGCTGTTGTTAACACGTACACCTGACCCGACATCAGGTGAGTACCATGGCAAAGTCAGACATAACCCCGATCAGACAAAATTCTGTTACAAAAGATCTAGTACTCCGTAGTCTTCAAATTTACGTATCTGAACTGCGGTTAGACGCTCGTTTGAAAGCGCTTACGACCTATTTGTGCGAATTTCGAGCTCCCTTGGAAGCTGAGTGAAGTTGCGTTACTTGCGTATGTGCCACAACCCGATATCGGATTAACCATATCTTGAGTACCCACCTAGAGCTGGTCAGTATATTAAATACCATGGTAGTCTCTACCGTCTCAGCCTTTGATGGGCAAGAAACCTGTCCTCTTCGTTAAATAACTAGTTTCGACATGCCGAGTATGTACCGATGCAAAACCAAGGACATGGGCCGCACGGCTCTATTGTGAAGTTGTACAAGTCAAATTTGGGCTGAAGAGCCAGGAAGACATTTCTGGTCCATAAATGAATTCAAATATCTTCTACACATCAAGTACCGATAGGCACGAACTTCGAAAAATTCCAGCTCTTCCTCAGCCAAATTGATTGTTGCCGAGTTTCCAAGCAAGTCAAATAGGGAAGGCTTGACATCTGATCCATGCGATCCACACTTTGACTTTGCCTATCTTTCTCAGTTACTGTATCTTTAACACGTTGAGAAATATGTACATTGAGGCCCTCAATAGTTAATGATCGTTTCTTTCAACTATGAAGAAATCACAGCTTCTGACTTAGAGTCTCTAAATGTATATGGCAATGAAAGATCAACAAATCCCAGGAAGCTATATGTGTACCACATGCATGTACAGCACGCAGCGAGAGTCTATAACACACCGAGTGCACAAACAGAAGAAACAAATCAAGGACATATTACAACTATAGTAACTAAACTAAAGGATATGGCTGCTAGAAAGTCGAAATCAAAGCCACATAAAAGCAAGAAAGGGAAGCCAGAAAGAGACAGAAGAAAAGATGCAGCAAGTAAATGTATTATGAGATATCTTGTACTCAAGATGTAAAGCTGTAATTGCAAAAAAGCAATAAGCAAAAGGAGAAGTCAGTATTCCAAAAAAAGCTTACCTTGTGCTCGACAGATTCTGGTCGACAAGTGAAGTCGCTGGTGCGACGTCAGCTGCAAGGCACTGGAAATCCCTCCTCGCAAGCTTGATGTGTGCTGGAACGTGTGCACGGCGAGAACGAGAGCTATTCTGGCCCTTCGTGTCTTCGGGGCTTGTGGGTGTAGCATTAGCAGCCTTGGATGTGCTGGAAGAGGACAATACCGTTGTTGAATCGTCAGCAACAGTAATTAGCGTGGAAGTAGAACTCTCGGTCGTGCTTGAAGCGGAGGGCGTCGCTGTCGAGTCATCAGCGACGGTGCTTGAGGCGGTCACGAAGCTCGAGTCCGCAGTCGATGCAGATGCCAGGTCTGCAACCACGAGAGTAGAAGAAGTACTCAGGCTGGTACTAGGCGTGGATGGTGTGTGTGCAGATGCTGAGGATGAAATGCCTGTGCCCGCTGACTCTGAGACACTCAGGCTCACAGTGGATGACGGGTTGACACTAGATGCGGAGTTGGAAACAGGGCTAGACGTGAATGTCGCAGAGTTCGTCGTAGAAGCTGACTCTTCGAAGCACTTCTACAAGGGAAAAACTCGGTAAGACAATTCTAACAATTACGATCACAAAGACTCACCTTGAAGAAGTCAAAGTTCTTCGAGAAAAGTGAAACCTGTGTACTATCGTCGAAAAGGTCAAAGAAAGATCCTTTTGCACCGGCATTGACGGAGACTCCGCCGTTCAAATCGACACACCCCCTAGCTTGTGCAGAAGCACCAATAGCACTAGCTGTGTCAGCACTAGCAGTTCCACCAGCTACAAGACCAAGGTCTAATTCGGCAAAAGTGTCGATATCCAAGAAGATTGTTGCAGATCCTAGACCGTCAAGGACATTGATGCCAAAATTAAGCTGAAAAGAGCACAAGATACGTCAATAAAGTGAGTCTGGAGTGAACTAGAATACTAACACTGGGAATGAGATGAACTTCAAGAGTGGCATTTGACTGAACCTCAGGGCTTGCAGACAGTTTCAATGCTAGACAGCATGCAGAGTGCGTTAAAATACAGATATGATAAAGCGAAGAACACTGACGCGTATCTTTTGGTGCGATAGTAGCACTTGAAGTCTTGCCATCGGATGGAGGGAAGAACAGTCGCAAGTCAGACACTTCATAAGCCAGATCAACAGACATATCAACATCAAGGTCAATGTTAGCTTTTGCTTCGGCATCGATGTCGAATGTGGGGCCGACATAAATGAGTCTACGCCGAACATCAGCTCCCTTTCTCGATGCTTAGGGAAGGAAATTACACACGATGGAATGTTGAATGGATAAAATTCAGAAGTAAAAAGCTTGATCTTTCCGCTATCGAATTCTCCGGCGATGTTGGCGTCAATGCTGAGACCTCCGTCAAGGACCGCTGATACATCTGCAAATAAAAATTACACATTGAGATTCCGATCCAACCGGTATGTTGTCATTAATTACCTGCGAACAAACCAAATTCTGTGACTCCCGAAGTGAGAGAACCAGCGAGAACAACACCAATCGTGACCTGCGCGTTGACCTTTGCATCAACATCGACGCTCAACCTAGCTTGCTCGCCAGCAGAGCAAGGGAGCGTAGTGTTGAAAATGTTGAATTTATTATCGATATTGATGGGAGAAAGGTCCGTAGACTTTGTCTTGTTGAAATCTAAATAAAAGGATATTAGCAAAGTCTAAGAAGAATCTGGGAAAATACTTGCCGTCGAAAAAGGAGTCAAAGCTTCGTTTATTGGCTATGCGAGAACGGCGCCTGGATCCTGCCGGAGTAATCGTAGCATTGCCATTGAAGCCGGGAATAGTCGAGCCGAAAACCACCATTGACACGTTTCCGTGTCTGGATGATATCGGTTAGAATTTACAATGCAACATTGTTGATCTCGGCTTACTGAGAGGAAGGGATCTGGTTAAATTTTGTATCAAAAGAAAGAGCATGAACAGTTCGGGCTGATCCATCACGACGTCTGAGGTGAGTGCTGAGATATTCCGGAAGAGACTGGTCCTCGGCTTCTTCGCAGCTTACGACACGGGCAAATGGACCCGGGCCGCACTATCATGGCAAATAAAGGCATACCATCGTAAGAATACGGCAGGAGCAAAATGATTCGAATTCAACTGACGTCCTGAGGCAGGCGAACAACTGTATGTTCAGCCCCGTTTTGGAAAAGATGAGAACAAGATTCCTCGTCTCCTGAACAGACAATACGAATGTCCTGTGCTTTGGCATCCGTAGTGCAGTTGAGAATTTCCCAGCCTGCAGCTGTCGTAATGTCCGAGATAGCGTTCGGAGAGCCGGTCTAGGGAGTGTCATTGTTAGTAAGTCCGATTTTTTGTTATAATCTTGAACTGACAATAGTCATGGTACCTGCCATGGTATTTTTACCGGTGGGTGCATCCCAAGAACAAGTTCCGTCCATACAAGGGATTGACCAGTCATTAGCCGCAGAGACCAGCAGCGGGAGTAAAGACAGGAGACCGAAGAAGTAGAATTTCGGCATGATGAAGAAAAGAATTGTATTAATAAGAATGGGAAGCTTGTAATGCGAAGGCGAAAGGTGTTCCGAAAGGACAGCTGATGAGAACGAGTGTGAATAGAAAAACGAAAGACTCTGGATGAAAGAAAGACGAAGGGGGCTGTTTGCTTAATGTATTTTCATGGCGTATGAGCGGGTATTTTATACTATGCACGGGTACGGGAGAGGCATTCGGCACACTATACTATTGGTCTGTATGGACACAAAAAAAGCCACCACTTGACAGGAACTCGATCAGTAGGAGACGGCTTTCAATCATCATCAAGGACTTGAAGAAGGTCGACGACAGTTGTAGATTGGCCTGTGGCGCCTCGTTGGCACAGCAGTATTTTTAAGACGCAGAACAATGAAGTCGTGTGAGGCGGCAAAAACGACGATCTACGTTGAGGACCAGCCAGAAATAGCCCTGAGCGCAGATCATACATGCTAACCTAACCGTGTCTAAACAGTCCTCAACGCTTGTGGATATAGTACTTGAGAACTTCCGCAAACAAAGCTCTGATGTAAAAAAAGCACGTGGTAGACTTTTTTATTTACATACAAACACCACTACGATGGAATAAGACACTTACTAACTAGAGATATCGTCTCATCAGTTTGCGCTTCAAGGTCCACAATTACCAGCAAAGAAAATTCGACGAGATCAATAACAGTCTAACAGATCGATCGAAGATTCCTAATGCTCTGAATTTCAAGCTTTCAATTCATCAACAACCCCCTTGTTCACAATGATAGTTGCGACGATTAATATTCCATCGTTGCAGAATTCATCATTGGCCACAGCTCACTAGAAGTAAAAATAGGGAAGGATCAACCGGGCTGATTTTGATTCTGCATGGCAAACTATCTTGGCGTCAGGTGAGTGCTATGGCAAAGCCAGGTGTTGTAATGATGATCCTGTTGCAGAAGTTCTAGAACTCCATACATAGTATGCTGATCACTAACAGAAAATTCCGAAATAATTTACAGATTCCAGCTTTCAATCAGACCCTCGACTGAACCGACCATCGCCAACCTGTGCGAAGCTCTAGTTCCCTTGGAAGCTGAAGAAGTTGCGTAAGTATCGCAAATCTAATATCGGATGAATCAAAATCCTGTGTACGAACCTAGAGCTGGACAGTGTTGTATTTACTATACTAGTCTCTACTGTCTCAGCGTTTGATGGGCAAGAAAATCCTGCTCTCTTTGCTAAAGGATCAGACTCCATGCCTCGAGTAAACGGCAGTGTAGAGCCAAGGGCACGACCCTGTGGTGAAGCTGTACCAGTCGCACTCGGGCTTGCAACAGATGAGCTCGAAACATCCGGAAGACATTTCTGGTCCATGGATATCAGCTTCTTGCACGCGTCAAGGCGTAAAAGGGTACGAACTTTGAAGAAGTCCAGATCCTTCTCGGCCAAATTGATTGTCGCCGAGTTTCCAAGTAGGTCAAATAGGGGAGATTTGGCGTCTAGGCCTACGTTGACCGAAACCCCGCCACTCACATCGACACACCCGTTCACATCAGTCGAGTTGCTGGTTGCGCCTGTGGTATCTATACTTGCATCGGCGCCAGCATTGAGATCTAGTGAAAGAGTTGCAGATGTATCGAATTTCAAGAACGCTGCTGTATCTATGTCGAAGGCAACAACACCGAGATTGAGCTGTTAAAGTAGGTCGTCAGGAAATACAGTGTGCTAAGATAGTACATCATCATGCTCACGGCAGGTATCAAATGTGCGGAGAAGGATGTCGACGACTTAATACCAGGACTAACAGAGAGTCCCAACGCTGAAGGTGACGGTTGTCAGCCTCTAGCATCTCTATATTATACTAATAACTCACGGATGTCCTTCGGTGTGACCACAGCAGACGATGAATGGCCTGCTGAGGGAGGGAGGAATAACGTCAGATTGCTAATGCTGTATCCAAGGCCAACGCCCATGTTCATATTAATGTCGATATTGGCCGTCGCTTTCGCGGAGATGGTGACTGATGGACCCAGAGAGATGACACTATCATCTTTGTGAGTAATGTTAAGCACCAGAGTATGTACACTTACTCGGGAATACTGAGTCCAGGAAGTCCAACATTTACAAGAGTGATCTCCGGAGAGTCAATTTCTCCCTTTAGAGAATCAGAAGGAGAATATCACCACGAGGGAATTGCATTGCTTACAGAAAGGTCTGCACCGAGATTAAGTGTGCCACCGAGATCGGCCGACATTGCTAGAACGTAATTCCGTCAGCTCAAGAAATAATGTACGCAGCAGACCTAACATACTTGCAAAAATGCCGAACTGGTTAAACTTGGGAGGTACGATCGTTCCCTGAGCTACCACCCCAAGGTCGATCTCTCCTTGAACCGTAAGATCGGCGTCAACACTAATCTGTGTATTTGCATTCCCAGTGCAGGGCAGTGAGGAATTGAAGACGTTGAACTGTTGGTCAACATTGATAGGAATCGAATTCTTTGTCGTGTTCCGGACGAATGAGCCTAATCCGTCGGAAGGAATGATGGATGAGAAAACTGTATTCGCTCGTTCGTTAGCACTCTACTAAAGATTTCCGACCATAATGACCGGACCCACTATCAAAATCAGCTGGGCTGGCACCGCTTGCATTACGGGATAAAATATCGCGGGCATGCTGTCTAACTACAGGTGGGGGCGACACGCTCTCTGCCATTCCGGGGATCGTCGACGCAAATACAAAGAGCGAGACATCTCCCTTGCTATGGTGTCAACGGATCAGGATTGTGCACTGAAAAATCACAAACGAAATCTTACTTGGAGCTCGAAGACTTGCCGAAGTCGGTATCCAGCGAAAGCGCATGAACAGGAGGCAAGTTCCCGTCTCGCTTCTTCAACTTTGAACGAACATGAGCCGGAATCACCTGGTCTTCGGAGATCCATGCTCTCGAGACGCGAGCAAAAGGAGTCCTCCCACACTGGCAAGTTACGTTATTTCTCAGATGAACAACTGTGCTTAAGAGTTCGTCATAAACTTACACCTTCTGGCAGCCGAACGATAGTATGTTCTGCGCCATCCTTAAATATATGCGAACATACAGACTCATCACCTGAGCAAACAACGCGTATATCCTGCGCAGAGGCATTTGCCGAGCAGTTGAAGACTTCCCAGCCCGCAGCCGTAGAAATATCCGAAATTGCAGACGGTGAGCCACTCTAATGAATAGTCAGAGAAAAGCTTGGGCACAAACATGTAAATCGACCTACAATTTTCAATGTCGCTCCCATCGAGTGTTGACTTTCAGGTATATGATATGAACACTCGCCTGCATGGCATGGCGTTGTCCAGTCATTCGAAGCCAACGACACTGCAACCACCAGTGCCTGAAACGTCAGAAGTGAAGTAGTCTTCATCTCACCAGACAATCGTAGAAACAAACGCGGGAGGATCCCGACGCTGGGGACGCTGGGAGGAAAACCAGATGGGACGAGCAATCAGATCAAGCTCCCTAAGTAGCGCAACTCGTCTTGCCAACGTGCAAATAAAGCACATTTTGTACGTATATGTAGCCAGGTCGGCAGTCCAGCGAGCCTATCTGTGCAACAAAACATTTGATAAAATCAAAGAAGAGATTCGTCGTCTTTGACTTGCCCTTGATCGGAGACCTCTCGGACATGCCCGTCAAGACCGACAGACGCTGTATTGTATTGAAGCGGTTGTTAACCATCATTTCCGAGTCATCGAGGCGCCGACAGAACCTGAAAAACGATCTGCTTAATGCAGTGAATTCGTATGATTTAGTTTCGGATTCATACAGCAAAAGCCATGCGCATAGCCCTAGCAGAGGTCAATATCAAAGGAAGAAACAGACGTAGTCAAAGCAATTTCGTTTCAAGCGTTTTGAAGGATGCCGTTACTTGACTTGATTTCGCCTCGATGGCTCCGAAATCGCAGCGTCGATGTCAGCACCTCCAGATACGACAAGCTGCGCTGAAAGTCTCCACCGGATTATTTTAATAGAACAGTATTTTGCTTTCAGTGGCTGAAGACTCAGTATAATGTTGTCAAGTTGAGCACAGGAAGGGGTGATGACGCATGCGCAAGTAGTTTGAAGAAACCAGGCGTCAATCATGGCGGAATTTGAAATAACCACCGCTTTAAGATCAAACATGAACCACCGTCTCTCACCGTGGTATGCCTGACAACAAAGAGAGACGCCTTAAAGATCCGCATCTAGCATCATAAAATCGACCGGGACTACGCCGCGAAACAATAAAACAAGTCCAAGCCTTTCAAAGTAACGTCGACACAGCTTTGTAACAAATGCATCTCGATGACCAAGATACGCAGAAGTTCCTGGTTGGATTAGGACGAAAGGCCCGAGTTAGGTATAACAAATTAATCTAGTGAACCAAAACAAGACAGTCAGCGAAAATAGAATAAGCCAAATACAGCGATGATATGGGCGATGGCCACAATAATGAAAAGCGGGGTGTTCCTATAGCAAACAAAACCCGTAAATGCCGGAGTGAGATCCCGTTTGACACAGTAGCAGTGAATAGTATTTGAATGTGGATGCAGATATCAGATACTGGGTGATGCATAAAAGCAATCGGTGATAGGCTAAAGAAAAAGCATGAAGCAGGGACCGGCAGCCAGTAGCGTAAAAAAGAGATTAACCGTGCATAGCAACATATCTATCTTCCATCCACGAAATCCAAAGCATCTTCAAGTCCGCGTACAAATCGTTCCGTACTGAAAGCATTCCGGATGCTCACGCCCCGCACGATACGTTTCACTCCACCAATACCTCCGTTTCTTCCACTCCCACTCCCAACGTCTCCCACGCTGGTACTGAGCTCAGATCCTGAGACCGATGCAGCGCGAGAACCCGGACCCGAAATACTCTGCGGCGGAGTTAAGCCGTATTGTGTCCCTCCTGTTGCAGAACCGCTCGGGGCACGCACACGTCGTGCCCGAGGTGTGTTGCGAGGGGATGATGTAGGAGAAGGTAGAGGTTGTACAGGTCCTTCATATGAGTGATGTGTCCAGGTAGCCGCCGACGAAGGCGAAGGGGCAAGTAAGTCAGGGACCCGGTCAACGTATGTCGTAATCGTAGTAGTCGTCGTACTCGTGTATGTGTATGTCTCTCCGAGTGCCGTACCAGCCGCAGATATGGTGTTGGAGCGCGCCCGATGAGATGAGGTTGATCTAAGGGGAGGAGCGTACGAAAATGTGCGCACTCGTGCTGTACCTCCGCTCTCCGCGTAATCGTAATCCGCTTCTGAAGATGACGGTGATGACGGTGAGACAGCCCTCGAACGTCCTGGGCTGATACTTTTATGCCCAGAGGAAACTGTCGATATCAAAGGTGGGGGACGAGTTGGCCGCCGAGCTAAATCGCGTATCCAGCCTTCCCATTCTACTTCGCTTTCCACGTCGTCATCCCCTTCCTCGTCATCGTCTTCCGAAAGCGCAGCCTTCCATGGGTGTGGTCCAGACGAGTCTGACTCCCTGCCTACTCCTTCGTCCTCAGATCCCATAGAAGTCTGCTCGGCACATCGTCGTAAGCCCTCTGATATGCTTGGGGCACGAGGCAGTGGATGATACATTTCACAATAACCATTGCTTGCGAGAAGACAATTTGCCTGTGCTAATGCCAAAGCAGAACCGATAGCACCTCGGCCCGCCGCACGGCAGCGCTGAACAAGCGCGAGGCGCCACTCTGGATATTGAACACCAAAGAAGGCAGATATAGGAGGAGCAAGACCATGCTCTAAAATTGGAGACGAGAGGGCATCAGAGGAGGACGTCCGTTGCCGCGGTGATGACGCTATCACCGGGGATGATGCTGGTGTTCTCGGTGGCAAGAAAGTCGAAGGAAGTGGGTGCGGCGCAAGGCGATGAAGAACACGAAGTAAATTTTCATATGCTGTAATAGGATAAATCAGGTACACTGCGATTGCATCTATGCGCGAACAACACCTACAACTACGAGTTTGCAAGTCAAGAATAACCCATGAACTTGTTTTAGGCTTTCTTTTCCGCTGAGTACCTGGCGAAGCCATTTCATCAGACTCGCCAGTTACGCCGCTTCCAGACAATGAAACCCGATTAAACTTTGCACAAATGACACGAGTCATTGAAGCCTTGTCACCAACAACTAGCCCACAATGTTCCGGGCTACTAAGAGTGTTTAAAGCGGAGATCGGGAATCGATGCGTTGGGGGCGAATGCGCCTCTTTGCATAAATGCAAGATGCCGTCTCGGACTATAGCCCAACGCGCCTTCCACTCTGCCGAATGTGCCTGTTGGTCTTCAGAGCTGCGCGTGGGGCGCTTTCCATGTGGACGCTCAGAGACACGCACGGGCGATTCGAAGTACGGCTCCGCGTACGCGATTCCAACGCGCGGAAGTGACACAATGCCGCCCGCCCGGTGCACCTCGATTAATTCAAACGGACGCGGTCTATACCACGACAAGTCCGCATCATCCTCTAAAATAAAGCCATTAGAAAAGCTGACTAGAGTATATTGTGCGCTCATTGCTGCGAAGTCGCGCTCGGTACTTGTCCGTTGTGTCGGCGGAGGCGGGGTATAGAAAGACGTAGTTGAAACAGTATGCTCGGAAGCTGCATTTGCTAGGGATGATTTTGCAGTATCAAAAGTAAGCCCTGACTCCGAAGCACGCAGTTCAGCATTATAATCCACAGCAGCGAATGCGTCCCAATCGTCGTCTTCGGCACCTTCTTCAGTTCCTCCCCACGATCCCGAGTCAAGGGAGCTTCGTCTTGAGGGAGCAGAGAAAGTGACCGGGGATGCGGGCCTAAATCGCGGAGGCTGAGGAGCGCCGGATGTGTCCTCCCATAGATTGCACTTGGACAAAATCCATTGCTTTATGTCCTTGATCTGTTGAACAGTTTAGCCGAGCCTGGTGTTTGGTCAAGACAGCACACCTTCCAGGATGTATCTACATGTGTGACCAGCCACTGATCAAGCGGCACTAGTAGGAACCAAGATGAGCAAGCTGAGAATGACGGGAACAGCGGGAGACGGAGCTCACCTAATCTGCACGCAATGGGTAACGTTCGCATTCCATCCTCGGCGAGAAACTTGGCGGCCGTAGCGTAGTCATTCATACCTTGTCTTTACGCCCGGCGCCAGGCCAGGCAGATACAGCGGGATCTGCTCGAGGCCAAGCCTTTCGGACGTCCTGCCTCGACGACCAAATCAAGTTGAAGAGAACAGAGCTGGGCTGATTATCCGTCACTTCTAATCAATTCCGTGCTTCTATTTCTCCGCAATACCAGCACGAGGGACGTACAGAAGGATTCTCAATGCAGCGCCTTCGACGTCGGCGGCGGCGACAACGACAAGGCAAGCAATAACGTCCGCGTTGTCAACGCCCATCAACACGCCCAGCTCAATGCCCGATCTTTGTGGGGGTATACTTATATTATGTAATATCATTTCTCTCCTGCATCGCATACATCACGTGATATTCACTTCGAAACAACAACAGCATAGAAAGTCTAGAATTAGTACTAATAGTAGTAATTTTTAGTAATAGTATGTACCACAAATGCGCTTCTATGAGACCGATACAGTACACGACATATCTCGGGCTCGAAGAAGACAGGAATAGACTCTTCACTGCATCGCCTTCTCCCACCATTCACTCGCTTCCTTCCTCCTTCTCTCTACCAAAGCTTGCACGTCCTCGCCCCAAATTTCCTCCGGCCTCTTCCTTTCCTTGACTCCTTCATCGTACTTCTTCAGCTCTGGCAAGTCTAGTACAACACAATTCTGCACCGTAACCGGCTCGGATGGGTCCCAGCGTGTGAGAGCAGCTTTGTTTGGCACACGATGCGGAGGAATGAGAGAACGGCCTCGATGGAGGTCCTCATAGATATATGCAACATCTGTCTCGTCAATAGGTAGGCGACTGAGGAAAGAAGCGTCGGAATAAGCATGTTGTAAACGATGGCGAATATGAATTTAACAAACATACTTGATCTGTTCACCCGTAATCTTCTCCTCTCGTACTTTCAACTCGCGAAGGAGCTTCTCATACGTCTTATGCCGATTCTTGATCCAAAGTGGGTTCGCAATTGGCTTTCCTGCGATTTCACACAACACATATGCCGCAGCGTTCAAGCCAAAGATCGACGGAAGCGGTCCGAAAACGGGTAAAATCCTAACTCGGAAATCATCAAACGGCGTCAATTCTTGTATATTCCCCTTTTCAAATTCCTCGTCTGCAAGTGGAAGTAGCTTAATGTCGTCAATAGGCTTTTCGGTAGAGTAGACTACCGGAATGCCAGATGAGACACCGGCTTTGCGGAGTTGGACGCGCACTGAACGGGAGAGGGGATCTTCGGCCGTACAAGATATGTCGGAGATTTGGATTCGGGTCGGGTCAAGTTTGGAACCTGCACCCATTGAGGAGATGACCTAACAATAGGTTATGAGTGTTGTCTCAAATTCCATCTGGTTTCGATGCCTACTTTTATGCCGTTAGCATGGCAGTATTTGAGAAGGTCTACTTTTGTTGTAATATTGTCTATCGCATCTAAGAAGACGAAAGTTAGTTTCTAATTACTTATCACAACTATAAGAGCATACCTATCACCCAGTCCACCCCTTCTAACAAGATGGAACCATCCTCTTTTCTCCACAGCTCCTCCCTAGTATCAACCTCAACCTTCAAAGACATCCTCATTAACGCGCTCTTCATAGCCTGGACTTTCGACCTCCCAACGTCAGCAAGCGTCGCTGTCGCATGTCTATTCAGTGATGACATCGTGACACGGTCAAAATCAACAAGGCGTATATTGGATATGCCCCTGTCCATCAGACGAAACAAAAAAAAACAAAGTAACGAAAATTATCGTCAGGGAGAAGGTACGAACACCAAGAACTCATTCGCTAGACGTACGATCTAACAAGCATCACTGCAGCCCAGCTCCCAACACCTCCGCATCCTACAACGACCACTTTCGCGTTTCTAATTCGCTCCATACTTTCCTCCTTGAATAACGCATAACATCGTGCTAGCTGTTCTCGGAACAGTTCTTCGGGTTGTTCGCCACGCAAAATCCGGTCCTTCACGGGTTCAATTCGTTCTTGCACCAGAGATGATATAGATGCATCCGGTGGTGTTTGAATTTCTGGAGAATCTGCAATGTCGGACGGTTCATCCTCTCGAGACAACGCTTCTTGGATGTCTTCTTGAAGTTGTCTCCGTCTCCTCCGTCGGGATAATTTGTTATAAGCAGCGAAAGATCCAGCTGTTACTAATGAGCTTGCTAAAGCGGCCAGAGCTAGCTGTGTACGATGAGAACGTAAATTAAGGATAGGCAAACTCATAGCTTGAGGCCAAATTTACCCCCAAATTTGTGCAGGCAGAGAGAGATGAGACGCCCTCAACACATTTTGACGTCAGAATTGATTACATAAGTATGTCAATAACAATTGTTCCTTTAACGCATTCGACTTGTCATATTGGCGAAGCACAACTACTTCATCTGCGCCAGTGCACTCCCCCTTTTTTTCTATGCACAACTTTGTTTCAATGGTTGCACTTTGTTGTTGTTGTCAAAAATAGGTGGAATCGTATTATACAAGATTCTATTTGTTTACAATACTTAGTCATTCTATCGGAAAAGTGGCTAGGTATGAGTCCATGTACGTGATTGTCATGCATGTGGATAAGATAGTACAAGACTGAGGTAATGCAGGCAGCTCGCATTCTCATATGCCACCGTTTAATAGTGAATAGTCTGGACTGAGAAGAAAAGAAAGATGTGAATCGTAGTAATGACGGGCGATGCATGTACCATTTTTAGTAACGTGCCTCCTTTTTAGTTGACGACGTCCGTCCTCAGGAAGTCCATGGTGCAAGAAGCAACACTACTCCAGTAAAGAGCGCAACTAGTACCATCACGGAGCTTGTACCGTGTTGTATCATCGTATTGACAATCGTCGGATTGCCAACACTCTTCGACGGGGATGAAGACGCCGTTGCGTGCGAAATAGAAGAGTTGGTAGAACGCATCGCGGTCGTTGTATTCGATCTGGTCAAATAGGTCACACAAGGAATAAAAAAATATGTAAACGCAGCACTTACGGGCAAAAGGTCAAGGTATAATCTGCCTTCTTCCCTGAATCACACGTCCAGAGCGCCGTCTTACTACTCTCATCGAAAGCGTACGCATATGCATTCGGACAATTACCCTTAAAGTACGAATAGAAAGCAACTCCGGAGTTAGGACAGGTTTGTGGTTTATCAAATTGACCGGAACAGCAGTTCGGTGAGTTCGCTACACAAAATGTGAGAAGAATTGCAGTGTGTGAAAAGACATCGGAACACACCTTGGTTTCCGTCGAGATTAGCGAAACAAGCACTTTTACAGCCTAATGGAACTCCCTTCGAATCAAGTGGTCCCTTCAGTGGATCTGGACCTATTTTAACTATTGTCAGTCAATCTGAAAGAAACCGCAATCTCGCAGAATCTTACAGTTGGGATTCAAGTCTATGAGACAATCTGCCACTGGGCATCCGACAGTATTATCAATGCGCATTGGGATGTTACTCCCATCGACCAATGATACTGCCGAAACAAAACGAGATCAGTTTAAAAATAAGAAAGGAATAAGTATCAACTCACCGTCATAAAAGTCTTGGTTCTGGTCGCCTTGTAACGTCCATTCAGCAACTGATACTGGAGGGACACCCTGATCGCAAATTAATATAAATCTTTTCAAGCAGATAATCGATTATTTACGGTGCCTGTCGTTGCATCACAGAGCAGCCCTCCGTTACATCCACCTGTCGCACATGAAGTAGGTCCAGGGTTGACGGAAAAGCTGCAATTGCTTCTTCCCTGTAGTATTCACTATTATTTAACAACTCAATTAGTTCATGGCGGTGAAACGGACGCACCCAAATCCGGCCCGCCTTCCAGTCGTCCGGAACGGTAAAGGACACAGTGGTATTCGGATCCGCTTGCCACCTAAAGCACGACATACGGAATGAATTCTCTTTGGTAAATGGACAAACACTAATTACAAACCCCGTTGGTTGACTTGGCGCAGATTTGGAGATTCGCATATCGGTAAACATCTGCAGTCCCTTTCAAAAATGGTATCGAGGGATCAGTACGATGAGATAAACTTACAGCTGGCCTGTTAGGCTCATGAATTTCGGTTTCGAAACGAATATGGATCAATGCCACACGTACCATATTGTGTAAGGACACGCATTGGTCACTGTGAAAGTCCTAGCACTAGCACTGGCTGCCAGTGCAGAGAGGATGACAAGTCCGTTCATATCGGCTAAAATTTAATGAGAAATTTACTTCCGAACATCGACCCTTGAGTGGCACGCACTGGTAGATCTGAACCTCGGTTAATCTGGACGTGCCACTGGCTTGATACTCAAACAGCAGCAGAAACTTCTGACTTGGATATTGCTATTAGATTGTCGTAGGGAGGGAGAAAGGATGATGGGTGTGAAAGAGAAAGAGATGTGTCTAGCGTGTTCATGACGCTCGACGAATTTAAGCACGTTGAATGAGGCTGGCTTGGTGGCTGTGCGTCGGAGATCGACCGCGTGCGTCATCGCCACCCATTCAGTTCATAAATAGCACACATTCCACATTTAGCCACAACTTCTCAACGCAACGAAGGAATCCGAAGCTGATGTCCTTCCAGGCAGTGAAGGCAGTGTGCATAAACTGTACCGTCTTTTGCGTTGCACTCTAATGTCGCATGCAGCAGGATATCCTATTCTGAGTCAGATGCACATCTTCTCCTCGCCAAGTAATTCATACTACCATTTCAGACACACAAGAAATCACAAGAACAAACCGACGGAGCATTTTGCCCACGTGGAACCACTCTATGTACGTAAACGTTTCTCCCTCCTTCTATCCTTTACGGGCAGAACGTCAACGTGTAGTCTGCATTCAAGCCCGAGTCACACGTCCAAAGAGCCGTTCCGCTACTCTCATCAAATGCGTAAGCATACGCATCCGGACAGTTATCCTTGAAGTAGGAGTAGAACTGTACGCCCGAGGGTGGACAGGTTTCTGCAGTACTGTGTGAACCAGAGCAACAGTTCGCCGAGTCCTCTGTATGATTGAATTAGATATAAATCAGGAACTGTGCTATTTTGGGAGAGGACACGTACGAGGGTTTCCGTCGAGGTTTGCGGAGCATGCGCTCTTGCAGCCAAGGGGGAAACCAGTCGAGTCGAACGGACCCTGCAATGGAGCAGGGCCTACAGGAAATAATCAGTTCCATTATATGGAACTAGTCAAACGGAAGCTACCCACAGTTCGGGCCAAGGTCGACACTACAGCTTGCTACACCACATCCAGCATTGTTTGTAATGCTCATGGGCAAGTCATATCCATCGACAAGCGAGACTAGAACAAAGATTATTGAGACGAAAGCATGCACATCAAGGAAATGAACAAACCATCGTAGAAATCCTGATTCCCATCGCCTTGTAATGTCCACTCTGCAACGGTAACAGGCGGAACACCCTGTCATATCAAACCCAACGTGATCAATATACGACAATCTAGATATCATACATGTGAAATTATCAGCCCTTACCGTGCCAGTATGTGGGTCACAAAGCAATCCGCCATTACATCCACCCGTTACGCAAGAGTTCGGTCCAGGGTTCACACTGAAGTCGCAGTTCCTTCTACCCCAAATGCGACCTGCCTTCCAGTTGTCCGGAACAGTGAAGCTCACGGAGGAAAATGCTGGGGCTTCCCATCTAAAATATATATATGATGTATTGTAAGAAACGGGACGCGTGCATATGAGGCCGCAAACGTACCCTGTTGGCTGGTCGGGGACGTTGGGCGATACATTCAGGTCTGTAAACAACTGTAGAGGATTTATGAGCATGAATACAGAAATTCCTCGTCATAGTACATACAGCCGGCCTATAAACCAGTCGCAGGGTCAGGTAATGTGCTTCAACGAATAGTGCTACTGAAACATACCAAATAGTAAACGGGCATGAATTTGTAACAGTGAAAGTCCGAGCAGCAGCACTGGAAGCCAAGACAAGTACAGACGAGGACATGAAGAGCTTCATGATGAACAACAGAGCAGTAGCAGTGTACAGTGTACAGAAGTCGACTGGTCGCAGTATACAGAAGTCGTGTAACACAACCTGGTCATTTTCGCTTCAGCTCCCCCTCCTTAAATAGTCCTACCCCCCATGTTCATCACAGTGCATAGTCGATGCTTACAATAATGACCCTTCTGCAAAACTTCATGATCTGATTCTAACGCTAGTTCCGCATTTCTTCGAGATGTGTCGAAACACACATCCATCAAGCTAGCACAGTGCTATGATGTGGAAGAACCCAAGAATACTCCTGCGCCACGCGGCGCAATGACGAGGCACTTAGCGCATAGCACATAAATGCTTGGCATTGAGGGAAATTATATATCAACAGAAGCATAACTTGACTGTTTTAGTTCAGTAGAGTCGAGATGAAGACAATCGCTAGTCATGAGTCGGCTTGTCATTTTAGTTCCAACACAGAGAAGGCTGACACAGCTCTGTTACTATGCCAAAAAAGATTTAGAACTCGAGAAAATGGGCTGCTTGACGGTGGTTTGTGAGAACGTAGAGTCAGAATAAAAGTATGCCAACATATGACCTTTGTCTGTGATTGGCAGTAATGTGTACATTCGTATGCTATGAGTTTTTATCACTCGAGCCTACAGCTTCCCAGGGACCAGATTGAAGACATGAGTTCAGAAGAAAGACACCTTTTGTTGTTTGACATCTAATCGAGTTAAATGACGATCAAAGGCATCAAAACTGTCTCGTTAGCACGTCAGAGAGATCCCTAAAAGGGGTTGTAGACATAGCAGTCAATAGATGAAAGCGTTATCCATCGTAACCTGTGATAGTCTTGAACGTGTTTTCGGATGGCCTTGAAGTCTGTTCCGGACTGCAGAAGAGAAGAAAATTGAGACCGTTGCTTGAGAGGATGTAGAAGCAGTAGTGCACGTGACACATTCGCAAGTGCCGAATTCGGAGAAGCAAGTGCCTCAAGAGTCAAGACCCCAGATATATGATTCTTCTCGTGGCGCTCTAAGCCACTTCTGGCACAGTCCAAGCTCGAGAAGGGATGAACTCGTTAAGGAAATTTTGTAGGGTCCGACATATATCACCGAATTCTATGCAAGTCGGAAGAACTCTTGGCAGCTAAGGAACATCGTTTGCAAGTACGACATCTATTACTCTTGAAACATAAACGCTCATAAGAACATATTTATACTAAGCAACTAAAGGAATGGTACAGTCAGGATACTCCACTGTCCGCATTCTCGTGAATTATTCAAAACACACAAATCTTGGACTGCCTATACATACAACAGAGTTAATAGTATTGTTCAAGAGTACGGTAGATGAATATCTAAAACGCTATACAACTAGGTGATTCACGCAAGGAAGGGACAATGATAGGCAAATAGTAGGCCATGGAGATAATGGAATATCGATTCTCGCAAACTATTTTTTCTTAACTTTTGTCAATCATCCTCATTGGCACGGCCGGAGAGCCTCCCCATCCAAACTAGCTTGTGCGTATATTTGCATTTGGTGATACACCTGACTGAGCCGCCCGCTGCGTCGGCCCGACATCATAACATTCTACGTCGCTCGGCAGTCCGGCTTCTTCGCATTGTCCGTTCTTCGAGCGCAGATCAGCTTCAGAGGCTCCAGAAGTTGTGAGGTAAGAACTAGAACCAGGCGTGCCGGCCATAACCTTGACAGGTGAGTCTGATTCGGAACCGGATGAGTTCTGCAACTTCTCAGTGGGAGGGAGGGATGCAAGCTTTGCCTCGAGCTGTCTTCGACATCCTGATAGTGTCTGCGAAACGCTCCTGACTTCTTGGAAGGCTAGGGTATACAGGCAGGGACCATTGCTGAGCAGCAACCGCTGCACTAGTCATTGTAAACAATGACTCGGAGGTACCTGACACAACTATAGAAGGACTGTAGCTCCTGCATAGCCCACCCAGCAGCTGTGTCAGTCCCAAAACAGGGTCTGCAACTGTGGGGGGAGGGGACGATTCCACAGTTGCGTCTGTCCTTGGTTGGGCTTGGTTCTGCACAAGTGAACCGAGGGGGTATTCTACAGGAGTCGAATCTTCTCCTGAAAGTAGGTATAAAACGCGCGCTTTGGCTCACGCAAGGGTCACGCCGATGTCCTCTTCATGAGTCTGCAGGAAGGGTTAAAGGTAGTTGACGTGTAGCCAGGACTCGGAGGTACCCTGAGTAGCACACACTGGTAGATCTGAATCTTGATTAATGTGGACGTGCTACAGCTACTACTGGCTTGATTTTCAACAACAGCAGAACCTTCTGACTTGTATATTACGATTAGATAGACGTAGGGATGGAGAGAAGATAGTGCGAGTGAAAGGAAAAAGAGATGTGTGTATAGTCAAATATGTGATAATGTATAAAAGTAATAATGTGGTACTTTCCCAAAAACCAATTGGTCATTCTCTGCCAAAGTGCAATGTCACAATGTATAAATCTCACAATCTGTTGTTTACAATGACCCTTCACAGAATTATGCATTATAGCATATTCTACTGTAACGTATTCATGGCGCTCGACCAATTTAAATAATTAAGTAGGTGAGGGTGCGTCGGAGATCGACTGCATGCGTCATCGCCACCCAATCAGTTCATAAATAGTGCATACTACATTTAGCCATCACTTCTTAACGAAAAAGTCCGAAGCCAAAGTCCTTCCAGTAGTGAAGACACTTAGAAAACGTGCATAAAAATGCACGGTGTGTCGTGCTGCACGTCTGAAGTCGCATGCACCAGGATATTCCAGTTCGAACCAGCAGCACATTTTCTTCCCGCCAAGTAACTCATATTACCATTTCAGAGTGTACAAGGAAACACAGATAGAAACCATCACAGTATTTTACACATGCGAAACAACCATATGCACTTTAACATTTCTCCCCCTCACGTGTTTACGGGCAGAATGTCAACGTGTAATCCGCATTCAAGCCCGAGTCACACGTCCAGAGCGCCGTTCCACTACTCTCATCAAATGCATAGGCATAGGCATCTGGACAGTTATCCTTGAAGTAGGAGTAGAACTGTACACCAGAGGGTGGGCATGTTGCTGGCGTGTTGTGCGAACCTGTGCAACAGTTCGCCGAGTCCTCTGTATAATTGAATTAGATATAAATCAGGAACTGGACTATTGTGAGAGAGGGTACATACGAGGGTCTCCATCGAGGTTTGCGAAGCATGCACTCTTGCAGCCAAGGGGGAAACCAGTCGAGTCGAACGGACCCTGCAATGGAGCAGGACCTACAGGAACAAATCAGTTCCATTATATGGAACTAGTCAAACGGAAGCTACCCACAGTTCGGGCCGAGGTCGACTCCACAGCTTGCTACACTACATCCAACATTGTTTGTAATGCTCATGGGCAAGTCGTATCCATCGACAAGCGAGACTAGAACAAAGATTATTGAGACGAAAGCATGCACATCAAGGAAATGAACAAACCATCGTAGAAATCCTGATTCCCATCGCCTTGTAATGTCCACTCCGCAACGGTAACAGGCGGGACACCCTATCATATCAAACCCAATACGATTAGTATACGACAATCTAGATATCAAACACGTAAATTGATCAGCCCTTACCGTGCCGGTATGGGGATCACAAAGCAATCCACCATTACATCCACCCGTTGCACATGAGTTCGGTCCAGGGTTCACACTGAAGTCGCAGTTCCTTCTACCCCAAATACGACCTGCCTTCCAGTTGTCTGGGACGGTAAAGCTCACGGAGGAGAATGCTGGTGCTTCCCATCTAAAAATAGAAATATGACGTATTGTAAGGGAAATGCGACACATGCAGAAGAGGCCGCAGACGTACCCTGTTGGCTGGTCGGGGACGTTGGGCGCGACGTTCAGGTCTGTAAACAACTGTAGGAAACTAATGAGGATAGATACAGGAATAAACTCTCGCAATACGTACAGCGGGCCTGTAATGCAGTAGCGGAATCAGGTAAGGTGATGCAAAGAAGCGAAACGGAAACGCACCAAATAGTAAACGGGCACGCATTTGTAACAGTGAAAGTCCGTGCAACAGCACTGGAAGCCAAGGCGAGCACAGACGAAGAGACAAAGAACTTCATAATGAACAAGCAGAGTAGCCGCACTACACAGAGGTCGTGTAAAGCAACCTGGAAAATTCTCGCTCCAAGTCTCTCTCTTTAAATAGTCATACCCCTATCCTCGTCACAGCGCATAGTTGATGCTTACGATGATGACTCCTCGGCGAAACGGCATGCTCTAGTTCCAACACGAATCCCGCATCTCATCGAGGTACCGAAACACACATCCATCAAGCGAGCACAGCGCAGCACCATGGAAGAACCCAATAATACGCTGCTACCACGCGGCTCACTGACGAGACGCTTCCCGGACAACATATGGTCGCTCCGGCGCTGAGAGAAATCATATACTAAGGGAAGCCCAAATTGCCCGCTTTAGTTCCGTAGAGTTGAGATGAGGACGCAATCACCAGTCGCCAGTCGCCACGTCAAATTACTTCCAGCATGGAGAAGGCTGATCCAGCTTTGTTATGATACCGAACAAGGAATATCACACGAGAAAGCGAGTGCCTTGACGATGGAATGTGAGAGCGCAAAGTCAGAATAAAGATATGTCGGCAAGTCACATGTTGTCCGCGATCGGCAGCAATACAATTGCATGTCCTGAGCATTTGTCTTGCACTCGGAGCTATAGCTTCTTTCCAGGAAAACGTTGAAAACATGAATTTCAGAAGAAAGACTTCGGTTATTGTCGGACATCTGATCAAGTCAAATGACAGTCATAGCTATGACAATATCAAGATCGCACTTTGGAGGCGTTCTCATGGGGAGTTGCGGACAGTCGATATGTCAAAACATTATCAATCGCGGTTGGTACTACCCTTGAAGATAATATTTGATAGTCTTGAAACCTGCTTCAACTCCCACGAGATAACGAAGTTCAGCTCGTCACTTGTCAAGACATAGGAGGAAGCAGCGCCGTGTCATCTACCGAGTCCAGAGAAGCAAAAGCCATAAAGACTACAGGGATTAATTCTCTCGGTGATCCAAGTCACTCAGATGCAGCCCGAAGTTCGGAAAGAGATGATCACATCAGGGGATGCTTGCGTGGTCCTTCATATGTCGTCGCGGCGCAAGCAATTTGAAAGTGCCTTTGGTGCCTAAGGAACAAACGTTTGCCAAATGTCCATCAGAATACATCCACGCCAAGTAATTAAGCAAATGCAACAATCAAATTACTTCGTTATTCATCACCAATTCGTCAATATACACAATCTTGAGGCTGCCTAGTCGTACAATAAGTCAACGGGTGTCCGAGACCAAAGTAGATAAATACCTAAAAAGCTATACAACTAGATGATTCACACGAGGCGGGGAAGAAGGTTGGCAAATAACAGACCATGCAAGGGAATGTCGATTCTCAGAAGTCTAGTTTTGTCCGTCTCAATCATCTTTCTCATCCGGCACGGCCGGAGAGCCTCCCCATCCGAACCAGCTCGTCTGCCTATTTACACTCGGCGGTACAGCTGATTGCGATGGCCCGACGTCATAGCCTTCAACGTCGCTCGGTACCTCGACTTCTTCGTACTGTCCGTTCCTCGAGCGCAGATCAACTTCAGAGGTTCCAGAAGTTGGAAGGTAAGAACTGGAGCCAGGCCTGTCTGCCATGACCTTGACGGGTGATTCTGATTCGGAACCGGATGAGTTTTGCAACTCGTCAGTGGGAGGGAGCGACGCAAGCTCTGCCTCGAGCTGTCTTCGCCTCTCTGCTAGTGCCTGCGAAACACTCCTTCCCTGCCCTTGACCTCTCGGAGGACTAGGATCTGCAGGACGGAACCGTTGCTGAGCAGCAGCCGCTGCACTAGCCATCGTAAACAATGACGCGCCTGACGCAACGATGGAAGGACCGTAGCTACGCCATAATCCACCCAGCAGCTGCGTCGGTCCCGAAACAGGGTCTGCGACCGTGGGAGGAGGGAACGATTCCGCAGCTGCCTCCGCCCCTGGTTGGGCTGCGCTCTGCCCGAGCGAACCGAGAAGAGCGCTCCACAGAAGTCGAAACTTCTCCTGCAAGTAGGTATAGACGCGTGCTTTGACTCGCGCAAGAGTTGCGTCGATGTCCGCTTCGTGGGTATGCAGGAAAGGCTGAAGGTAGTTGACGTAGAGATAGGAGGAACCTTGGGTTTGAGGAAGCGAGAGGTAAAGCAAGAATATTGTCTTCAGTGGGTAGTAGAGTGGAAGCCTAACAAATTCATCAGTGAGCTATCTGAATACACATGACAAAGTAGAGATGACAATAGAGGAGTGAAATGAGACGAAGCCGGATAACAAAACCGGGCTGATGATTCATTCAAAGCGAGCGGGGAGCTAAGCATACCATGAGATCAGCCACTCAGCAACATACTCAACCCCAACGATGACACCAAGTACGCTCCAGTACATTAACCATCTCTCCAGCTCAGCCTCCGAAGCCGGACGCTGAGATAGACACTTGAAGGACGCGTAACCAGGATATAGAAACGCAGCTGTCGAGCTATGTATTTCATTGCAGGTTTCCTTTAATCAGTTTACATGTTGCAGGATCTACATATTCAGCTGCTTGCCTGATAACTCTAGACGTGAAATAGATGAGCATTGCACTGAGATGTTTGAGATAGGTGAACGAGAGAAAGCTGGATGGCGGCATAGGGCCTCACGCGCAGCGCGTCCACGCAGACTTACGGATATGTCAGTTAGTTCTCACGATTTCTAACTCAGACGAATTTCGATCCGCGGGTTCACTACTTTTATTACTTTCAATCATCAACGCTCATATTATCCGGAGCTGGTTAGAAAAAATGCCAGAATATTGAGCGGCATGTTCAGGAAGAAAAAGGCTTCCAGTTACTCTCGACCTCCAGCAAAAAGTAATGCTTCATCTTCTACTTCGAGGATGCCGAAGCGGAAAAGGGCTAGGTCTCTTCCGAGGAAAACTAAACAAGTACCAAATCCGCAGTTCATAGGGGGCGAACCATCGGCACCTACTAGCAAGGAATGGGAAAGTATGACTCAGTACCATAGCTTTATTGGTAGGGACTCCTCTCCTCCACCCGAAAAACCGTACTACGTCTAATATTGATCCACAGTAAAGGATGCTGAAGGAAATGAACACCGATTCCCTATTCAAACCTAGTGCGTTTGATTACAGCCCAATGTCCTCTTCCTGTTTAAAATATTAAACAAGCTTGAACGTAGCTCCCTCATCCTTCCAGAGGGAGCCGACCCAGAAAATCCACCCCTATTGCGAGACTATTGGGTAGGCAGGATCAAAGAAATCCGGGGTCGTAATAATGATCCTTTCGACGTGATTCTTTTTTATTAAGGACAAGTAACGTTAAGAACTGGTTGCTTACCAGCTACATTGCAGGTTTGGGCTAGTGTTCAATGGATGATGTCCATCCAGGACGTTAACGAATACATAAAAGTGTAAGTGAGCCTAACTCAAATGAAGTGTCATAGCATAACTGAACTTCTTCTTGGCCAGCCCATCAGAGTCGTTCGGCAAGTTGGAGCGAGTCCTGTCAAATCATTTCGATTTCGTGCACACGTCGTGTTTTGCGAGTCCGTCCTTGCACTGCTCATGTAGTGATGAGTATACTAAAGATCTTCATCAACCGCAGGTCTAACTCATGTTGCTCCTTATGTTGAGTCAGATACAGAGCCTCCAGCTATCAGTGATGAGACTTTCTACTATCGCTATACATTCGATATCTACTCTTACGAGCTTAAGGTGATGCTGTTCCAGTCTGAATGTAACAGTAATGAAAACTGAAGCTTTTATCTGCTTTCTAGCCAGTCCTTACTGCCAGTTGTTTCTGCAATGAAGGTTACAACCCGAACGAGTCGCCAATAATGCATTTCTGTCCACGGAAGGGATGCTGCAAAGCTTTTCACGCCGATTGTCTTCGAGCCGCAAGTTACGTTGAGAAACCGAGGAAAGACCTCCGTTCTCTCAAGCCGTGGAGGGAGCTGCAATTTGAAGGAGCAATCTATGATTCTTCAGAAGAGGAGGGAGCAAGGGTTAAACCACCCGTCTCTAATGCTTCGAGTTCGAGGACACTCGTATCGTCTTCAAACCAACCAAACTACAAGCGAATACGAAGCCGTAGCCCAAATGCAGTTCCTCTAGAAGTAGACAAACATCAAAATTTGCCATTATCACTCCTTACAATTGCTCGATCGCCGATGGTTAGGGGTATTGGTACAGATTTACCATACGAATGGAGTTGCGTTACGGGTAATCTCGCCGTCGTCACCCGCGCACGCAAGCTTGTTCGCGAAGTTATTGAGGATGGCAGACGGCTGCCGAGGAAATGGCGTTCACTACTCGAGATTCCTGGGCAGGAGGACAAGGATGACGACGAAGATTCCATGATTGATATGGATGGGGAATCTGTGAAGTGGGCTGTGAAGGATAAGGATTTGCTTTTGTGTCCAATCTGTAAAAGTGCAATCTAGGATGCCTGGGAAGGGGAGAAAAGGATCTTATGGGGTAATCTTTCACACTGTTCTTCTTTTTGGTTCGACAAGTGCTTTGCTCGAGGATATTGAGACTTGTACACGCTAGATGGTACTATTTTTGTATTTTATATCTCAGCTGTCCTATTGTTTTGCTTTTTTACCTCACATCGAATTCGATCTCATCTCGACTTGCTTCCGCAACGTGATCGTCAAACAAACGCTTGCCTATTGAGGTAATTTCTCACGTTTGCTTTACTATTTCAGTAAATACTCTTCTTCGGTATTTGCCATTTACGCCCTCCTCTACATCTGTATCAAAACAAATCGGGTGACCCCTGACAACATGGTGCATCATTGAATCAGTCTGGCAGCTGCATATAATCCCTGTCTCCTTCTAGAGTGTACTTCTAGCCTATTGTGAACTGCACGCCACTCAGAAACATACGAAGCAACGAACAGATCGAAGGACGTAAGATGACAGGGAAGCGGAAGAGAATAGCTCGCCTTACACTTCCAGTTAAACGCCACAAGATCAAACATACGGTACAGTCTGACGGAGAGATCGATATACGACCAGACGCAAAGGAGTACGCGAGGTGGAGAACATATCGTTCGTTTGTTGGTACGTACTTCGTCATGTTCCAATGTAGTGTTGAGTAAGGCGCTGAATAGATGCAATATCGGGTACTAGTGACGGATGAAAATGGTGAACCAGTGACTTTCTCTGTCGGTGAATAGTAAGTTACTCTTGAACACACTATTTTTACTCGTTCATCTACTTTGGAACGGATTTCTTGAATCCGCGATTTGGAATAGGTCAGTCGAACCAATTCTGACTTCGCCCCCTTTACCCCTGCATTATTCAGTGGACTCGTCATCCCATATGGAGTCTCACCGAAGTATCCTCTGCCTCTGCACGAACACTGGGTAGGAAAGATACGGCAGATACGTTCTAAAGGGTATGATCCCTCAGAGGTATGGATTCGAGCTCTGAAGCTATAATGGTAATGGGTTATTCATGACGTGCTCCGTAGGTATGGGCAGACGTCCAATGGCTATGGTCTGCAGTTGATATTGCCGAAGCGAACGGTACTCTGTAAGTTCAGAGCTTCTTATACTCGAATATATATATATATATTTATACCCGAATCCACATCAACCTGACTATACCTTCCTATATTATTCTCTTGCAAAGTGATCTAACTCAGTTTGGAAGCATGGAGCGATTTCCCTCCAATTCGAGTGATTTTGTTCACTCGAGTTGTTTCCAATGTAAGTAAGCCTCATGTTATTTATCATAGGCTTCTGAGTTCATGGTATCCCCCACACCTTAACATTTACATTCCATCCTTCCCAAATAGATCTAGCAAAGGTTGTTCAATTCAATGAAGGAGATCCTGAGCCGCCTAATATCACAGATGAGACCTTTTACACTCGTTATTCGTATGATCACATCAAGAATCGAATCCTTGTGAGACTTGCTACTTCCTACCTGAAGGAACTTCAACTTAATTTAATTTAATAAATCCATTTTTAGCCAAAGATCATTGCGAGTTGTTTTTGCGGAGTCCCATACAATCCAGACGAGGCACCCGCTATACACTTCTGTCCTCGCAAAAAATGCAATGTGGCATTTCACGCCCCATGCCTTCGGAACAATGGCTGGGTATACAGGCAGGAACTAAAGTCTGATACCAGTCTTGACGTACCTCCCGAGACCCCAGGCAAACGAAAGCGGGAGCCAACTCAAACCAGTGAATCAGAGTCACCAGGATTAGAAGAGAAGACGACGACGACGAATACTATCGTTCCCCGCGCACTCCAATTCGAACGCACGCTTCCCGGCGCGACATTGGGGGATAGTCTAAACGCTGTGCCAGCCAACTGGGTCATAGATGTCAATAGTAATGTTGACTCTTCTCCTGGTTTAGCCTTCAATGCGTCTGTTTCGCAGACTCCGCCTTCTGGGAAAAAGCGTTCTCGGATAATATTCACAAGGTATAACCTCGTCCCTTCCACGTTACTCGCCCTCGCACGGTCGCCAATGGCACGAGGGAATGATACTGGTTTGCCAGAGGATAGAGGATGCGTCACTGGGAACGTCGCGTTTGTTTCACGCGCTCGGAAACTAGTTGCAAGAATTGTGCACCAGGGAAAGCCATTACCCGAAGACTGGTTTGACCAGCTGGATCTGCCTAAGTATGAATGTGATGATGAATCAGATGGGAGTGGAGGGAGGAAGAGCAAGGAAGACGAGGTATTGGAATGGGTTGTGAAGGATGAAGGGCTGCTTTGTCCCAGATGTGGAGGTGCGATATAATTTTCGAAGACTGCATAATCAGACCTCTGGTTCTGTAAAAAGACTGCGTATATGCTTTGTACTCTGCGATACCTCATGCTCCCCGATCACTTTCTTCATTACTAAATGAACGTAATATTTACTGTACAGGACTGCTTCTTTGTCTTATTGTTGCTTTGAATGCAGATGTAAGTCATAGTATCTGAGAACTATTTGAATCTGTGGAGAATATCTCTATCAGTAGCTATAAAAAAGGATTATTTACAAAACTGCAGACCTCTCTTATCAATCCTCCAACCATCCCTCCTCCTCTAGCTTCCCCAGTGTGCCCTCCCAACCTCCCTTTTCTTCATTTTCTCTCTCAATAACTTTCAATCCAACAACATACTCTCCCTCCAAATCGGCATACAAGTGCGGGAATACGTCCCCACTGCTTGTCCTCTCCCAATTGACCTTCTTCCAGGTGCTCAGCTTCTTGTAATCTACCTTCAGCAACTGGTCCGTTTTATCCGCGTCAGAGTTGAAGAATCGATTGAGCGTGGTGGGAAGCTGGTTACGGGGAGAGAGATGGACGTATCCGCTCGTGAGGTCGAGCTGGGGTTTGGGGAAGACCCAGGATGAAGGGATGGGTTGTGGTGTGCCTTGGTAGGTTGGAGTGTTTGGGAGGATTTTGTAGATGTATGAGGGAAGCGGGTTAGGTGCAGACATATTATTATGAGCTTTAGATGTTGTACGATGAAGAGTTCTAATTTGACAAGTAAATGTGAAAGAGATATGGTTGAGTGATTGAGGACGGAGATGGGAGAGAGAACGTGAGATCATCATCGTCACATCAGAACGCGTCTCGATGAATTGCATTGTACACTTTACCCGCACCATTCCAATCCATAATGACAAAACACAGCAAAAACAACACTTCGTCCTCCGTATTCTCCTATCATGAATATAAGAAGCTCGACTATGGCACTAAACGCGTACGTGTTTCTCAAACAACTCATCATCGCTCCAGAATATCAGAATTATGGGGTGTCTGAACGGAACGATGCTAATGTGAACACGATACTTTGTTGGAAACTCAAATCAGCAACGTCTCGGGAACGAGTCGATGCGTCCTTACGATGCGTGTGCTCTATGTCTACAAAAAGCCCGCGATGCCGTCGCTTGTTCAGAAGGACATCTGTTTTGCAAGGAGTGTGTTTACTCGGATCTGTGTGCGCCTCCTTCCTATCTTCTCTCCATTCTCATTCTCTGACTACCGCATTAACCGGTAACGAACACAGTAACGCAGAAGAAAGACATCAAACGCCAGAAAGCACGCCTCGATGCACTCAAGAAAGAAGCAGAGGAAGAGCGTACACGCGTCAAGGCTGAAGCGCGTGCTCGAGTCCTACAGGAATTTGAGCGAGGGCAGCTTGGTCTGGGCTTGGGTATTGCTGCGGGAGCGGCAATTTCTGTGAATGGGACTGGTAAAGAGAAGAGTAAGGAGAAGGAGGAGGGTTCGAAGGAGGCGGGCAAGGAAAACGGGAAACATGACGAGTCTTCCGAGCGTACGTCTACGTCTACTTCTCTGCCTACCTCATTAACCTTACATTGTAATTGAAATGAAACTCCGCATAGCGCGTGGCACAAAACGCAAAGCCTCCACCCTCTTCGATCCCGTCCAAATCGAGACCCTTGCCACCGAAGCAGAGGTAGCCGCCCTCGAACGCATCAAACGCGAACAAGCTGAAGCTCTCAAAGCTAAATTACCTGATTTCTGGTTGCCCTCGCTCACACCCACGTATAGCTCCGGACGGGGTTCTGTACCGAAGGACTTGAAAGAAGTGAAAGTTGTGTCATCATGTAGGGGTGGGCAGGAGGCACATGAGATTTCGTGAGTAGATTCTTGTTCAAGTGATCGAGAGGTAAAACTGATAGGATTGATCGTGGCTGACTATATTTGAAGATTGAAATCCCTCGTACCCGTAACTTTTACCTACCCCAAAGAACTTCCACCCGACGTTCGGAATCCCGCAGACCGACACGACGCAATCTGTCCGTCATGCAAGAAAGGATTTTCGAATAGTACCATCATGTTCCGTGCGTCGTCTCATTCTACTAGCATCATTCCTCAATACAACCTCTAACTTCGTCTCTGTTCCATGGAACAGTCATGACGTCCTGCTCCCATGTCGTTTGTAAGACATGCACAGACACGCTCGTACGGCCAGCCGCACAATGTGTCGTATGCGACTCTCCTACACCAAAAGATAAGATTGTTGAGATGAAACGCGAAGGTACGAATTCACTTCCCTGTCCCTCGCGTTTCTCCCTTCCTCTAGAATACCATTTGCTAATATATACATCCATGCACTTTCATTCACTAGGTACGGGCTATGCAGGCGGTGGACTGGCAGAAACATCCAAAGCAGGTGTTGCATTTCAGGGCTAGCTTCCTGTGTATACTTAACTAGACATCTAATACTATACTTTATCTCACATTACCCTCTCCCTTGCACCAATCCGACCGCCACCTCGTAGTAAACGAAAGAACAATAAAAACAATGCTGGACTACGTGTGTAGCACTCAAATCAGTTTGCCCTTACCCAGACAAAATAGACAACATAAGGAAGGAGTATTCAGTGGGTACATCACAAAGCAGAGGATTGAGTCAGCAACTCCAGCATGGTAAAAGATAATTCTGATAATTCTGATATACTGTCATCCACCAGTCCTTGAACCATCACTACTCCTTGAACCACCCCTGTCATTTTACAGCCACAACACCTTTTTTCATAGTAAAAAAAATGTGTTAAGACTGGAAATAGTATAATATTAGTGCCAAAAAATTATGAAAAAAAATTATGCATTATTGATAGAGATATACACGAAAAACTGCAAAAAGTGTTAAGAATTGCACCTTTTTGAAAATTTTATGAATTTATTATTACCCAAATATTGAGAAATGTATCATTTAAAAAATTCTGTAATATAAGTACTAGTGCTAACTATTACTGTGCAAACTTTTATGTGAAAATAACAAGTGGAACATAAGATAAAAAATCAGCAGTGTCCAAATTGTAATAACAATCATTGCCAACATCACAAATTAGGTCACGTGATCCAACATGTAATATTGGTAACAACTCTCAAGTTCAGTAAACTATTGATTAATACTATACAACATACATTATTTTAATTATAATTATAATCATAAGTATCAATACTATATATTTAATATTGAAAATATTGGTAGGGATGAGGAGAATGGCTCTAAGGAGGGGTAACAAATACCGTGGGAAAATAGTGGTTCAAGGAGTGGTAGGACCCACTTTTGGGCTATAAAATGTATGCTTAGCATCACAAAACTAGATGTGGTCTGACAATACATTGTATGTCATTCTAATAACTATAATATATAAAAGATATAGAAGTCTGTCAATGATCATTACATTAGCATCTGCTGCTAAGACATATCTTTAGAAGGTCTGTAAGACTTCTAAAATTTACAATACTTTTATAAATTGTCAGAGTATACAAGACTTGAGTGAGAATACAAGCTCTTACCAGAGTTGCTCAAACAATAAATGCTTCATACAATAATCATTCTTTTTTATCATTATTGAATTAGAAAACAAATATATTATACTTGAGTAAATAATTACAGGCGAAAGTATTTACTAGAACTACTATTAAATCCTGTACCACTCTTATTTCTTCCACTCATACCCACATTGCCTCCCATAGTTCCTCCAGAAGATCCACTGGGCTGTGGCTGAAGAAGCGCCTCCAGAACCTGAGGGCCTTGGCCCTTCATCATTGTTGTTGTTGTCATCATGAACACCATCGTCTGGTTGCTTGCTAAAGTCAGCTGGATGCTTAGATTCTTGTTCCCCATCAAACTAGTGAGAAAAAGCCATGCCAGAACATTACAACAATACAGGTCGACCGAACCGGATGCGTGATGTATGGATAGTATCCATCCTCTCTCGCTACCATTCTTCTGCTCCTGCCCTCCACACCCGGCTGCACAGCCACACATCTCGCCTGCATTGTGTTTCACTACACAGCCTTCGTAGGCTTCCTTGGTCCCTCACGACGCCTGCACGCGTCCGCTCGCACTTCCCGTTACTATCACCTCTACAGTCTGTCTGATTGGCACGCTCCCTGTCCCCGATAGACTGTAGCAACTGCAATTTAGCACAGGGGGCAATGAGAGAGTAGTGCATTGGGGGCGATCATCAGACATACAGGGGTTGACACGTCCATGGGTGGTATTGCATCACATCACATATTACACAGTTCATTTTGGGGGCCACAATAAAGTCCACTAGGGAGAGTGTGAGAAGAGCAGGCAAGTGTCAGCAAGTAGTCACACAAAGTAAACAAAATAAAATGTAAAAAGAAATAGGGATAAAATAATGAGTCAATGGCTGGTGTGAAGACTAGGAGAAAGGGGCCAGCTGCAGTGACCAGCAGGCAGGGTGCATGGCAAAGAAAGGAAACACAAAAGACATGTATGCACATGGATGTGTTGTTGGAAGTTGCATACTTTTTGCATCCAGGCCCTGAGTCCCACAGCCCATTTTTAGTTAGCTCCAATTGGCCACATGTAGTTCCTCTCACATTTCACTAAGTCAAAATAAAGTACTTTTCCTAAGAAAATAAATATTCCCCTCCCCCAATCCTAACTAAAACCCAACTTAACACCTAAGCCTAACAGCCCAAACTTATCCTAAACCTAATTGGGGTGGCAGAGCCCCCCCAAACCCCCCTCCTAACTTCTCACTCTGTTCATGACAAGGGCCACAGTATGCTAGAATTACATAAGTGGTCAGTCAGGGTCATCCCTAATTGGGCCGTGGGATTCAGGGCCCGGATGCGAAAAGTCAAGAGTCGTCGTTGGACCATGTTGTCGACGTCGGTCGAGCAGTACTCGTGCAGCTTCACATGGTGGCCGGCCCGTTCCTCTGCAGCGGCGTCGTCATCATTGGCGTCATCGGCCATCGGCATCCGGAGTTGCCCCCGGGGCGGTCAGGGCGTGTCAGACGAAGAAGGGAATCGACATGCCGCCGTTGACATCGAGCAGGAAGATAGTGTTCCAAAAATAGAGCAGGCAGGTGTGTGAGAACAGGGACGCAAGATGCGCGACAAAACGGCCTTGAACGCACCGAAGATGATCACTGCTACGTCCACAGAACACAACATTCCCAGCTCATATGTCTTCTTGAATAGCCCGTTCTTCCGCTGCACGCCATGGGCAATTTCGACGCGCCAGCCAAGAACATGCAACAGACAGACAGCGCAGCACAGCACACAGAGTGGTTACCGACAGCCGACAGCGAAGGAGATATAAAAAATAAATAGGCGTTAGCCTCCGTCGAAATAATTATAGCGAGCGCACAGCAGCACAGCAGTGCCACTCAGTCAATGCGTCACACTAGCACTGCAGCTCCCGCACAACGCGTCGCAAAAACACTGAGAACACAACTCGCCTTGAGAAAAGTCACTGAGCGGTTGCGCTCGTGCTACCAGCGCCCGCGAGAGAAAATAGAGTCAGCATGGCGAACTGAATTGCGCGAGAAAATAGCACGGGGGATAGAGAAACGGGACGATGGAAATAGGCTAGCGGATGGAGAGGGACAAGGAGATGCACGCACCGTTATTGGGGTGAGTCTCGATCTTGCAGTGACCCATGGTGCAAGTCTTTGGACGTGGACAATGTAATGCAGTTGTTCAGTAGAGCAGCAGGTTGTGTTGGACACAGCAGCAAATATTGAAGGAGTTGTTCTTGCAACAGCAGACTCTGTAGTAGAAGCTAGTTGTGAGAGAGAGGAGAGAGATGGCAGGAAGAAAGCAAGAGATGTTGAGAGAGAGAAAAGCAGAAGGCAAAGTGAAACGAGATAAGTAGTAACCAACACACACGTGATCACTTTAGTTGGTGGGAAAATGGACTTGTTGATTTTCTGACGTTTATCTTACTAGGCAGAAAAAACTTCCAAGTACTTAAGAAATCAAGAACAATATTAGTAGTTATGATAATTTCCACTTACTTGTAATGACTTCTAATGTCATTAGAATACTTGGTTAATCTTGTATTTGTTTGTAATCCTTGTCTGACTCTTGTATTTGTTTTGTACTTCTTGTCCAACTCTTATATGACATTGTATTTATATCAAATAATTACATAAGATTATATTCAAATAAGAATTCTGTCCCTATATTGTAATTTTAAAATAAGTATACTACTAATATGTATTGTTACAGTCTACCACTCTTACACTCTCAGTTCTATCAGTTCTGTACCCTTCTGTTCTAGAACTCAGGACTTCTGTCCCTCAGGTGTACAGTATATGAACTATATGCAGGTTGATTCCTACAGTGACTCCTACCACTATCCCTCTCTACCTTGTTGCTCCTTTCCTTTGTCTACCCCTTCATTCTTTGTTTATTCTAAGGTCTCTTACCCTTTATCTACCTCTTTATTCTTTGTTCACATATCTTTGACCTTTTCATTCTTCATTCTTTGTAGCTCATCCTTCCCTGAGTACACTTGTGTAGTTTAGTATATATACATGTACAAGATCAGACTGGTCCTGTAGTCTTGATCTTGTCTACTCTAGGTAGTCCTGTACTCTTAGACTTAATCTATATACTTTATACTTGTCTCACTCTCTCTCTGTCTATTCTGTAAGTTCTGACTATGTTCTAGTACTTGTATCCTGTTACTTCTGTTGTGTAGGATAGTTGTAGCCTGAGTCCCCTTACTAAGCCTTTAGGTCCCCTCTATACTATTATTAACATGTATGTATTTATATTTAATTGTATAGTTTACTAATACTTAATCTACCTTACTATATTTAGAAGGGTATACAAGATTTTTTCATGTTTTGTAATGTAATTTCTCCTTCATTTCTTATTTTTTTTACTTAAAATTTTAACAGATTATACTTGAGTAAATATAATTAATTATTGTAACTTTTTTTTGTAAAAAAAATTATTAGTTGTTGTGTAAATTAAAAAACAAAATGTGCTGGTTTAAGAACTAGTAGATGACAGTACTTACACTATGAGCCTGAGATTGGTTGGACTAAAGCAAAAAATCAACTCTTAACTTTTTGTATTTATACTTTAAATTTTACAGTCTAATCAGAGATAACTCTGACTAACTACTTACATAATTCTAACAGATAGTGGCCCTTGTCATAAACAGAGGGAGAAGTTAGGAGGGGGCCTTGAGGGGGCAGAGCCACCCTAATTAGGTTTAGAGTAAGTTTAGACTGTTAGGTTTAAGTATTAAGAATGTTAGTTAGAATTAAAGAAGGAGAACATATACTTTCTTAAGGAAAAGTACTTTATTTTTGACTTTGTGAAATGCAAGTGGAACTACATGTGGCTAGTTGGAACTAACCTAAAGTGGGCTGTAGGACTCAGGCCCTGAATGTAACAAGTACATGACTCAAAAAAACTTATTATGATAATACCTAAGGCCATACCAGGGTTCGAACCTGGGTTGCGGGAAGGAAAAGGGAATTACTTTTTATCAAAATCCCGAGTGATGACCACTACACTATATGGCCAGCATTTCACAATAAAACTGAGATATTTAGAACTTGCAGGCCCTTTATGTACATGAATATCAAGATTATGCCCACTCGTTATTCTCTTTTTTCAAGCTACTTTACCTGAAGACCGGAATGGAACAATTTTTGGACTCATGCATCACCAAATCGAACATGAAAATGTATTGGAATTTACAGCTAAGATATATATTTTTTACATATTGTGGATTCTTATATTTACTTATAAAGTCTACATGTAAATACATTGCCTTGTCAGACTCTGCACGTTTTGGTGATGTGCATGCCGATTGTACATCGGATTACATAAACTCACGAATTAAGAAGTAAATAATAAACAATCCCACAGAAAAATGAATGTTACAAGAGAATCATTGGAAAAAAACAAAACCATGATTGTAATAGAGAATCGTGTAAAAAAACCCTGTCTCTTTTCATGCTAACACCTTTCCTGCGTTCCCAAGCATTAAAACAAAACCAATATACAACTCTCAAGGACAGAACGTGAGCGTATAATCTGCTGCAAGCGTTGACGAACAAGTCCACAGCGCCGTGCCACTGCTCTCGTCGTAGGCATAAACATACGAGTTCGGGCAACGACTCTTGAAGTAGTCGTAGTACTGCACACCAGAGGCCGGGCAGGTCGCGGGTGTGTTGTGTGAGCCTGAGCAGCAGTTCGCCGAGTCCGCTGAGAAGAGGACCGGAGGTAAGCATTCCTGCCGAGACGGAACAGGGGGGAGGAGAGAAGGTCTTACCTTGATTACCGTCGAGATTCGCGAAGCAAGCGCTCTTACATCCGAGCGGGAAGCCAGTGGAGTCGAACGGACCTTTCAAAGGAGCAGGACCTACAGGGACACATGCGTCAGTCCATTGAGGGAGGATGTCGGAACATCCAGAGAAGAAATCGTACAGTCTGGACCAAGGTCGACGGGACAGTCGGCAACGGGGCATCCCTTGTTGTTGGAGATCCTCATAGGAAGGTCGTAGCCGTCCACAAGGGAAACTTTATTTTTTCACCAAAGGTTAATAAGCTCGGAATAAATCTGATCGAGTTTGGGAAACAATCCTTACCATCGTACCAATCCTGGTTCCCGTCAGCCGAAAGCGTCCACTCAGCAACAGTGGCCGGAGGGACACCCTACAAATGACACAGAAGACAAAGGACATCACCGCTTAGGTCACATCCAAAAGTGCTAAAACACAGATAACATACAGTACCAGTGTGCGGATCACACACGAGTCCACCATTACATCCTCCAGTAGCACAAGAATTCGGACCAGGATTCGAGCTAAAGTTGCAATTCCGGCGACCCCAGATACGGCCCGCTTTCCAATTATCTGGGACGTAGAAGCTAACGGAGGCATACGCCGCTTGCTCCCAGCTGAAAGACTATGGCATTGAGCGTGGATTGTAATTTGACGAATGAATGAAAGCGGACTGACCCTGATGGATGGTCTGGGACGGCGCTCCCGACGTTCAAGTCGGTGAACGTCTACTCTCATGAGTTACCACGCATAATAATAAATGCATACAAGAGAGACATACAGCCGGCCTACGGTGAAGTGAGGGGCATACAGTCAGTACGTTTAATCTAAATAACATTGAATTGGGGGATAGGGGATATGAACGACTTACCAAATAGTAAAAGGACAGTTATTATAAACCGTAAACGTTCTGGCGGCCGCGCCAGCAACAAGTGCGAACAAAGTCAGAGGTACAATAACCATGTCGAGATTTCAGGAGAGAATTGCGAGCTCGCAATGAGACAAACTCAACCCAACCTCCTCGTCTTTTATAATTAGCCCCTCACACTCCATTCATTCCATTCAATCTACGTTTCCAAGGACATGCATAATTACTCCCAGGTCCAAACCAAACAATCCATGTGCATCATATCATGTGTGCCTCGTCAAAGACCTACTCTCCTCTTGACACGTATGTCATAATACCATGAAACCTCGGCAGTCATTCTAGAACCAAGAAAACATAAATCACAAGCCCCCAAATAATTTCTTATATTCTATTGCCTAAAGTCAGCAGGCAAAATTCCATGTGCAGATCAACTCTGAAAAAGTGAGGCCCAAGAAGTTGAATTTAAACTGCAACGTGATGCGGGGTACGGAGTATTGGAACCAAGACCCTAGAAGACCCGCACCTCACCTCACCATGTATAGAGATTGGTCAAGATGAGCAAATTTGGCTAGAACTTGCTTAAGGAGATCCCGAGTAGTAAGTCGCATGCACGATCGAGTGTTCCGGGATCCGTATAGCAACGCCAGGGCGCTCGGTACTTGTGTCAGAGGGACGGATGATTAGCGTTTAAGGTACATGCAAAGGCGTTTGCATGTGCATCACTGCCAGCAAGACGAGAGATATTAAACACATAGAATTAGCGGAATTGTTGAGTATTATATTCTATGTCCCTGGAATAAGTCCGAAAAATAAGCATAGAATGACAGGAGACAAAGCAACGACGTAATCCCGAGAGTCAGAGGAGCGACAGATGCCTGAGCGGGCTCCAGCCAGCCTGAGACTTTTGGATCTTGCGCTGCTTCTCGCAGCGATCATAAGTCCTGAATGCAGCTTCATAGATCTAGGTGACGCAGGGTAAGAGCACTTCACAGATTAACGACGTCCATCAAAGAGCAACAGCGGACGAAACATGACAGAAATATGAGCGTCAACCCGTCCACGCGTAAAGTCTGGGTGTGCCACATGATCAAAAGCATGGTAGGTAGCTTGCTAAATAGCGCCGGAAGGAAGAGCACTTAGCACCGGAGCCATCGCCTCAGATGTGCTATGTGTTCATAGGTTAGAAGACCATGCGGAACCTACGCGTGAGCCTCAGGGTCGAGCGTGGAAATAAGCATACTTATTCCGAATCAGCGCGGACGGACATGTACATGTAAGACGACTCACCTCAGAAATTCATTACCACGCAAGTCCCATATCGGCTCGTGAACGTCATGAAGAGTCAGCCCCACAAAAAAAAAAAGGAAAAGAATTCCCATCGCAGGCAGACAGGGAGGTAATCAACAGGTAATGTACTATTAGTACACATGGAACAGCAGCAGAAAACACAAATCATCTGGAATCAACGGTAAAGAAGCTGAATGGAGGCTAATTCTGAACTTTATGAGAGTGAACCAGCCGTCTCAGTGTCAACGGATGGATGCAGCATATAATATACACGTGTGTTCGCGTCATCCTGCGATTGCCCTGTCTCGCCTTCTTCTGTAGGTAAAGGCAGTGATTCTTGCACATCACCCTTGACGGTTAATAGGAAGTTATCCTAAGGAGAAAGCGGCAAACTCAGAATACTTCGAAAAAGAAGGGATAAATAGACAAGACAAACCTTGACAAGTTTCCGTAACACCTTCATAAACAGCTCTTTCTCATACTCAAGTTCCTCGACGGACTGGAGATCCTCTTCGCGTGACTCAAGATACCAATCAATTAGCTCATCACGGTCTACACCTCGCCCCATGCGTTGCTCGTGCTCGTATAGATGGAACACGACCAGATTCTGAAGTTGCTGATACCTATCATGTGTGATTTTCATCTTTCGCTTTGGCTGTGGAGGCGCTTGCTCCACGGCTGGTGCTGGAGTGGTACCCGGAGCCGGAGAAGCAGCGAGCTGTCCGACACGTCCGCCTGCTCGTGTCGGTGAAGATGGACCTGCAGCCTCATTGAAGCTATCCGTCGCCTCATGTTCTGCAGGTGCCATTTCGACGTCGTCCGTTGCTTCTGCAGTTCGGCTCTCACGAAGATCTTGTGCCCTGTCGTTCTCACCCTGCAGTTCTTCCTCGTCAAAGTCGATGTCATCAAGTTCGACATGTATAATGGACTGTCGTAAGAGGTTATACGCCTCTCGCACAAAGGCAGGCGTAATCTGTGAACAAAACTCAGACGAAACAAATATATCATCGTTCACTGTAAAGCATACCTCTTGCGTACAATTCGCACGGGCAATAGCCTCACTCAACCGAATTAAGCTTTCAAGCTGGCGGACAGTGATTCGATATGAGTTTCTACCGAAACCGCTAGCATCGTCTTGCCGAAGTAGACGATACTTGTCTACAAGGACATCGGCCGCTTCAGCAGTTAACTATCAAAACTGTTAGCAAACGGGTCCTTTCTCAGTCAAGGAACGACCCTACCTTCGGCTTGAATGTCCGGGCGTACCCGATGTACCGCTGCAACGCTTCGGTACTGAACTCAGGATTAATTGCTGCATCTTGGAATCGATGGACGTTCACGATATGCTCTGCAATGTTCAGATCCATCTTTTCATCGCATTCATCTAGCACAACGAAGAACAGATCGAATCGACTCATAATTGGTGCACTCATCGCAACGTTCTGGCGGAGCGTCTTCTTACGGTCATATCGTCCACCGATAGGATTCGCAGCGGCAAGGATAGACGTCCGTGCATTAAGCGTTGCATGAATGCCCGCCTTGGCGATTGAGATGGTCTGTTGTTCCATCGCTTCGTGGATCGCAACCTGATCCGAGATGTCCATTTTGTCGAATTCGTCGATTGCACAGATACCATTGTCTGCAAGCATCAAAGCGCCAGCTTCTATTGTAAAGTCTCCAGTCTCTTCGTCTTTCACTACTGCAGCGGTCAGACCTGCAGCAGAGGAAGCCTTTCCAGACGTGTACACCGCACGAGGGAGGAAGGAACAGATGTACTTAAGGAACTGGGACTTCGATGTGGAAGGGTCGCCGACAATGCAAATATTAATGTCGCCACGCAAGTGCATCCCTTCTGGCGTCACTTTATTCACTCCTCCCATTAGTTGCAAGAGGAGGCCCTTCTTGACCACTTCATGTCCGTATACTGTCGGTGCGATGCTCGAGACGAGACGAGAGTAGATATAATCTGAGTGAACCATCGCCTCGAGCTCTTCGCGTTCAGGATCGGTGAGCGTCTGCAGGAAGGTTTCGGTATCCGTTTCGCTATCATCCGATTCTCCATGTACGTTCGCACCCGTCTTGAAATAACTTTCATTAAAACAGAAGAAAGCACGAAACTGATGTAACTTACTCGTCCATCTACATCATGCACCATGCACGCAAGGAACGCCGTCTTGTACGACAAATCCCTAACACCGAGGCTCTTCAAACCCGTAACCCCAGTCTGTCCTACCGCACCAGCGCCTGCAACGCCTGCAGCACCACCTTTCCTTGCCTCGCGCACCATCTCCGCCTTGTTACCTCCAGGCAGACCCATTTGACTCACGTCCGGGACGACCACGAAGGTACCGGTAAAGACGCATTTATCTCCAGCCTTTGCACGCTCGACGAGCTCACTGCGCAGAATGACATCGAGCGAGCGAGGCATTGAGCCAGTCGGAATCTCGGATGGGTTTTCTTGAATACGAACTTTCTGCCAGTCTGTGAAACGCGATGAGTCGATTTGAAGCTGCCATGCAGTACGATTTCCACAAGTCGGGTTCGGGCATAGATTTGGCTGTAAAAAGAAACATGCATGAGAAACCAGACTGACATAGAAAAGGTAAGAAATATAGGACCAACCTCAGTGTATTTGAATTGCTGCTCAATATCGTGCACGATACCATGGCAAGCTTCGCAAACAAAACTACCATACAAGAGTTCTGGACGAACTTCGCTAGTCCTCGTAACCGTCCCACTCACGCTCATCAGCGTTCCAATGCGCTCTGTTTTTAACTCCCTAATGCCCGAGACTAAGGGTAGATGATAAAACGCGACACTAAAGTCTTTCGTCTGTGCGCCAGTCTGATCACTTCGTGCACTAGGGTTCTCTTGGAGGTAATCCGGTGCATACTGCGCAACAAGATTATGTACGGCGCGTTTGAGGTACGGCATAAAACGATAGTACTTCGTCTGGATCGCCTGAGCGAGTACGTCGTCCTGCTTGAGGATGTGCGTGAAGTCGACATACATAGTCGTAAGCTCATGGTCTCTCATAATCTCCACCTGTGCAATGTAGAGTAGAGTGCCCCCAGCAGTCACGTCTTGCATATCATCCGCTGCGGGCGTCGGAGCTCCGAGCTCGACTTCCTCAGTAAATCTAGGGAATACTTAGAGCCGCCTTCACAGAGACTCACATAGCATACTCACGTTTTCAAGAAAGTCTCAAAACTCTCCGTGATCTGTTCCCCGAGCGCGTCCCTCACCATCGGCACGTCGTTATCGATAATGCCTCTCGTCCTTAGTCGTTGCCGACGCTGCATGCCCTCAATATCAACTTCAGCGCCTGCGTCCGGGTTGATGTCATCTAGAGCCAGAGCATCTGCACCTCCACCTGCTGCGGAACTACCGTTTGTCTGTCGCGCCTGTCGACCATTCACGCGAGATGGTGTGGGCACGCCGTTCGTGCTAGCTGTGAGAGACGGCATAGGCGCACTACTGGGCGGCAGTGATGACCGTGGAGGGGGTGATGAAGGGCCATCTACATCCATGTTTTTCGCTTTTCTTCGGCGTGTTTTTGAATGATGTTTCTCGGGATACAGTCGAGAGAAAAGGAGGAGGAGGAAGGACGACGCGTGGTCAATGGGCTCTTGACGCGACGAGGCCGGCCCTAAACAGCTCACTTCAAGCACGCGGAATCTCAGCTCCTCATCGTTGAACCAGCTCTACCATCGACACTCATGGCCGACCAACAACAACAGCTACAGCAACAAGTAGCCCCACTAGGCGGGCAAGCCACCCTCCACCCAACTCTCGTCCCCGAACTCCTCGGCTTCTCTCCTCAAATGCTCCTCGACGACATAATCAACACCGCAGCAGAGGCGATCCTCCAATGCATCCAAGCCATGGAACCATTCATGCAACGTTGGGCAGACGCACGTACCGCCAACCCTTCGGCTCCCCCCTCCGACAATGACAAGAAAAAGAATAAAGGAAGAGGTGGGAAAGACAAGGAGAAAGAAAAAGAAGACGCAGAGTGGGATGGGTTGGAAGCTGTTGAACAAGGTCTCGTCGCGTTTAGTACGTTGTTGGAGTCGCATACGGATATCGCGTTCGATTTCTTCGAGGCTTGGTCTTTGCGGAACATATTCGCCATCCCGCCCGACTTACCCGTTGTCGCCCCTCATCAACAAGGACTTGACTTAAACCCTCGTCCAGAGGAAGAAGCTGAGCTCATGGCAGACATCGAGGAGCTTCGTCGCAAGATTGAGAACGTGAGTCCATACCCCTCAGTGTGTTGCTGCATATGTATTGACATATATTTGAATCTACAGCAACGCCGCCTCAAACGCACATACCAAAAAGCCCTTCGCATCTCCCGCCTCGGTCGTCTCCGCTCCGAACGTAACCTCTCACGCGTCTCCTACCTCTCCCCCTCCTCTTTCACCTCTTCCACCTCTCCTCCACAAACAGACAACCCACAAACAAACCCTCTCGCAGCACTCGCAACCCTCCCCCCCTCCCTCACCCTCCTCTTCGAATCCATCGCCTCCCTCCCCCACATCGACGGAACCCTCACCTCCCCAATCCCCCCTCCCGACCCAAGCAAACGTCTCTGGGAAACAGGTCACACAGGGTACGTCACCTGGGCCGTCCAACAGCTCATCGCAAAAGCCAAAGAAAACGCACCTGCCCCTACCCCCGGTGGAAGCAACGCCGTCTCGAACGTCGTTGACCAAACCGAGCGCGTTGGAGAGGTACAGGACGTTAAAGCGCTTTTGGATAATGTGGATGCTGAAGGTGAGGAGGTGGCAGAAGGTGATGAGGGGAATGACATGGACACTACGTGAACTACTTTCATCTCATCGAATCTATTAATTTCTTGTATACGCTACTGTCGTTTCCTGTTGGTCTTGCTTTGTCACTCGATATGTCCTTCACTTCTTGATTGTACCTATGGGCCCCGGGGACAGGAAGGAATAGGGACGTATAACATGCAACATACTCTACCGTGTATTTCCGTTATCTTGCCTTTATTCTAAATTATTTTTCTTGATTTTATGCGACTAACATTTTTGCACTCGAAACCTCCACTCTAAGTAAATAAAATTCATCACATCGTTACAATTTTTTCCTAAGTAAGCTAGATAGACGTCCGAGGATGCAAGACAGGATAGAATAAGGACGCGAACGCATACAGTGCAAATAAGTCACAAGAGGAAGGAAGGAATGTGTGTCAAGATACCTACCTACAAATTGGAAGGTGGCATGCGATAGCATCAAGATCACGAAAGGAAAAAGATTTTACTGGAAAGCAGCAACAAATAGTCATGTCTGTATTTCGTGGAGTCAATAACGACAGGCACACAAGTGCTGAAAAGGGTGTACGAATAGGATAGGGTAGAGAGGGGAGGGAGGAAGGGGAACAAAAAAAGAAACCATGCGTATTTAGATCGAAACGAAAGAAAACAGGATTTGAAAGAAGATGGAGGTCCGTCATTAAATTTTACGTCGGGTATTCTTAAAAAAGAACCGATAGCAGTTGTCCATGCCGTATCACAAGAAAACAGTGGTGGGTTGGTTGGTTGGTTGATTATAAGAATGTCCGTCAGATGCGAGGGAGTTGGGGAAAGAGAGAGAGGGAAACTAGATGTTCTGGCATATCGTACAGTTCTCGCTGATCGTATCGCTAAAGATCGCCGCTGAAGGAATAAACAAAGTCAGCAACTGGAAAAGTGAGCTTGCAATACGTTATGACGTACGAACGACGATCAAGGCAATGAATATGCCGAATACAAGAAGGAATACGATGCCGTACTTGACGACTATCTGCCTCCTTTGCCTCTTCTGCTTGAGAGAATACAACGGCGCGCGGATCTGTCGCGAAGGACGTAACCAGACTACGAAAATCAGAATTCAGTAAACGTCCTCTGCACAATCGAATGAACGAAAACTTACATAGAAGCGTTGCATGCAAACGATCGATGTAGGGAATAAACAACGGCAATGCGAGAAAGAACAAAAGAACGTGACAGATCAAGAAATCCGAACTCCAAAGCGACAACTCGATAATCTTGACTACAAATTCGCGAGCAGGCTGGCTCATTGCATGCGCACCAAGGCCACGACCGTACCATTTACCTGTCCACCATGCTCGGTTCGTTTCATCGTGCTTGAATTCACGCGACAGGAAGACCGAGATAAGAATCTTGTGAATGGCACGCTGGATGAAAATGATTGCGATCAAACCCAAGACAGCGTGTGAGGCATTCCAGAGCTCGAGGAACCACTACATGCAAAATTAGTAATCACTCTTAAGCTAACACCGAATTACTCACCAAGAATTCGAAGAATCCCACCATACCAACTAATGCCGACGTATGTGCAATGAACGCCATTACACTTCCAAACTTCGGCGCGACAGTATCGAGCATTGGGCCAATGAAGATCGAGACCATGAACAAGACGAGCAGAACCGCGGCATTCCAGACAATTGGACCCAAGCTCACAATTGCAATACGAACAAGTGGGCTCGCATTCTCCTTGTTGGAGTTATGGTTCTGTGGGAATGACTTGACGAAGAGGTAGGCAATGACGAAGAGGATCGCCATGCAAATCGGGAACACAATTTCCGACAACAAGACCGTACGCCAACCAGCACGAGGAGAGTCACCACCGCTCTGTTTGTCCGATGGCTGTCCCAGTTTCTTCTTTTTGTATCCAGTAATCATTGTACGCGACAATCTGCAGTACCCAATCCAAGCATTCTTGTGCGCCCGAGCATTACCACGCGACATCCAACGAAGGAACTCCCTGTAATCAATAACGAAGTCCGCGAACGAGAACTGGTGCGGGTTGAAAATGAATGGCGCCAGACACAAAGCGAGTGTTGTGATCCAGAAATAGATGATATGCGGAATGAACAGAGATAACGTCACGTAAAGCAGCATAATGAGCGTGCGCATTCCAAGGTAGATACTTGGACCCGCGAAACGAGAGAACAACGTGCTGAAGTTGAGACGCGAAGTTGCGAACCCACGACCCGTCGCGATATATCGGGCTCCACCGTAGTTAAGATTGGTCAGGATTGAGTTGGCATAGATCTGCGTTGAGAACACCTCGAAAACGGGCGACAGTGAGCAAAAGTGCTTCGTAAGGCGTATGACGGCACGACCGGCACCACGTTCAACAAGTTCTAAGGTCATTAGTGAGTATCTCAAGAGAAAAATAAGCAAAGGGGAAGTGCTACCTTGCAAGAACAGAGGCATGAATGCAATCATGAACACTAAGAAGATACTATAGACACAGCGCTTGATCCAATCAAAGATAGGATCAAGGTTGTAGCATCCAGACTGATTCGGAATGAACTGGCCTTGACTGTTGAATTTGCAAATTGTCACCGAGCTATTCAACGTGCCGAGGAACACCACTAGCAAAGATGGTCAATTCAGATTTCTAGCAGTATTACAAAGGAAAACATACGTGTCACGATGAAGACCTGCACGGATAAGATAACCAGAATGTTGTTGATCTGGAAGCCGGGATGGCCGTAGTAGAACGTCAAGAACCGATCGATAGGAAGCTGCGTGCCAAGGTAGTAATATTCGCGACTTAGCATCTGCTCGCCCATTCCATGCCCTAGCTTTGTTTGGAAGTTTAAAATTGTTCCAAAGCCCAAATCGCGTCCTTTCCCACATTGGAAGTATTCCGTATGCTTGATAACACCCCCTCTTCCCATCGCGTTCATACCTGCAAAGATATCTTCGTTCAAATGAAGACCCTTCTGCGCTTTCGAGACCCCACCACGAGTATTCATGAAAATGCCGTTCAAGAAATCCGGGTGACCATAGTGCAGTTTCCCACCAATCCATGAAAGTGCACGAGCTGCGAGTGTGCCGAATGTCTGCTCCTTGCCTGCAGCTATATCACCGAGAATGCCGATGCTCTCAGAGAAGATATACTCGCGAGCACCCACGATTGCCACTGGGTTTTTCTTGAAGTCCTGGTGACCCCACTGAGCGTAAGGGCTCTGGCTGGACACTGCATACTCATCGAACTCCGCAAGTACGTTCCGGACTTTCAAGCACTCCTCAAGATAGTTATCCTGGTTCGCGTCGATGAGCTGCACGTATTCTCCACGGTAAAAGATGATCGCGTGGTTCTGGTTGTCCGATTTACCATCTCCAAGAATAGGGTTACCCGGTAGTTCAATACGGAACTTGGGCCTGCGACGGCCAGTTTCAGGAATGAACTCGGAGTGCCCATCGATGAGAGCGCTGTACAATCGAGGATCACCGCCTTCCCTCTTCGCAGGTTCCTCATCAAGGTACGCGATTTGCAGGTCTGGATACGCACGAAGCAAGAACTCTGCATTCTCGCGCTCAACCGGGTTGAACTTCGCGTACCTCTGCATCGAAACAACGAATTTAAACTTGCGACGAGCCATGCGTTCTAGCTCACGTTCCAACCTATCAGTGTTACCACCAAACAGCTGCACGACTTCCGGGTTCTCGACGCGGTACAAAAGCTTGATTGCCTTCGCGTAGTTCATCATACCAGATACTGTGCGATAAAGGGTCTGTGCACGCAGGCTTGCCCAAATACGCGTCCTCAGTGTGAACTCCGGTGCTGAACTCTTGAACCCAATGCAGTAGAACGGCAAATCATCCGCGGTCTTCCCACTTCCGCCTTTCTCGTCACTACCTCCGAACGGATTTTGGCCATTGAACATATTCGACTCCTCCGCAAGAATCTTCGTGTCCTTTACAAAGTTGTCCCACTCAATCGGATGTAACTGCTTGAGGTACTCCAACAAAGTAACACGTGTATGCTGATCCTCCTCCTTTATAATCTCACGCAACGACAGCAAGATCTTCTCCGAATAGTGTGGTGTCAACACAGTGAACGTCGGCATCGCATCTACAGGCAAAGCCTCAGGGATGTTAGTTGACAATGACTGCGCAAAGAACGAGATACGACGCTCTGCCTCGCTACCGCGAGGAAAGAATTCGCCCTTGAATCCACGATCACCCTGACTCATGAAGAACGCTGGCGCACGAAGAGCCCTTCTATCACCATCTCCATCCGTCGCAACCTGATGATACAGCAGCTTCTGAACATGGTCAATGGACAGCAAATGCTCTCGGTACATCGAGATGATAATCGCGTTCCAGATCTGGCTGACAAGCACCTTCGGTTTATACTTGACCTCCATCTCCGAAGTCGCAAGGAGCTTCGAGTATATGCGCTTCGGAAGGCGAGTGAAGATTTCGCGCCACGGTGTCCAGATCGACAAGCCAACCACGAACGAACGGCCAATACTGAGGACTGTACTCCAAATCACGTACCACAAGAACGTGTCCAAGAAGTACAGAACAAGATCCATGATGTACATGATCGTCAAAGTGAATGCCGCCTGATTCGTACATAGTGCGTTTCCAAAGAACCTGTCAGAGCATCCTTGTATTTTCATACCCACCATCACTCTAATCGGATTGGAGAAGTTCAGTGTCAAGAAGAAGTAACTCTCTGTAAACTTGCAGCCGAAGACAAGGAACCAGAGTAAGAACGAGCCGAACCGAGAGGTCTTCGAGAGGGATGGGTAACTAGCCGTGAACGTTTGGCTTGCAAGATACTTCCGCGACTTGCCCGCAACACGATCACCAAACATTCGACCCGATGGCATGATACTGAACAACAGGGTGGCGACCACAGAGATGAAAAATTGTACAATCCCAATGATCAAGGGGACAGAACTTGATGCGCCTGGAGTATCCGAAATTGCGACATAAAAAGTCGGTCCTGCGGTGAGCGCGAGAGTGATGAATAGGAATAGTAGACGGCGGGTGAGATGAGAGGTATTGTTCCAAGTTGTAGGAATGTACGAAAATTCCGCGAGCGTAGCCAGAATCATGATGACCGTCGACACTGCACCGCCAAGCGCTGTTGCTGACCAACTCATTGCAGGAGTCGGACTTTGCTCTCCTGATTTAGTGTATACCGTTGGAGAGTTGAACGCCGTGTAGTACCAATACAATGAAATATGGATGACCCATATCCGGTTGAAATTGACCAGCAGGTGGAAAAACGATCGCTTCTCGTAATAAGTCTTGAAGAATGCACGATTCCAGTCTATTCTATCGAACTTCATAAAACGATGTGGAGGCGGCACATCTACCAACCGCGTCTGCGTCACAGGTCAGCAAGGAAAGAATATCCTGGGAAACATGTTTCAAACATACTTTATCGGTGAGAACAATGCGTGCAATCCCCTCCGGGTACCAGAATAACTGATTGATGTCATCATATCCAATGATTTGTTCATGATCCTTTTCCCGCCGAATATAACGTCCGTCTTGGAGCTCATACCCTTGGTCTCTAATGAAGCGGTACAGCGGCTTAATCACAGCACGTAAATATAAACCTTCCGGGACAGGCTGGTCACGATTTTGACATTCGGGTGAGCGATAGTAGTCATCGGCACATTTGAAGATGAAGCACAGCGTCTCCGGACAAAAGCGTACTTGCGCAGCCTCACCCCAGATGAGCAAATAGAGTGCAATTTGACGAAGTCGATCATACTGCGTCATGTTGTGCATCGCCTGGCGCCACCGATCAAGGGCTGCGTTCAGCGACTTTTCGGATGTCGCTCGGCCCTTGTGCTTCTGTTTTGTGGATCGAAGCCGTTGGAGTCCCGGGTTTTGTGACTGGCCCACGGCATCGTCGAGGTCTAGCTGAGCGGCAAAGTACCATTTCCGGTAGTTCGCATGCCAACCTCCGATATAGTCCGCGTGCAGGGTAAGGAGCGCCTGTTCGGGCGGCATACGTGATGCTCGACTGTCGAGTTGCTGCATAAGGAAGTCGAACATGTTGCGCATTGAATCCCGCTGGAAGCCGAACTTGTGCGCGAGGTCCAGGAAAACATCCTCAATCTCCTCCTTCGACAACGGTATCTGTCGTTCAGGGGTCCACGCAGGATACGGCTCGCGCATGGCACCTCCGGGCATGACGCCATAGTCGCCCGCTAATGTTGGAGTATCAGTTAGACCCACTCGCGAACCCGGCATCAGTGATTCTGCCGACGGCTCATATCGGTGTCCATATACGTCAACTTCTGAATCCGTGTCGCCGTCCTGGCGAGGATGCACTGTGGAAGACATGCATGTGAGTAGAGCAGGTCAGAAGAACACATACAACACGCAAAAGCAAGGCATCAAGGTTGATAGGCGCCGCAAGGTGCGCGAAAATCAACGTCAAAATGAAATAGGGAAGACATGTATCATGCAGCGTGCAACAAGCGGCCGCACAACAATCCAAACCCGAGCAGCCCATCCACTAAAGGACTAGAACTCAGCGTTGCAAAATTCCAGTCTAGCATCTAGAGAGCCCAACCCGAATAACGAACGCAGAGAAGCGAAGATACACAAAGGTGTGGCAACTCACTGTAATCGTAAGATCCTGGTTGGTCATAATACGGGCCTTGAGCATCGAGGTCTGAGGCAAAGGTATTCCGTCTTGAAGGGTAGTCACCCAAATCGCTTTCTGATTCGTAGTATCTCTGAGATTCCGGGTGAAATGGGTTTGGTTGGGGAATCTGAGGTGCAACGCGTGGATCGGCTGCATAGGCAGCGTCGGGGGCACGTGGAGGCCCACCCGGCGGTCGACCAGACATCGCTTTCTAGTGGCTTGATGGTGAGTTGAAAATCACTGCGATCAGGAGGTGTAAAATGTAGGGAGAGACGGGCGGGACGAGATATAGGATTGGGCGGAGACAGGAGGACTCTGTTGGACTGAAACGAAATCCGAACTAGCTGGTCTCTGAGTGCAACGTCGCGTCCTTCTTACCGTCCAAGCTGTCTGACGGTAGTCGTGGTGGAGACGAGAGGGCACGTCGCTGAGGACGACGGGGCTGGACGGGGGAAAGAGGAGTGAGTGAGAGAGTAGAGGAGGAAGTCGCGGCGAACGCATGCCCGCCTCGAACGCATCACGGCATGGGAAAGCTGGCCATATCCGGACTGGGTGGCGTGAACATCTTGTCCACTGTCTTCGTCACTGCTCCTCCACTCTTTCTCCTTCCGTTGGCACCTCGTTTCTCGCATCGCCTTCTCCGTTTACTTCCTCAACCGATCCAATTTGCCGCCGTCTATGCACTCATTTTTTTGAATGTCAGAACACACCCATAAATTACGATTAAAATCCATGCAAAATTCTCTGCGTGACAATCTTCGGATGACACAGCCAGCCGCTCTTTGCGCAAATGGCCGTGAATAGCACATGGTTTCCCACTACTCGCTTTATTGCTTCCTGCCAGCGACCAGTTGAACAGCCTCCGACAGCTCACCGAAACGTTTCACATCGTCGTGAACCCAGTCCAACGGGATCAACGCCGCTCAAGATTTCCGCATCTGGTAACACCACGGCCTACCATCAACCCGCAGCAACTGTAAAGTAAAGAAATACACAACACGTCCGGATCGGACAGCTGTGAAGTGCCAGCAAACAGCCTTACTGCGGTCACCTCACAATTTTCCCTTCCCGCGCCTCCTATCATCCAGATGACCATACCTTCGCTGACAAAAATAAATAAGTGGAGCTTCGGAATGCCGCCGATTCCAATTGGAATCAGGTCATATTCATAGTTAACCCCTCCTTCCACATTCGTAATCGAATCCCAAGTATTTGTTTTGCCGTGATTTCTTGTCTCTTATCACCTATCGCCCTCAATTTCCTCTTTGATCTGCTAAGCGGGATGCTATTACAAACGGTGATTTGCGAACACAGGCATTCGTAAACCGAAAAGTTCTCTGGTCTCTGCTATCAAATGTCTCGGTTCTGTAGCTTCTGCGCAACCACAAACTCCAAGGAGAAGTCTCATCAATACGATAATAAACGGAAAACATCGGACAGGGCATGGCATCGGCAACCGTTTCTTACGCTAAATATAATTACCAAAACACGACAAGAAACTCCTGCTGTCACCTTATATCACCCTATTCTCAACGTCCATTTACGCGCAGCGAAAGTCAAGCAGACAAGAATATGCTACGGATTTAAAGTGCCTCTTCTGATAACACGATCCAGCAAGACGTTGGAAACACGTCTGTCTGTTAGTTCTGCTCTCAAAGAGCTCTTGCACGGTACTGTGCTCTGTTTCCTCGCTTCTGTGGCTTGACTCAAGATGATCATATCTACCCGTTTCGTATGGATGCCTTATAAATGCTTGCTTCCTCATTTTCCCTGCGGATTGCCAGTCAAGCTTAAGACTTCTGGACATGACTTCTGAACACAAGAACAGCTTAGGAGCTATTTTCAATTTACTGATATCAAAGCCAATGCTCGGTTAACTCTTCTTATGCATACCCTCAATCACTACTCATTACAGACACACCCACACTAACATCATCTATTTTGGGAGGGATATAACAACGGGCAACCCGAAGTTTGTCCTTCCCTTCAAAGGTCCCTGTATGTGCATCGAAAGCCAAGAAGTCAAGGACTAAAGCTTGGACTTGGGCCCTTCTTTGATTTTCTGGTGGAAATATAGCCTAGGTCCAGGAAGAATACATGTTATATCCGAGCAAGGCACAAGAGTCTTCAAGAAGGTCCCTGATATCTAGACCCTGGCGTGCCTCTATTGACCTCATTTGATCTTGAGTACACTTCGGGTGCCCTCCAAACTCACAAATATCAATTCTGATATTTCAGCAGAATTCCAAGGTGATCACTCTTTCATTCACTCAACTGAGTGTTAGTCAAGTGAGCATCCCAGCCTCTCTGTCACTTCACCGAGTCGCACGCTGTGTTTGACCTGTTACTATGTTTCATCTTGTTGATCCAGGCTCGACCATCCTTGCAGGCTATCTGGCGCGATTTGCATATCCATTTGCTAAATTGGCAAACCGATGGCAGCATATATGGTATACAAATACAAATATACGATACGATTTCTTCTTCACCACTTCGCCTTTGTTCTTCGTCTAAAGCGCCAACCAAGCAGTCGAACAAATGCCAATCCTAACTGAATCCAGGAATAATCATGGATGTGCTCGACCTCTCCTAACGTACCTCCCTCGTCCTCGTCTTCCTAAATGCGAACCCGGTGTTCGTTGGATACTATTGTCTGATGAGGAGAAGGAGGAACGGACACTCGGAGTATTCCCATGTCTGTATGTGGCGAATGGACCCCAATTCCTCGCACTGCGTAATAATGTGCGCCAGCCTCGTGGGTGACTCGTGTGTATTGCGTTCACAGCATTCGCAGCATCAACTGACGAGGACGAAGGTGTGATCGGAGCCGAAGATGAAGATGAATGACGTGAAGAATGGATAGGCGGTACCAGGCTGAGTTGTGCTTGATCTTGAACTTGCATCGGCGGCATAGCGCTGCCTACATTCAGCATGAACCCGAATAAGATCGCAAGCGTGAGCGCCAGTCGCATGGTGAGTGGTAGGGCGTGGCGCATCTTATTGTCCGATTGTCGGTATAATCCGGCTTCGAGGAATCAAAGTACGAGCGGCAGATACTCTGATGTGCTAATGCGAGGCGTCAGACCATGACCAGTAATACTACTTCTAAAACAGCACACTCACCACTTCTATAAGTACTTCTCGGAAATCGCCCACCTTCTCCTTCCGTTTCTCTGTCCGGACTTGCGGGCGACGCTGATAAAGGGAAATGATTTGCACTCCCCGGTACCGACTATCAATCCTAATCCCTGTGGCGAAGAGCGTGGCGAAGCAGCCCCGAGCCCCTGCGGCGGTCCCCAAATCGAAGGGATATATAGGCAATAAGACTGGAATGCGCAGCACCGTCAACACGTCAGCCCAGCTCTCCAGTCTCACCTTTATAATATTTGCCCCAAACACAAAGTACCCTCGCAGTCCGAACTCACCGCAACCACCACACACTTACGGCACACTCGTTCCGCTTCCGTTCCTGTACCAAGACTCTCCGTCCAGTCGTGGGGAACGCGAAATATATGTGTATGTATGTAGATTATTATATCTAGAGCCTGAATCTACGTCATGGCAGTGTACTGTCCGACTTCAGGAAAGGTGAGAGAATTCATATGCGGGCCGACGGATCGCGGGAGGTATTCTATGTATGCATGTATAGAGGATTGCGCAACTATAGGGGGGATATGAGATCAGGCCTAGGGGCTTCATTTCAAGATTAGAAAGCAGAGTGACCGTTTGTACTTATGCGGATGCATAACCGGAGGCAGACGGGACTGACGGAGACGGAGCAAACCCACCCTTTTTGGATGCGTAAAGACCGAGACGCGTATTGCAGGCGTGTGGTCCGCGAGCCTACTTCTAGTTTGCAAGTTCAAGCTTACTCATGGCGAAATTGAAGATATTCTTTTCATTCCCGGAGCCAGATTAACTGAGTGAGTCAAGGACGGCAAGTACTCTTTGATCAGTCTCATCCGAAAAAAAGCCAATCTTGAGTTAGGATAGGATAAGTTGGACAAATTTTTTCGAGTTAGGCTGTCGCATTTAGCACTAGTACTGGAGACCCGGGTCCGTGTATTACAGTGTACTATGTACTTGGAATTAGTCCATTGCGAAATGGTGCATGAACATGATGAAGATTCTGCGTATGACTGGAACATTAATTTCTTGCACGTGGACTCAGACATTTGATAACTGGCTGGTATGAATTTCTGTAACTTATAAGTTAGTAAGAATACTTCGTCCTTCCTTGCATTTAGAATCTGAAATTCCGCTTACATCCTTCAACTATGCTTTGTTCAAGACCAGCTAATTATACTAATATGCATGTGTGCAAATTCCTGAACTAATCAATCAAACAGCTTTATAATTTTGCTGCGCATGTAAGGTGTTTTTTTCGTGAAGAGCTCAGCAGAAGCTTAACATAAAGATCACAGAGTCTTAGAGGATCTCCAAACTAGAAAGCTTATTTGCCAAGCAATACCTCCCATACTCAACCCTCCAACAAGTGGCGAGCAGAAGCATGACGACTTAATCACTTACAGGGACGGATAGACACCTTATAGATCCATGCGTCTGGTTAGTCTCTTTCAAAGTAGACAAAGACTGAACATGTTCGTGTCAGCAGGAAGGGGCATCTGCTTGAGGTAAACCTCAAAAGAGTGTCAAAAACATGTAGACGCATAACTTCATAAGTTGCATATGATATATACGTCAGGGATTTTATATATGGTGAAAAAAACGATCAAAACACCAGGAGGCGTTAAAACTCTCCATGTCCAGTGTTCAGAACTGCAGCCATTATAGACGTAAGTGACTGACACGGATAGCGAAAGAAAACACACGTACCTGCATAGCTTGGAAGAACCACTTGTTTTTCCCGGTCACGTATCGCTCTTCAAATAGCTTCTTCGCGTTCTTCTTTGAGTCCACCTTCTGTGACGGCTCCTTGAGGGCTTCTGCGGAAACAACACCTTTCAAGCCCTCAAGTTCAAGCGTATAACGCGTCGGGAAGAGGTGCGAGTAGTTGATAGCCTTCATACGAGCACACAGAGTCAGCCTCCTCTTCAAGTAGAAACAGACAGCAACAGACATACCTTAACGAAGGGTTTTACTTTGTTCCTCCTCTCAAGTTTCTTCGCACCCATACGCCTTGTAACCTTGCGAGGGTAACGTTCAATCCCGACGATGATGGCGTGAGGGTAGGGGCGTTCCTTGGTTCCCTCGTCATTCTGTTTGATTACAACGACTTTCTTTCCAGCTTGGCGGCCCTGCAGCACGAGTGCAACCTAACCATCCGAAAGAGCGAGCGTCATTTAAACGACCCAATGATGTGTAGCGTGTGTATTCAAATCGTACCTTACCGGGTTTGTAGACTGGAAGAAGCACAGGTTAAGTCACAAATATTTCAAAGATGGGCATAAGCACGTACTTTTGACCATTTTGCAGGAGGATAGTGAATGCGGCACTTGTCGATGGCAAGTGTGTGTAAACTTCTGGCAGGCGAAGTAGACGTGAGAAATGCTTATGTACAGCTGTACAGTATATGCTCACGTAGCAAGCTGAGTAACCCTTCCTCAAGTTTCCTTTTTCAGGTCCGACTTCCCTCTTCAGCCCCCCAACAATCCGAATTCAAGGAAGCTCTCCTGTCGCCCTCTCCAACGATGTATCACTGTCAGAACCGAATTGAACAACTTTTTCATATGATACTGCAACAAATTTCCTTGCCATGATCCAACCACAGTCAGCAACTAACTTCTAAACCATGTGGAAACTCGCCATTCGGCTCTCGTGCATACGCTTCACGACTGTCCTCTGTTCCGTGCCCAAGTCAAAGGTGGCTTCTTCTAAGCGACTCTCCGGAAGGTATATCTTCGCATTTACCGGTTACGCATCTAATTAACTTCCTCTGGAAATTTAACCTATGTTGGTGCGAAACTGGCGTTCGTCGTGCGATAGTCCGATGCCTCGCTTCCGAACATGCTGGTCATCAGTTTTACTCTGAATATTGCATATGACATTGACAAGTTCCACCGTTCTCTGTATACGTCTGATAATGAGACATGAGGTGAATTATTGTTCATCCCAGATATTGCCGAATAGTTGAGTTCAGACCTATTCGGTACGTATTTGATATTATCATAAACGCTTCTCGTGAAAGATGGCACACCACGAGGATAAAGCGCTACATTTAGAAATAAGTCGCTGAATATCAGTTGCGTCATACATTAATCCAGGTACTTAGAACCTCTCTCGTAGTCTATGCTATTCTTTGACGCCGAGAGATCCACTCTTGCGTCGTAACGTGTCCTTCTCAGTGAGCAAATCCAAACGCCACTTAGTCAATGTTACTGACAGAAGGCAACATTGAGAAAGATTCCGAGTCGAGAGTGTCTTCCTAACCATAGAATATTCTTTTACGCCTTCCATATATCCAGACCCTAAATGTGTCGATCATACCTGTCGTTCTGCCGAAGCGGAAAACGCATCTGTTTCGTTGCACGCCGTTAGTCGTAATGTTTCTCTTGTTTGACGGAAGAGAAGAAGTCCGGATTTCGCATGCAGGTAGATAAATCGCTGTTAATAACACCATTCAAAGACTGATGTTCACATCATAAAGGCACAGAAATTCAATTGTTTTTGGACCATCCTCGCTCGCAATAATGATCCTTGGCTTGCGCTCATCCAGCCCTGGACCCTGATAAGCACGAATTAAGGACATATGACAAACTCTGTTTTCGTTTCATCCTTTGCAAGCGGCCAGCGCTTATGCCATGTAAGGACTTGAAGGGAGACTGAGCCCGAGCATAAAAAGACGACAGAAAGCTCGGATGTCCCCTGAGGCTTGAGACTGTTTCAGTTAGTCTACCATTTCGCGTCGCGTCTGACGCCCTCCCCTTGCCTATGGCCGCCACGTTTAGAGCCCTTAAGCTCTTCCTACTAACGCCCGCGCTGCTCAATGCAGTCGTAGGTGTTGCAAGCTCGTCCGTTCTGTCCCGAGCACCGAGTTTTAATTCAGTCTGTGACGACATCGCAGGCGCGGTTTCGAACGCATCGGATGTCTCATATCCTCGTAGGTCTAAATAAAGCACCTTTTCTATGATGATAACTTGTGGTAATGAAAAACATTGGCCAGCGGAGCTTTCGTACACCTCTGGAATATCTCACTGGGCATCATCGAGCTCCCAATTTTCAGCATGCTCCGTCGAGCCCGGAAGTGCGGAAGATGTCGGAAAAATTGTACGTAGTGGCATGAATTTTCCTAAGACATTCCCCGTACTCAAAGGACTTATCTAAATCCAGTTGCAAATTGTTGCCAAGAATAGAACTCCCTTCGCCGTATGTTGTATTCCATTTATTTCTAGAAGCATTTAATTAATTTAACGTCTATTGTATGGCACAATTTACAGGTGAAAGGCGGCGGACATACCGCTAATCCGGGATTCTCTTCTACCGAGGGTGTGCATATCACGATGAAACGCTTCAACAGTGTCGTGTATAATGCAGATTCCGGAACAGCGGATGTCGGTGCCGGACTCTTGTGGGACGACGTCTATGGAGCACTAGAGCAGCATGGCGTCAGCGTGCTTGGTGGACGGGTATCCGGCGTTGGAGTTGCCGGTTTCACGTTAGGCGGAGGTAAGCTTCATTATCGAGCAACGTATGACTTCTTGGAAGATATGTTCTTATTAGTTCTGTCCCCCTCCTGTTCCCAATGACAAACAGGTTACTCGTGGAAGTCGAACCAATTTGGATTGACAATTGACAGTGTACAAGGCTACGAGCTCGTCCTACCTAACGGAACTGTCACTACAGTTACTTCCGACGACGACGATCTCTTCTTTGGACTTAAGGTTGGCCCCTCTAGTCTGTCAGCTTGCGCCACTGTGGCAGTAACATTGATGCCATTTTCTTTCTCTACTCTTTATTGTCTCAGGGTGGCTTCAATAACTTCGTAAGCTCATTCGGATCATATTCCACGAAACTCTCGCTAACTGGATTGAATGTGATTCAGGGTATTGTCACCAAGTTTACCTTCAAGACCTACCCCCAAACCCAAGTATGGGGCGGGCTCATGGTGTTCACTGGCGATCAATTCAACAGATTGTCGGCCGCTGTGTCAAAGTTCGCGGAAACTGTTACCGACCCCAAGGCTGCGCTGATCGCAGAGTTCAATGCACTTGCAGGCCTTGTAAGTTCTATCATGAGATTTTTTGTCTTGTTCATACCATTGAATCCATCTCTCTTATCTCCCAACGGTTAGCCTGGTGCTACGTTGAACTTGTTCTATGATGCTCCCGACCAGCCCGATGGTATTTTCGACGATTTTCTCAATACGCCTCACGTATCGAAGGATGTCTCTACTCGGTCACTTTTGTCTCTGGTTCAAGCTACTCCGTCGGACGCGACCTCTGGCCAACGGTTAGGCCGTTCTACTTTTTATTATACACCCTTCGACTGATTGCTGTTGGACACTAGTGGAGCCTTCCATACAGTCTCCGTACAGAACTATACTTCATCACTACTGGACGTGATCTTGGATCAGGTTAAGGTACGTATCCTCGACAGAATCCCTCTTCCATTCAATTTCTTATCAAACTGTATAATTGCAGTCTGTAGGAGCAAACATAACCTCGGTCCTCTCAAGTGGAACGTTCATCTCCTATGACGTCGAGCCTTTCCTCCCCTCTCTTTTCACTCACGGATCCCCCTCAGCCTATCCACCCTCCCGCTCCTCCGCACTCTACCCTCTCAACCTCTACTACGCTTGGGACTTCCCCACCTCCGACTCCTACTTCCACACCGCCATCCAACAAAGTGCGCAAGTCATCGAAGCCGCAGCTGTCGCCGAAGGCCAGAATGTTGGTGATGCAGCTCTGTACGGTAATTACGCTGTTGCGGGAACACCGTTGGAAAGGATTTACGGAGACAACTTGCCTCGGTTGGAGCAGATTAAAGCAAGCGTTGATCCGGAGGACGTTATGAGCCTTGCAGGAGGATGGAAGTTTTCTGCTTCTTGAACTTCCTAAGCTTCCTAGAAAGAAGTATGCATAAATGAGTTAGATACTTTCCTGGAGGATTATGATTTGGAAGGGATCGGACATATCCACGGTCATTTATTTTGCGTCTTGTCACTCTTTTTGTGTATATCACATGCTTAATGTTAATCTGAAGGGACATTTGTTCATCGGGATTAAAGTGTTTAAACGGCAAGAATGATAATCGTAGTCTAATTTAGTAATTAGGCTTTGCGGGATGCAAGATTGGTATACAGAAGCGAAGTGCATGTCCGAGGCAATTACTGTCATAGCGACATCGGCATCCTGCTTCATCTTGAAACAGCCTTATCCCGGTGCACAGACTCGGGATTTGTACCATGGGACTGGTAACGGCTTTCTTCGCACAGCGAAGCTCTCGCCAGCCTGCACTCCAAAAATGAAACAAATAAATTAAAAAAAGAGCATGCACGAAGAACTCCGCAGAAAGAATTGGAAACAATTATAATTGGCGTTGCAAGAATCTTTTATCTCTAATACAACAATAATCGGCCTTACTCCCATCTACTAGATCATCTGAATCTCTTTCACACATTCGGTATCTCTTTGGTCCACAACGTCGGGTTATCTATGAGAACAACCCCTTGAACGCCTTCTTTTCCTTCTCCCTCCTCGCTTTCTTCACAGCCTGTACGCGCGCCAACTCGCGCTGACAAGCCTCGTCTCCTGGTACGAGCGCCAACGCAGCTTTCAAATCGACCTCTGCTTCCTCCTCTTCGTGCACTGCCACACGTGCTATTGCGCGTCGGTAAAACGCCTTCGCTGTATCATATTTTTAGAAGTAAATATCGAATTTAGCTCTTATACCCGAAATATGTGATTGTAGATCGTAGAATACAAATACGAACCTTTCTCAGCGTCCGACAACGGTAGATCATCATCAATTGCTCGTGAAGTCATTTCGATCGCTTCATGCTGCTTATCAGACCCTCCCGTTTTATGAGCCGCAAGTGCAGCGTTTAGGAGAAGTGAACCGAGAAGCTCCGCATAAGCTTTTATCGTCGTTTCGGGTGTGTCATCAGGGAACTCTGGGTTCTCGTCTAGATACCTGATAGCCTCTATGTCATAAAGCCGCGATTGCAGTCCAATAAAGATAATTCAGTACCATGAAGAATTATAGGAGATGATTGAGGTCACTGACTTTGCCACTTCTCCAAAGCTTCCTCGATATTACCTGCCTTGAACTTCGTATTTCCGAGGGCTTTCAAATTCGTCGCGATTTCAAGCGCGACTTCTGGTTTATCCGTGTCGTGTTCGTCATCCTTTGGGTAATCCTCATACGGGTCTTTCATTATATATTAAACTTTAGTACCTCTAAGCATGGTAGTGGAGCTTTAAATCACAAACCTTCAGTATTCGACTCAGTCAAAGACGGGTCATCTGGCTGGAGGACGCCACAGTCGGAAATAGTGAACGGTACAGTCGGGGCGTCGCCATCAGCCGTCGGATGGTTCTCTATCCTACGCACTTAAATATCAACAGAACTTGGTCAACGATACACAGCTCGTTTGTATGATATGTCTTAAAAGTCGTACCTACAGACTTTCCCTTAAGCACTTCACCAAACACAACGTGCTTCTCGTCTAGATGGGGCGTCGGGCCCGCCGTGATGAAGAATTGCGAGCCATTCGTGTTTGGACCCGCATTTGCCTACAAATGACAATAGAGAAGCGTGAGTAAATATAATTATGTGCATAGAAAGAGAGTATGCGATGAACCATTGAAAGAAGGAACGGCTTCGTATGCTTCACAGGGAAGCCTTCATCCTCAAATTTCTCTCCATATATCGACTCTCCACCTGTGCCATTCCCTGCTGTGAAGTCGCCACCTTGGATCATGAACCTATTCGTTCAACACGTACGTATGCGCATTCAGCATTAGCAATTGTTTGATTCTACAGGGATAGCGTGGCGATGAATATATAGACATACCCCTTGATGACCCGATGGAACCTACTCCCTTTATACGATAACGGCTTTCCAGACGTTCCCGTACCTTTCTCACCAGTGCAGAGGCATCCTGTACATACACACGTTTAACACCATACACACCCCGAATCAGCAATCCTCATCAGCGATGGAACGGACGAGAAGTGCACGTACGGAAGTTCTCAGCAGTCTTTGGTACAAGGTCATCATACAACTGCATAATTATCCTCCCAACGTTCCTCTCCTTCCCGCTCTCGCCATATGCGATGTCGAAATATACAATGGGACGATCTTTGTTTGGTTCTGCCATTTTCTTCTCGATGATAGCGCGATTAGTCTAGGGATTCAGTCCGTTTTTAGGATCCTTTTGTAAGTAGAAGGAGAATGGTAAACTATGAGTGGTCGACGCGTAGCCTCCAGACAACTGAACGCGTCTTAAATCCGAAGGTACGGAACTTGCTAGAACTTTATTCCGCATATAGATTTCCGAGCATATACAGTAGTATATCGACCTCAAAATACTATGGTAATAATATATATATATCCCACGATTGGATACTGCATGTATTCCTAATAGTATTCGAATGATACATACAAAACATGGAAGAAAATCCAAAGTTAGCAGGAAAGAGAGCAACTTTTGCGCAAATGCGTCCGTATTGTAAAGAAATAAAACAGCGTGGAAAATAGCGTGATGGTGCAGTAATGATATCAACCGAGAATATTCTAGAGCATAATCCTTGTCGTCTTTAAAACATCCTTGTCGTACTTAAAAAAGATCCTTAAAGAGCCATAAATGGCGTACGAAAACCTTGGTGGAAATCGCCTTCGAGATGAACGAGAATGATACGGCGTTCGGTATCCAATGCTATGCAGAGCCGATGAATCAGAAAGAGGACAGAAGAGGCGACATCCCTGGAGTAGGTGGCATATGCATGTTATTACTGTCGTCTGGCTCAAGAGGGTGTAATGAATTCGCGTCCTGTCGAATAAACGGTACCACAAATTCAAGCTGTTGTGGACTATCGTCTCGGGTCTCTTCCTCTGAACCCTCCCCGCGTCGGGGAGGGCTTGCCGGGGTCATCATCATGGCTGGGGTTGCATCTGGTGCACCAAAATCACCTGAGATGTCCAACCCACCGATCAAGGCTAATCCATCACCCAACGACTCTCCTTCATCCTCAAATGCGAATGCAGCTTCATACCCACCAAAGAGGGGTGTATCGCCAAAATTATCAAGCAGTGGCGTCGAGTCTGTCTGAGGATGTGTATTGGCGACAGCAGAAATATCCGAGAGAGCAGGTGAAATGATGCCCTGTTGTAATGAGTTGAAGTCCACATTTGCTGAAGACGACGGCCATTGCGCATGAGGAACAGGAAGTTGCTGGCCAAGAGGTTGAGATGGAGGAGGAGTCAGGTAGACATCTGGGTGAAGATCCTGATAGAGAGGTTGTGGAGAGCTATACAATGGCTCGTTCAGTAGCAGGGGTGAAGCATTGGCAGGCGGTTGTCCATAGGGGAAGTTTTCGAAGAACAGTTCTCCAAGCGCATGCGGCGAAGGAACCGCATTTTCCAGAGAAGGCGAATATCCGGAAGTGAACCCCTCAACCTCGGGGAGCGGCGCAGGAAGGAGGAAAGGTGAGGAGGATGTCGGATTGTGCCCATCGATACTCATATTCAAACCCCCATAGTAGACCTCGGGCCCATGACGCGGAGGGAAGGAAGAGACGAGCGCAGAGTGAATGTACTCAGGATACGAAGACGTCCATTGACTGGGGTGTACAACGTCAGCATCGTAACCGCCAAGAAACTCCGTCTGCGATAAAAGTTCGAGGTCATTGGTACCGTTCATTAAGAGCGGCTGCTGATAACCCATATAATATTGTCCATGTACTTGTGCGTGCGAAATCGGTGGAGTGCCGAAAGAATCGTAGGTATCCTGTCGAGGCGTCGACAAAGCGAGTGATAAATCTCCACTGGAATCGCTGCTGAACGATTGATTAGCAGATATGAGACCGAATCCGACCGGCTCAGACTGTGCCCTATGAATAGCGTGGGGATAATGATGAGGAAGGGAAGTGAACACATCCCCATCAGAGTGCACGCTAGTAAGGAAGCGTCGAGGATCAAATTCATTCGCAATTTCCGCCTGACTGCCCCACGAAGACCCTGAACTCATACGATGAGACGTAGAGAACGTAGGCCGATGTGTGGGTGTTCGCGGCGCTGGCGTGCGCACGAGCGCCCTCTGCGAAGGTAAACTCGATCCTGGAGAGGGTAACGAGTCACCCGTAAGCTCGTCCAAAAGGGATAGCCTTGGCGATTTGCGTAGTCGACTCTCGCTCCCTGCCTCCGAGCTGCTCTCCGTCTGCCTTGAGCTACGTGACCGCTCAGGGCTAGGCGACGCCCTCCGCTTCTTGAACTTATGTTCACTCAATTTACGGTTTAGGTCCAGTTCCCACAACTGCTTTGCAATGACCCGTGTTGAAGGTCGAAGCTCAGGATTTGAACTCCAGCATTTGCAGCATAGATTCCAGATATCATCATCCATTCCGAACCTCGGGCTCGGGCGCTGGGGTCTTTCACCTTTGTGCACCATGATAATCACTTGTGCATCAGTGGTTAGGTCTCGATATGGCGGAGCGTTTGTGAACAATTCCTTTGCACAAATATAGTCAGTCCATGTTCCCACGATGCAGAACAGTAAATGTATGGATAACTATATACTCACGAGCATTGTCATCCCAAAAGACCAGATATCACTCCATTTATTTACTCCAGGAGTTAAGAAGAGCTCAGGTGCAGTCCAACGAATGCTACCAAGTGCGTCTCCCGTGGCGGTTTTCGTCAAGTTGGTCGAAACCTCATCTAGAAGCTTGCTCAGGCCGAAGTCAGCGATGCGCGGCTCAAAATTCATGTCGATCATGACATTTTCCTATCCTCGGAAATAAGCGACCGTCATCAAGAAGACGGAATAGCAATAACTTACGCCCTTCAAATCACCGTGCACTACACCGTGCCTATGCAAAAAAGAGAGGCCATCCGCGACTCCGGTAAGCTACAGATGCATGCAATACGTGAGAATTAGTTGGCAAATATCAATGATGGCACTCACCACCCGGATACGCTCCGACACAGTTTGCCTCGCTAGGTAACGTGCAGCGGTGCCATTTGGCATCCAAGGAGAGACGAGACTGGCGAGGCGACTACCAGGAACGAACCCATATGTGAAGCCGAGCAAAGGAAGAACGTTGCGGTGGTTCAGGTCGTGCCATGCTCGCACTTCCCTAATAAGTCTCTATGTATGATGGATAACGGCAGAAGGACGGGTTAGCACGAGCGTCAGAAGCTGCGAAGGTAATTATGCAGAGAACCACACGATCGTCATCTCAAGCGATTTTCTGCTTCATCTACGCATTCACCTCGCCATCTCGACGAGCAAAGCTCAGTGGCAGGTACGGAAGAAAGAAAGGAATCATCGGCCATGCGCCTTCTCGGTAAATCCACATTCCCCTCATCCGAAGTCCAAACACAGCCAATATAGGGGGAAAGGGCCGAGAAAATCCGGTGAGAACCCACCTTCTTCAAAATCTCCTCGCTCGCACTGGACCCCACCTCCCTAATAACCTTGACGGCAACTCGATCGCCGTCCCCATACCTAATCACCGCTTCACCATTGGAACCATATCCAAGCTTGAGAGGCACCAGTCGCGCCTCCCAAACATTGGAGCATCCACTGTTGACAGCATGCTGTCCAATACGTATTACCCTACCGGTAAGATTTAGAGTGTCGTACAGCCTCCAGAGCTCGTCGTCAAATGCATTTGAAGGCATAATAGGTGCAAAGGCCAAAGACCGAGGAAAGAAGACGGAGGAGGGGGAAAGATGGCTAGCAAGCCATGAGGAGAGGGAATGTACAAGGCAGTAGAAGGGGCAAGGACAAGGGAGATGGGGGGACGTGAAGAGAGGCGTATGCGGTGCGCACAAGTACAGAGAGATTTGGCTGCACGTGCACCGCCTGTCAATGTCATGGGATTTTTACGCGTCGGCGCGTACAAATTCTGTCGGAACTTCAACCTATTTGCTTGGTAATTCTGCAATCTCATCGGAGCACTTGTGGATGGGTATTGGTATTGTCCAGCTACATAGAACTTAGAAGCTATTAAAATCTGAGGCTGATCCAGCAGTCTGGGACCTGTATAACTAGCCTAAAATTAGTGATCGTCAGAGACGTTGATAGGCCTTAGAATAAGCTTGGCCAGGAACTGCATGCATGGGCACTAGCATATTTGCAGAAAAGCAGACTCTAGTTGTTGTTCGTGTATTTCCTCCCTCCGAGCACTCATATTCATGAGGCAGTATATCAATTTGTTTTATTGTACAACAATAGCAAAATAAGTACTGAGGTTTGATTACTTACCAGATATGAGATTAATTTTGTTGACTTATACAAAGCCAAGGATAAGAATTGTGAGTCTCTGAATCTTGTTTGACTAGAGTTTATATAAATGATTATACAACTGTTCTTACATGTCATCCTAATTTGGATTAATGATCGACGCTCACGCATCTTACTAATGGAGTCGTTTGGCCTTGTCGAGCTTAAGCCTTGCTCAAACGCCGACCACCATCATCCACCTCTCTGCGTCTGCTCATGGTTAGTATCTGCCTTTATGCATTCATCACTGGTGAAGGCTGACCCGCTTTTAAAACCAGGCTTCGCTCCACTTCTGCTCAGAATGTAATAACATGTTGTACCCAAAGGCGGACGCTCAACGTCGAGTCATGGTCTTTGCATGCCGCATCTGTACCTACGACGAGATCGTGGAGAACAAGTGTGTATATCGGAATGACTTGTTGACCGTGACAAAGTGAGCCTCAAGCTTCATGACGTGTCTTAACGGATGCTAACTGCTTGTGTTAGGGAGCAAGTCGGAGTCACGACAGACTTGGGCTCAGACCCAACTCTTGCACACTCTGAGGACCAGGTCTGCCCAAGCTGTGGAAACCATGAGTACGTGTCCCTTCACCATTTTCCTGGAGTTTTGGATACTGATGATGCTGAATATCGTACAGTTCTGTATACTTCCAGGATCAGTCAAAACGTCGCGAGACACGGATGATCTTGTTCTTTGTGTGTACGAACTGCAATACTGCGTTCGCCGATCCAAATTTACAGACAGAGGTGCATAATGAGGACTAGCACCTCTATGGTTGGCATCGAAAAGATGGGACGGGAGACGTGCGAGATGGTAGATGGCGAGCCACGGAGGCTCTTTGACATACCGACGACATAAATGACCAGTGGACAAGGGCGAACGCGGTCGCGTTCCAAAGAATCCCTACCACAATGTACCGGGTACAGTTTAATCAAGGCTCTGCCTGCGTGTCCAATTCCCATCCTCTCTGCTCATTTGCCTCCCAGTTACCTTTGTAACTGAATTTGTTGTGAAATTAACAGCAGAATGGATGATACGGGCAATCCTAATGTCAGAAAGCACATCAAGTTCTGCAACGTACCATCAGGTCGCCGATTCATTGATTGTTCCGATGCGGTCCATGTTTCTATGGTCTTCTGTTGTTCTGGCCCGGTTCCGGCTGTGAAGGTGGAAATATCAAGCATGTCTTTCCAATTACCGTTGTAAGAATAACTTAACGCATGAATCCGATGATGACTCACCCTACATAGTGTTTTGGCACATTTATCTACCGCTCTGCATCACATCACCTTAAAATTTAAACAAGGGTTTCCTCTTGTGTCCAAGTGCATTTGACTCTTAGCTTTGCTGGTTGGGTTCTTAACTTCATTGTCTGATCCGCAAACTGGGCACAAAGCAGATTAACACAAAATAGCACGAACTGACTACGAATGTACCCCACTTTACAACATGATGTCCCCACTAACTAGGATGGGTGAAATCGTCAAGTGAGGCGACTGGTGAACTCTGAACTATAGGCGTAAACCATAAACACTATAAACTTTATGTATTATGACCTGTCCTACTTGATCCACTAAACAGCAGTACAAGCCACTTTCCACTCCAAAAATAATTACGTGCAACCAACTTTTCTAGGCATCAATGCGCTGAGTTCTTTTTCTGATCATTCACCTTTGATACGACTTTACTGCACCCCAAGGCACTATTGAGCATATACTGTAAACTATGTATAAACTATATATCCTGCTCTATTTGATCCGCTAAGTAAACAGCAGCACAAGTCACTATCTAAAAAAATATTACAAGTATGTGCAACAACTTTTCTAGGCATCAACTGGGTGAATTATTCTTCTGAATCTGATCCTTCACTTTTTTTTTGATACGACTTTATCGCAAGACCTTTGTCTCTCTTTTATCTCCTTGAGTCCCTTATCTCCGAATTTGTAGTCCCGTATGTTAGACACACTTCAAACGAGTTTGAGGTTATGGACTTTAGTATGGGTTTGTGAATATGCGTTACAACAAATCATTCGTTGGCCAAAGTAATGAAATCTTGTCTGTTTAGCGCGATCGATGGCCCGAGGAAATTCCTGAGTAACGGTAGACGTTGGGCTCTGATCCGACAAGTCGCACAGTGTAGCATAGCGCTCGTACGTATTATAAGAGAGTGATGATAGTCATTGTTACGTGGAATTATAACCATGCGAATGAAACGTGGTGTACCGTTCGGTATATTTTCCGAGATCAGTCAAAGGCCGGGAGGCACGAGGTGATCGAGTGGTTTGCGTGGGCAGGGACGACTTGCTTGTCGATCCGGATCTGCACACGAAGGGGGACAATGGGGACTAGGGCTAGTTAGAGCTAACGAGTCTTGTGTACAGTGGAAAGAACGTGGTGGCGGACATAGGCGTACTAGCGCAGATGACGATCACTCTTATGTCTTATCGAAATCTAGCTTAGAGTGTCCTGTGATGATGCTTGTCTTCCTTTTGAATATTCGCTGAGATACGGATCACAATAGCTGCTCGTCATGCAGGCACTTGCTAGAGGGGGGATTGGCCGGGTAACTCCTGATGACAGAGACGGAGCTAGGGCATATGGGCATACACCTACTGAACCCAAGTTGTATTGGATCAATGTATAACTCACACAGTGAGCTTCCATCCTCCACGCCCGTCTTCTCTGATCTCCTCCGCGCTGTCCATTCTTGTCTCCACTGTCTCTATTTGCGGTGCGGTGATCAGAGAGTGCCCGGTGCAGGAGTGTTAGAGCGACTGATCCTCTCATTTGGGCACTGCAACCAACTGCGCTGGATCAGTGATCCCCTGATTGTTCCTCATACTCTGCGGCCTCTCGTGTCTTCCTGACCTGACCCGACTCCGACTGTGTCCTTCGTAAGCGCAGCGCTTTTCAGACTCAGAGAGGTCTGACATTGACAGGCAACCACGAACCCTGCCACTGTCAACATCCTATATTTCATTTACCCGTCACTTTAACTTGTCCACTCCACTCACCTGGCCTCGCTCCCGTCCGACACCGACCTGTCTCGCCCTCTCCCTTGCCCACGCTTGACTCGTCCCCTCCCCCATCTTTTTCTATCGTTCGTTGCCTGGCGCAATACCCACATAAACCTACCCGGTATCACCACTCTTATCACAATCACTCAGTGAGACATAGTCAACAACAACCATGGGCCGTACTCGCACCGCAACCATCACAGACGACGACCCTCTCGTGCGAGCGCTCGCGCCACCTCCCGACGAGTCTCCAGAAGCACGAGCAGCCCGAGAAAGAGACGAAACGCTCGCAAAAAAGCGGAGCGACGAGATTGATGCGCGGCTGGCTGCTGAGAGCGCTGCAAAGCGGAAGAAGGGTCAACCCGTGAAGGTGTTGCTTCTTGGTCAGAGTGAGAGCGGAAAGTCTACCACACTCAAAAGTGCGTTTCTTCCCAAGTAAAAACACGATCTTCAGAGAAAGAAATACGAGACTAATGGGCTATGGGCAGATTTTCAGTTGACATATGCGCGCAAAGCATGGACGGCAGAAAAAGAGGCTTGGCGCGCAGTGATTCAGCTCAACCTCGTGCGCTCCGTGAACGCCATCGCAGCTGCAGTATCCCGCGAACTCGATAATGGTAATGGTAGTAGTAATGCAAGCGAAGATGAGAACGACCCTGGCGTTCATATTTCGTTGAGCATTGACACTGATAACGCGTCGATCCTTACCGGCCCTGAGACGGGTGACGAGGCCGAGTCGATTAACGTTAACGAGCCGAAGTTCAACTTGACTGACGCCCATCGCACACTTGTTGCTAAGCTAACGCCTTTGCGCTCCGTGCAGAGAAACTTGGAGGTGAAGCTTGGTTCTGGTGCCGAAGAGTTTGGGTATGATCACGTCAGCGTCCCTGAACCTCAGACAACTAGCGGTCCTCAACCTGTTGTGTCCTTCCGAGATATCACGAACGAACCTCAAAGCACGACTGGTCCCAAGACTCCTAACTCATCTTCAGTAGCATCACCCAGTGCTCTATTGCGTGCCCGAAAATCACAAGAATTCTTCGTCCGCTCGAATGGATGGAAGAACGCACTGCAAAGATTCCGTCCGAGGAATTCGCGGTCGAGTCGTGATGGCGGGGCAGATGGTGATCCCGATTCGATTGCTATCGCACGGGCAGCCATGGACATGAAAGCCCTATGGAGGGATAAAGTCGTGAGAGAGATTATACGTGAACGGAAAGTGAAGCTGTTGGACTGTGCAGACTTGTGCGTCTTTCTTTCTTTACCCATCCCTTCCATTTTACCGAAGCTGGATGATAACAATATCGCAGCTTCCTACATGAAATTGAGCGCGTCGCGTCTCTCCGTTATACGCCGTCAGACGACGATGTCATCCGTGCGCGTTTGCGTACTGTTGGTGTACAAGAACATTCCCTTGTTTTTGATTCCGGTCCAGAGCCAGGTCGCGAATGGCTCATTTACGACGTCGGCGGTTCTCGTTCGCTACGCGCACAATGGCCAGCCTACTTCGACGACGTACACGCCATCATTTTCCTCGCACCCATCAACTGCTTCGATGAGCGACTCGTGGAGGACGTGCGCGTGAACCGTCTTGACGACAGCATGCAATTATGGAAGATGGTTTGCTCAAACAAGTTACTTGCAAGGACTGAGTTGGTGCTGTTCTTGAATAAGTGTGATTTGTTGGACCGGAAGCTGAAGAATGGGGTACGATTCGGAGACTTTGTAAAAAGTTATGGAGATGGTGAGAATGACGCGGCGCCTGTTGGGAAATGTGAGTATTCATTCCGTTTCTGCCTTTGCGTCCCACCCAAGTTGACTGACGATTGCCTGCGTATTATTCTTAGTCCTCCGAGCAAAATTCATGGAAGTCTGCAAACACTACTCAAAAGAGCACAGGGGACTTCACGTCCACTTTACCTCCGTTATCGTAAGCCGCGCAGTCCCTGTTCCTCAATCTATTGTTGCTTATCTACGCCTTTCTGCCTTATGTAGGATACTCAAGCGACGGCAAAGACACTCGCGGCAGGTACGTTTTGCTTCCCACCTCATTCTTCTCTTCTGTCTATCATTACTTCCGTGCTTCCTCTTAATCAACGAATGTATGCTAATTCTGATTTTTGATTTCTTACGATAGTGCAAGATGGAATTCTGCGATCGAACCTTCGACACCTCGATCTTATATGATTCCGCGATTCAATTGCGATATTGCGATACATGAAAGTTCTCTCACCCTCACCTTCCCTTTTCATTTAATTTTGATCTGGTTTCTTTTCTGTTTGCTTTCTATTGATATTGATATTTCTTATGACGGTCTGTCACCATGTACTCTTTATTCTTGAGCCCGGACTCCCTCTTCATCTCTTTGTTTGCTCTGTGTCCTGTGTGCTATATGCTCATGTAGTACTTGCAATGCGGTCTGTCTGGTGGCATGCTTATGGGTTACGACCTACGGACTGGTAGTGTGCTGTGCGAGGTCGGGGTTGTAGGGGTTTTATGGCGTGTGCATGGTCTAATGTATATATGTAGAGTAATGTATTTCCTAATCACATAGTTTCTTCCCTCTCATTTCTGTGTGTGTGCTTCGTATGCTGCAGGAGAAACTCCGCACAGATATTAATTGCTCTACATCGTAATGGGATACACATATGCCATGAGGCCATACGCTGATACAAAACAGCTTCGCAGCAAGTGAGATATGCGGTAGAGACTCGGATGCGGGGCAGGTGCGGGTTTATTACGACGTCATAACTGGGTAAATACTCGCAACCGCAACCTGGTCCGGGGGGAAGACGAGGAAGATGAAGTGAAGATTAGGTGGAGTCAGATTATGCGTGTTGTGCTCTGGGAGCGACACGTATGCATGCATTAGTAATAATAATATTGCGTTCAGTGCAGGTGTTTTGGGTGATTACTTTGCCCTATTTCCTTCAAATGATTGTAATGCTAGTACTGATATACAGAGATCTACCTCTCTACACAGGACGATTATCTGTGAAATAAAGAGGAATCGACGATCAGGAGGGCCGTGTATATGAGTGACTGATCTCAGATGGATGGTCTCGACTTTACCCGAGGGTGTGTTACACAACAATATCCATATAGAGAGGCGCACTTCCAAATAAGGAGAGATTGTGCAAATTGCGAGGTTACGCCGGCGCATACTTGCCTCTCCGGTGTCGGGCAAGAGTCCGTGTGCTTACTTACTCTCGTACCCACTCCTGCGATACCGTCCGCTCCTCCCCGTCTCCTCCATCTCCCTGCCTTCGTCTTGCGCTCTCAACAGCCGGCGAGGATATTCTCCTACTCTCGGCGATACGAGCGGGAATTGGCAACTCGTCTGTGGCGAAAAGGCCTACTTAGCTAGGGACGGAAGGCATCCCTACGTGCTCCACCCTCCAGATCCTCCTCGTCGTCCCTGGTATTAGTATATGCTGTTATAAGGGCATACAACACAATGAGCATCATTCCGAGCTTGTCCACCCTCCTCTCTCTGCTCTCGTTCCTTACCACCGTGTTCGTGCTTGCACGAGTCGGTGCAGCGGCGTTCTCTGCCAACGTTGGCCAACCTCAGGACTCAGATCCCTCGTCTTCGGCTACACCTTCAAAAGCTGCTCAGCTCCTCCAATTCCAGCTTGGTCGACCCGTTTCTGGAAGGGAAATTAGCACGGGAATGTCGTTACTACAGGCTGCTATTCGGTTCGGTTCTGCTTCTGCGAAGGACGAGAAGGAGAGGGAGAGGTTAATAAGCGATAACAACAGTGAGCGGGAACGAGGAATGATGATGGGGTATATTGGAGGGCATGAACTTGTGCGTATGCCTGCATCGACGTGGACTGGCGTACGAAGACCGGGACTGCTGTTTCGTCCGCGTGAGTTGCTCGTTGCTCGTTGCTACGTTGCCTCGTAGTTGTCGCTCATTCACTCACTCACTCACTCACTATCACTCTCACATACGTCGGGCTCCGTCAATAACATTTCACATCGTGCACTTTACGGGTGTGATATCACGTTATGATTGATACGTTGCCTGGGAATTGGGGATTTAGCGTCGCCGTTTCCTGATCAGACAAAACCTCTATCTATGGCGAAGTTGATCATGTCGAGACATGTACGTGGCACATTCCTCCTCCCCTTCTTCCGCTTTCCACCTCTCCGTCAATATACTCACTCACTCTATTTTGATCACATGCTTTGGTTTATCCCTCTCTATACTCGTCCCTTTGTGTCCCTTTGTCCTGACTTCTGATTTCGTTTCCGCGAATAACAGCAAAATCAGCGGAGAACGAATAGGCCTCCGCCGCCTTTACGACGACCGCCTGGACTTCCTCCTACTCCTCCCTCGCGGTCGAGATTAGTTGAGGAAGTATGATTCTGAAAACTTCATTTCGTATCCTTTTTGCGTACTTGCAGCATTGTGTTTTACCTTCTCACTTTCTGACATGTATTGGATTTCGCCACTGTCCGCCACATTTGATTTCGCATATACGCATGTTCGCTCGCATGAGGGTTACTTCCGTTCGGTCTGGCCCGGGCCTTGACACGGTCCGAGTCCTCCCCCTTGTCCCTTGTCCCGACCCCTTGTTATCTTCGACATCTTCGACTTCGACTACCTCGCTCCGTCCGTCCGAGTGTTGTTCTTCACCTTCATCTTTTTGGCCTACGCATCATGATATGATCATTGATGATACGCAAATGCCTTACTGTCTTACGATCCTATCCGCTTTTCGCACACGGTGATTTGAAGGACGGGCTTAACGTTCACCCGTCCGTCTACGCTATGGATGTTTATCCGTGCATACACGCCCCGACGTCTCACGTCTGCACATCCACGTTTCGTGTTTGGAATGTCATTCTGGAACATGTTACGAGCTGCGTCCGTGTACGACCGTTGCGGCCCCACCTTACAGAAACACAACGCCTACACACGCCACTCTTCCGATTTGATCCCCACCGACGATGCGACGCACCACCATCATCAATCACGAACCACGAATCCTCGTACTCGCCCCCTTCGCACTGCGCTCACTAACTTCATGGGTTATCTATTCTCGCTTCTACTTTTTGTGAAGCGCCTGGACTGCTTTTTGCATATATTATTTGATTTTGATTTGTTGTGCTTTTATCTCTTCTCGTTCGCCTTTCTCCTCTTCTCGTCTGCATTTCCCCCTTTCTTTTTCTTTTTCTGTATTCTCCCTATCTGCTTCTGCTATATATGTTCACCATTCCAGCTTCTTAATCCATTGATCCCTCTTCCTATTCCTCTCCCCCCCACCACAATTACGTTTGATATAGTTTGATGTTTCTCAAATGTTGTTATGCGAGAAACGTTAGCAGCAGCATGGACTTGGATTTCTTTTTTCGTTGATTAGATATTTTGCTGTGTTATGTTATAACAATGAACAAAATGAATTGGTTGCCTTCTCTGTTTTTCTTCTGTGAAAGTGATGGTTACTTGATGTACTGTATGAAGGATTTGTATGTTGATTGTTACTTAAGTGTTGGTAAAAGAGAGAGGCTGTATATTTCAGCCAGCTGTTTCTTACTGTCTCAAAAGTAATGTCTCTTTGTTTTGAAATCTAAGCAAGCAGAATCATAAAATTATACAATTGTGCACAACATTCAAATTAGAAGAGTATGTTAGATTGTAATGTGTTAAAGCAATGGAAATAATCAACAAAGTAAGGATATTGTTAGAATACACTTTTGTGCAGGACTGTCAAGAATGATCTAGTAGAAATAGGGGAAGAAATAATACACATCTTTTAAGATAATGAGATTTTTTAAATTTAAAAACAAACAAACACAGGGAATCAGGCTGTATTTCTGCTGAAGCAATCACTACTGATCATGATAGAAAATTGACAAGATAGGATTTGAATCTTTAAGTGAGAATAATTTCAAAGTACATACTTGGTTAGAAAATATAGATACTTTCAAAAATGTTGGTTTGTCTTGAGGAAAAGGATAAGGTTGACAGAGATGGGTGGACTTGATGTCATGCTAAGTTACTACTACAAAGTTACAGGAAGTTGAGACATTCACAGTCGTCTATTGCTTGAGAGACTAGAAGAGAAAAGACCAAAGAAGTCAAGCTTAGGTGGGCTGGCTGGCTGGTCGTGGTGTCGATCGCAATGCAAGCTTGTATTGTAGCACCAAATCGTAGTGGCATTGAAAGCAGCAGACTGATGATCTATCACTTCCTTAAGATGCTTGTAGGATAGAACAAATGAAATGGAACAGTTGACATGATCCAGAAGGCCTTGCAGTAGACACATAGTTCATAAGCTGAGATGCGAAGTAACGTTGTCCAAACGGTCGGTCCCAAGGAAATTGCAAGCAGACAAGACCTTCATGTTATTTGGTCTCTGAATGCGGAGATGATGTCCACCTTGTGTGTACAAAATACTCAGTCCTTCAGTGCGGACTTGCGAGGCCATTCTAGGATTTGAAGCTAAGCCATATTTCAGTCGCAGACGTCATATAACGGAGGAAAACGCAACGTGTTGTTTGCGTGGTTATTGTTAACGGCGGTCGTTGAGAGTAAGCCGCGTGTCCGCCGTTCATGAGCAGCATTTCCACCAAAGTAATCAACTTGCCCACGCCCACAACGGTCGCCGTCTTCAGCACAAATCCCTGACACTGCCGCATTCGTCAATCACCGTCAACATCCTAGTAATTCGTCGTAGGCATTCTATTTTGCAATGAACGGTGGTAAGAGAGGTCAACCGACGGCTCCGCCAAAGTACGTGGTTCATTTACTACGTTCACATACCGCCTAGCAACCTTTAGCGCCGAGTGTGTGTTAACCATGTATTATTTTTGTTATTCCTGACTTTAGGCACATCAACGATTTCACGAAGGCACTTGCGAGCGAAGTGCGCATCCTTCTACAGGAAGTTGGTCAACTTCGGGATGAACGACGACAGTTACAATAGTGAGTTGTTCATTAGGATTCATTTGTTCGAGCGGCTAGTGATTCAAAGGCTGACCGTGATATCTTCGATCTGGTTGTATGTTCCGATTATGGACAGTGAGATCGCAGAACTCATGGCTGTGAAGTCAAAGCACGGAGCTGGAGGAGAATATACACCAGATTGGGCTCCGAAAGTATGTCCATGCTTAACCTAGTGCTCTATCCCGATCGATATATATTGACTGTTGATGACATTTGCACCCGTTGTTGCTTGTGCATATATGCAGCCGGGTCCAGAAGCACTGCCTGCACCTCTACCACAGCCCGCGATTGAAGACGTCCCGCGCGAGCCTGCACCTCCGGCATGGCGGACGATCGTGAAGCACGAACCACGCCGTCCGAAGCACAAAGCCAAGAGCCCACCACCTCAGCAGATCACTGGCGCACCTGCACCCGCAATACCCTCTCCTCAGTTACCAGCGTGGGCGCAATGGAAACGTATGTGTAGGATCTGTCTGTTTACCTGATACACGAATTTCTTATACACTTTCCTCGTCTTGACCTTGGACTTTGTGAATTGTAGCGAATCCACTTGTAACACCTCAGCCGAGGATGGGTTCAGCCCCAGTACCTGCTACACCACCTGCTCCTGCACCTAAGGATGATGGCCTTTTCGGTGTGTTTTCTCCAGCGACTGTTTCGTTTGACTGCTAGTGATTAATAATGCTAATTACAGGTCCGCGGACTCCACCTCCGAAGTGACCCGCTGGCACGATTGATTCTGGCATTCATTGGATTATCTCACTCGTAATCCTTCGTCCATGCTCACGATTTTGTTCATTTAGCATTATCGAGATTTGCGTTATCTTTTGTTAAACGCTGCTTTCCTTATTTCCCGTGTTAGCCCTTTTCGATTCCTTTTGAGGATGTACCTTACTGTCGTGTCCGATGAACTTGTGCTTGTTGTCGTTTTCTATTGCGCGTTTCTGCTTGAATAATGTAAATTATCTAAGTCCGTTTTACGAAATCACGTTAAGGAATGAATGAAAAATTGGCTAGCTGAAATATTTTATGTGTAAGCTTGATAAATATGTACTCTAACAATAGCATTTTATAAATTTCGACCTTTTTTACTAGAAAATGTTTGGCACGGGTATCACAACTTGAAAAATCTGGCTCATGAGTCTCAGAAGAAAACAAATAAAATTCATAAGATTTAATTATAGGGATTGACAATGCCAAATTTTCATAAATACTAAACACTAATTCTAGCAGGCTATATATAATGCCTTTGCTGTGCAGACAGCTTTTGGCTCATTACATAACCAACTGCATAATTCCTGTTGCTCCCCTTCATTCTGGACCCACCAATCTCTTGATCCTCTTCCACATGTTCCAGGGCAACTAATGAAGATCGTGGAACTGCAAGGGGTGCACAAACTATTAATACACTTTGCAATCTTCGCAATGAACAGGCTCGACCTGTGCCGCTATGCAAATCCAATCCCCGCATTCATACCCGGCTACTTCCCCAGGGTCAAGCAGTCGAGGTCCACGTCTTTACGAAGAGACTGATAGGGGCTCTCAGAAATCTTTCACCATGAAAATTGGGGGCAAACATTGCCCTACGAAAGCTGCTACAACACCAGGGAAAAAATAAAGAAATTTCCTTACTGAGTCTTCCGCTTGGCGTACGTGGTCCTTACGACCTGCTTCTCTCGCGACGCCCACAAAGATCCGCTGAAATTCGTGTACAGCATCGTAGATTACATGTTCTCTTCCGCATTCGCGTATGTTCCATCAGTCCTGACTCCTGACTGATGGTTCCACTGGACTACGTTGAGGGTACTCTCGAATGCTCTCAATAAAAGGTGCAGCGCAAGAAACCCGAGAGGTACGGACCGCCCATGCGCAAATATCTATCGCTACGTCGTTCGAAGATACCAGATTTCTGACACAGCTTTCTGGATTTATCGCAAGAACCATTTCGTTCCATGGGTGATCACGACAAGGCACAGAAGTGAGTTCGGGTTTCTACTCAATCTCGTCTTAGCCAAATCGAGTATGAAGAAGTCTCGTCAAGCAGCCTCGATCGACTTGTCGACACGCTTCGATAACTTGGAATGATGTGTACCGTTCATTGAACTAGATCCTTACGAGTTCTGGTTAGCTCCTTCGGAGATTTATCCCAATCCGTACTCCTATGTTTCATGCCCTTCACTGCTTACTCCGATGCAACATGGCCCGAGATTTTCGTTAATAATCAGGCCGATGATGGACTTTCGAAGCAGGGTATCGCAGCACGTCCTTGCTCGTCCCAACCCACCTGCGTAATGGTATTTATTGTAGCCCCGTCATCCCAAAACATTGCCTAGGTGAGTCGAAGCTAAGCTCGCCAGCATTTCCGATGCTGGATTGATTAAAATGCGGTGCAGATTGTGCACAGCGTAGTATGGCATCGTTTCACCTCTCATTCGTTCTTTTCCTACCACTCCTCGCGACTCTGCTACCTTCAGCCGCTGCGAGGAATATAACAGTTGATGATACATACGGCGATGAAGTTACAGGAGCGAAACCAGTATACTCTCCTGCCGACGTATGGAACCCCGGACCAGGCTGCTCAACTTGTGCAATCAAGCCCGATGCTACACAAGCCTACAATGGAACATGGCATGATTCCACGCGCCCTCCAAATGCCCCAGCATACACCATAGAGATAGGCTTTTCGGGTATGTTACCTCAGCCTGGTCAACTTAGCATTCACTCTTGACAAATTGTCTGGTAGGCTATGCCGTGTCTGCGTACTTCATCTTGGCGAACAATATGCCTGCCCCCATTGTGACGACGACGACGATGTCGTTTTCAATTGATGGCAATAATGTGGGCTCTTTCGATCATGAACCTGGGGCGACTTCCGATTTGCAATATAATGTCTTGGGCTTCACCAAGGATGGGTTAAGCGACTCTCCACACAGACTCCTCATAACTTCAGAAGCAGCGGGAAAGCAATCCCTTGTTATTTTCGATCGCATAGTTTATTCGACGTACGTGATTAAAATTGGTTAGCAAGAGATTTCTTGATAGAAAATTAAAATAGAAACAATGCGAACGTTACTTCGGTCCCGGTCTCTACGTCTTCCGCAACTGCTACGACTAGTTCGACCACTTCGACATCCTCTACTGTATCCAAAAATTCCTCTTCCACACTAACCCCACTGCCCGCTCCTAACACCTCGAATGGTAACCCCTCATCCTCAAGCGAATCTCAGGCACCAGCAACAACGAGTCATGCAACCCGAAATGCGGCTATTGGTGGATCAATAGGAGGAGCCATTGCGATACTTATTGTATCGGTTGTCTCTATTTTGTGCGTTAGAAAGCGAAGGAGAAAGTCCGAGGGCAATGAAGTGACGCCTTTCTTCATTAGACCGCCTAAACATATCAATGAAGCGGAGTCTTCGCGTCCTGCTTCATTTTCTCAATCCGATGTTGCCTTACCCCCGGAGATGATATTGCAGCGCGACGTAATCCGGCAGGAGTTGCTCGAAAAAAAGGCACGCTACTTCTCGAACCCTTTCACTCAGCCCTCTGTCGTGCATCCAGCGACGAGAGAACAAAAGTCTAGCGCCCTTGTACCAGAACGGCGTGAGGGGGGAGCGAGTCTCGAAGCTGATCGCGCGTGGGCGGACCTGCATCCGATACCTAGTCATCCAGGCCTCCAAGTACATCCCCAAGTACATTATGGTCGACCAGTCGAGTCGGAAATTGAAACTGTGAGAGTGTCTTCGCCGCCTCCGGAGTATTATAAAAGCGCATGACGCGTAGCACTGGCGTGCTCCCTTCTTTCATCTTTTTCAGTCAATTTCCCTTCTTTCGACGCATGCTTCTAGACTTCCTTGTCTTTCGCATTTATACCGATCGCATTCATTTACTTACTGTAATTATGCTCATTTATTCGAATTATTCCGGGTTGTATTTTCTTCGACATTAATATTATGCACGCCTTTTGTTAAGTACGAACCACATTCGTTAACGGACTTATTTCTCTTACCTCCTTTTCCGGACTTTCCGGAACCAACGATTCTGTAATCGCTCATGAATCTACTTGTGGTAATTGGATATTTCCTCCAAGACCATCAAGGCAGAGTTCCTCCGAGCTGCAAAAATAGATGTGGATCTACAACTAGCACCAAAACATACTAGCCAATGTCCATAGAAACGAAGTATTCCTTTTGCAACACACCCGGTCATCAAGGCATCGAGGACTCCACTTCCAAGAGAGTTGGCATCACGAACTGAGAAACTTGTCGTCGACCCCTGATGTTTAATACAAAACACGACATCCCGAATTGGGGGTTACAAGTGTAAATGTACTTTGCGAATAGTTGTTTGGTTATAATACAATGATACACTATTTGTATATAATTAATCTAGTATCTCTTCAATTGAAGAATGCTTGGGTGTGAAGTTGCAGTGGTATGAAGTACAAAAAAAAAGGAAAAATGTGCAAATACGGAAGGAAAGGCTACATTGGGAAAAGGTGCAAATTGGCATACGTAATAGCAATTAGAAATGAATGAAAGAAGAGGATACAAAGTTTTATTAGGAAGAACATAACGACGAGCGTGCCAAGAGAAATAGTGGTGATGGTATAATATGAATGGACAGGACAGGTGAAGGGTCAACGGAGTTAAGGAAGGAAAAAAGAAACGCAAATCACAACAGATAAGACTCCCTCACAGCAACGTGCACGAAAAGCGTGGAGAACAAATACTGGGATAACTGCGCATCATGCAACGGCAAATGACGATACCCCATCTGCAGACTGCCCAAACTAACACAGTACACTGCAAGCGGCTCGCCATTGCTGTCGTCTCTCTCGTCGCGAACAGCAATACGGAGGAATATGAGGTCGAACATATCACCGACGCAATCGAATGGAAGGGAGAGGGTTTCTTCCCAAATGGGGTTGAAGCCATTGTTTTTGACGACGGAGGTACGGACGGTTGTCGATCTTGCAGTTGCGGTTCCGGACAACGTGGCCGGGCTGGTGGAGGGTGGGAATGGCGTGAAGGAGACTGTGGGAGATGGAGTGTCGGAAGGGTAGATGGAGACGGATGGCGCATCAGTTTGAAAGGGTGGACGAGCCCAATCTGGGACGTGGATGGAGACTTCAACATATGGGTCTATCACATTGCCGTCAATGATCTCCCGACCCTCCGAATCCTTTCGTCTGGGTAGTTGCTGAGCCGAGATGATCTACAATTATGTGAATGACTACCCATGACGTATGTAATTATTGAGAAATGCAGCAGCTCACCTTAAGATCCAGAGCATGATTTGTATGCTTTGCAAGGAGTTCCTTGCTTGGAACGCGCAGGGCTGGAGGCTTGAGCACATATCCGGCCCGGCCATTTCGCTGGAACATTGAATGATTGATCATATACCCCAAGTCTACCGAATAAAACAGTTCAGTTCAGAGCTCGTATAATTAAGTCGAAACGTCGGAAACGCACCAAATGTCTGCCAATTAATCGCAACCAACTGCGCTCCTGCTGCCCAAAATCTATGCGGCTCATAATTGCTTGAATTCAAGCGCGTCCCCTTGGGATAAATCCTCACGATATGCGTACGATTATGCTTAATCAGATCCAGCATGCTCTGCTTCAGTACTTTGTTCGCCGTGCGTTCCGACAGAGAAAAGACATGTTCGGGCGCATATGTCTCTTTCTTGTTGAATCCACGGCACTTGACGCCGACAGTGTAGACGAGGAGTGCAACGAGTTCGAAGGACATTTTAACTTTTGGCCGTTCGATAGCAGGCAGTTCGGACGGGAAGCTCTTGGGTGACGCTGCAGATGGTGGTGAGGGAGTACTAGATGAACCTGAAAAGGCTTCATGCCGTGCCGGTGCTGGAGAGGGTGATTTCTTTCGGCGGACTCGGTCGTAGAGGTTGCGAGCTTTGCTCAACTCTTCTTTGATCTCTGGAAGCAACGATCATAAATATCCGCATGGTACTTTAAACATTAGTTCTCACCCTTTATCGGTTCAACCTTCTTCACCTTTTGTATTTCCTCCCTTATTTCTGTTAAGACAACATGAGCTTCCGCGTTTCTCAAATCATTGGGTAGTCCTACCTTTAACCGCGTCAACATGTCTCGCCTTATCAAACTCTCGCCTCAACTCCGCCCTCACATCATGCGCATGTTCCGATTCACTAGCAGATGTATCACTCGTGCTCGTACTAGAGCTCGACTCCGTATCCACCGTCACCCTTCGTTCCGTAATTCCGCCCTGTTCCGAAACGTTCAAGTTTTTCGCTTTCAGCAATATCCTCCCTCTGAGTTCCTCGGGACTCGGCAGTTCCGTGATGGCTGGCCGTCCGCTAGGAGGTGCACTGACAAGCGTGTCGCCAAACACGGTGCGCATGATGCTTGCCACGAGATCTTGCTGTACTAGCGAACAGTGGACTTCTGCGGAGATGATGACGGGATACGGGGAGGCAACAAATGCATATTTCGCAATTGCTTGGCAGATGTCTCGCAGAGGTACTCTGGAGGTTAAGGTTTTACCATGATAGATGACAGGCTCGTACTCGCCGTCGTAAATATCAACTGGAATGAACAACATCAGCGTCAAGAAGTACATGTCTAGTGAAAAAGTCTGAACGTACTCTCGACACTCCGACAGCTGTGAAGCAACGCCCTAATGTAGCCCTCAATCGTGCTAACACCTACCAGCTGATGTCCAACCAAATAGGTATTATGCGAAGACGAGATGAAGTACTCTGGCAGAGGTCGCGTCATATCCTGCCAAATCTTGCCATTCTGATCTGAGAAAGCCGAGTTGTCTGTTGACAAAAGGAAGTTTGTGAATGCTTCCAAAGACATAGTAAGTTCGGACAGCTCTGGTGGTGTTACTTCGGCCTTTGATGCGGTTGAAGTAGTTTTGGTCGAGCCTTGTCGGTCCGACGTTGCTTCTGGAGGTGCGTGGAGAGGATTAGCAGGAGCTGATGTTGGTGTCTCTCCATCTGTGGCGATCGGTACGGAAGCCGGAGTGGCTTGGGTGTCGGGCGGACATGCATTCGAAGGAAGTGAGGGTTCGGATGGAGGCGGTGTTGGCGGGAGCTCTATCTTCGCACTCAATCTTGTAGTGGAAGGCACGTCAGCATACTTCCTGAACAGAGTCTCTAACTCTTCCTGGCTCAATTTTGCCTTGAATAAAAACACGACGATCCCACAAGTCAGAACAAACATGAGCATGTCACAACAAAGTGAATCATACCTGTTGAAACTCTCGCATAAAGCTCTCAAACACTATAAAGTCAAAAACACCTTCCCCCGACAATTTCTTGTACAACCTCGTCAACTCGGGACGGTCTTTCAGAAGCTTGACAAACTGCCTAAAATCCTCAAAGTCAAGATATCCTCGCTGCTTTGAGTCCGCCTCCATGAACCGACGCATTAAGTCGCCTTTTGAGAAATTCAGATTTAGCCGACGACACAACTTCTCCACTTCGTCGAATACAAGTCTATCATCGCGCTGCTCGTCTGCGCCTCTCCAATATCGTTTTTCCCAAACGCTCTGTCGAGCTTCAACGTGTCCTAATCCGCTCATCAATTCCTGACGTACAGCATGCAAAGCACGTAGCATGCGGTCCCACATGACGAAGACGTCCGGAGTCGTAGCAATAGCATGCAAGGTTTTGTACTTCCCATCAGCAATATACACGATTGTAAGCCACCTCGCCTCATACTCTGCTGAAAGTTGGAATTGTTCTCGATAGTACCTTGCATCCGCACCCGAGCGAATCTCTTTAATGTTCTCAATCGGTACTGTGTTCGCAAATCCAAATTAGTATGAGGACGATTCGGTGAAGAGATGCTTATATGCACGTACTTATTCCTGATTTCTTTGATTCCCAAAGGACATACCCTTGGTCTGGATCGATACGGAATTGCACGGTTTTCTTTTTCTTTGCGGAGACCTTGGTCATTGGAGTGCCTTCCTGCAAGAGTAGAGGTACTTTGACGTCTACGTGAATTCCGTCATTATCCATCTTCGACTTACTCTTCGGCGTCGGTGGCGTTGGGTCAGTGGGTGATGCTACAGTTGAAGCGAAAGAAAGGAGGCGTTGAGCAATATAGAACGTAAATGTGAAGACAAGGGCTAACACCCTTTCCGTGTGATTTAATATGAGTATTCACCTTCGCTGATCTCCGGCGATAATAGCTCTGGCAGTGCTGCAGACGTAAACGTAACGCTGCGGCGAAGTTGTTGCACTTCTCCAGAGTCCGCAGTAACAGCAGCACCGAGAGAAAGACCGGCTCGCAAAGTAGAAGCAGAACCTAGGTTCTCAGATAGACTACGTCCGTGTCGCGTCCCTTGGCTTTTGTCCTTCCCGGCGACGGGTATAAAGTTAAGGCCACCCCTCCGTCTACTTGAAAGACTCCTCTTAATCGCAAGTCCCGAATTCTTGACCTCGGTTAGTGTCCTCTTCAACGAGGCGCCGAATGTCACGCTCCTGGTGAGTGTCGGCGCGCTCGCAGTCTCGCGCGTGTCGAGACCAGTGTTTATAGGGAAAGACGCGGAAGAAGCAGAGAGGACTTGCTGCAAAGCAGGTGTGGCTTCACCAGACGGCGTGAGCAGGTTGCCTGCACGCTTCAGACGCGTTCCTGGGGCGGGACCTAAAGAATGTTGTCTCGGCGCAGAACCAGGGGCTGAAGCTCTTGGGGCTGAATTCAATGAATTGGCTTGAGTAAGTCTTGGACTTGGAAGCATCCGCTCGCCGTCACGTTCTCCATTATTGCCGTAGACGGCACTGGCACTCGTCATCGCCGTGATGTACTAGCACTAGCACGCCGTCGTCGTCGTGTGGGTCGCGACACCGTGGCGTGGAGATTGGTTGGTGACAGAGAGCAGGCCACAAGCTAAAACGAGAGCGGGGGCAAAGTACAACTATTCTGTATTTAGTGTTCAGTCAGATATCAAAACGCCGGCAATTAGCTATATGACTCCGACTTCGCTTGTGTTTGAGCGTCCACGGCACAATTCGTGCAGAGCCTTGCTAATGCTATACTCTCCTATCAGGTCGCTTCATGCATAACCCGTTGTGCTAAGAGAACTATATCGACTTTCGAAGGGGGAAGACATAGATAGTGCCTGGCTATCTATGGCCACAAAAATATCTTCATTCCGAAACCCCCAAACGGAGGACAAACATGCGTAAGTTTCGTGCTTCCAAAGACAGTCTTATATATCAACGCAATATTATTCGAGTAGAAACGGTAAGGCGAAGGTATACTACAGTTTCTCTCCATACAACAATCAAACAGAGTCCAGTCAAAGTTTAGGGAGGGGCGGGGGTCAGGACAAAATGAACTAATGAACTACGCCGTCATAAGCTTTCACGCCTCAATCAAAGTCTTCTCATTCTCCTCGGCCACGGCCGGCTTCGCCTCAAGAGTACGGCTCCCCTCAAGCACCGCGTCTTGCACATCGGCAGGATTACGCGCCCAATCTTCCCTGTACTGCCACAGTTTCTTCACCTCACCACGTGCCAGAGCACGCAGAAGAACCAAGGCACTCATGAGCGGCGGTGCAATGTACAGCACAAACAAACCTGCAGACTCTGCCTCGCAGTCAATGTAGCCCGTAACCTTGAGTGCAGCCACGATGGCATACGAAATGAGCCAGCCCCACATTGCAGTGTGGAAATAAGGCTTCTTGAAGCGTGGGTATGGCTGCGAGGACGTTGCGAAGCGTGAATAGGGATAGGAAAGACGTGTTCCCGGTACTGCTGCCGCGTTATGGACTGCGACTTGGATATCTGGAGGCCCTACAAGTACTTCATCCGGGCGCGCAAATGCATGATCCACGCGATAACAGAACGCAATGAGATGGAAGTGTCCAGTAGTCACAAACATCGAAATAATCAGTCCAGACCAATTCGTGCCGCCAACATGTGATGTGAAGCGTAGAAGGCGGATCGGCCATTGGTCTTCGAATGAACGGTTGTTGAAGACAAGTAAACAAGTCAGAAGAATCTAGACAAACAAATTGAGTGAAGTCCAGTCCCCAATTTGTGTCTTCTAAAGCTTACCATAATGAAGCTACTAATTAAAATGTCCCTGTAAGCTACCTTCTTGTTACAGAGAGCGTTGGAAACCATGAAATGGATGAACGACGCAAAGAGAATCGCGGAGCAAATGGAATCATGAACCCAGAGAGCACCAATGGATAGCAGTATCGACGACAGGACAACTGTGGCTGTTAGCCAGCGTGGACGACGAATTCGCTGCCTATCACATCTGACAGGAACCCAGAATGGTACTATGCACATATGTGAGCTAAAATGCACGGAAAAAAGAGAGGTATTGTGGAACTAACCGCCTCTGGTGTCCCGTAGAACAGCCCTGTCTTTCAGCCCCGGTAGCAGATACAACATCTAAGAGAAAAGATGAATGCCAGACGTCAATTTTACAAAAGGAGGATTTTACCCTAGCAAGCAGCAAGATCCCGGGAAGGAATAGTGTTACTGCATAATAGGACATCGTCCAATCAATCTGGCCAAAGGTTGAGTTGTAATACCAAATATATCCTGGATCCGATTCAGAATCATCTCCGACTTCAGGAGCATAGGTATCATTGTCATCTCCATCCCGAGAACGGTTCAGCATTCCCTTGAGAGCAACAAACTGCTCAAATGCTGTAATTGCGAGCAGAACCAGAAGGATGCAGACATGACCGATCCGCATGCGTCGAGCCTCTTTCTTGACCGCAGCGCGTGTGGCAACGATTTCAGCCTGGTGCTCAGCGCTGATGCTCAGCTCGCAGTCATCCGAGGGGACCTCTTTCTCATGGTGAGGGAGCTGCTTCACAGCATGCCAAAGCTGTATGAACGTCGAGGACAACAGAACTCCTCAACGCGTGATAAACATTAAAGATAAGCAACCTCCTCGCACCTTCAAAAACGCGCCACTTTCAAAAGCATAAATAATGAGAGTGGGCAGCACGACGGGTGCGTAGCTCTTAAGCTCGTTGACAAAATTGTTGATGAAGTCCGGCGGGTCTGTAGGGAGATCCATAGTGATGATGGTGGATGGAGATGAACAGCAGGTACCTGTGCTCCGTCACCAGACCGTCACATTGCCGGCTTTCCTTTCTTAGACTTTGTGATCAGCGATCATATTAGTCAGTCGGTATTTGATCCTTTTACTCATTTCCTTTCACGAGTCACGACCGTGCACTTGCGTTGTCGATGAAGTCTACTAGTACCTCAGGTCAAAATTACTGACTTCGTCATACTCTAGCAGCTCTTTACACAAAAGGAATTTTTGCCTCGTCTTTATCTAGGATATCTGGGGCTATGCCTGCTTCTAGTTCAATTCTATTCTAACAAAATGGCGAGCCAATTTCCCTCTGACATGTCATTTGTAGCAATTTTAGTCCTCAATAGTTTGAAAAAGATGACATTACTGATATTACTAGGCATAAAAGGAATAGTTGTTTGGAATGGATGCCGATGTTGCGTACCTTCTATAATATTCTAAAACAATATATTCCAGCACTTCTTCTAATAAGAACTATTGATTATAGGAATCTTATATACATATGATAACCATCCAAGGAAATTAGATAACTTTCCCCCATCACACCAAGGGACGCATGAATTCCGGAATCAGCTATTAATTCATCCATAATATCATTTGCAGAACAGAACAGCACCCTAAACTCCTCTATCCAAAATAATTCAGAGATTTCACAGTAACTTCAAATACAGATTTAAAGCACTTCACAAGGTGTTGAGAGGGAAAACTTAAGGGGGGCATGCATAGACAAGGGGTGAGGTAACAATTGACTGCTCAGTGTCTCTTGTCCTTATATTGTATGTATTCTAACTGAGACATTATAAAGTCATTGTCTTGTGGTTTGTCTGTTGATGAACTAATCATCTTATAATACTCCCCTTCAAACTCTTACTAGTCTGAGTAAACTGGTAAGATGTTTGACTTGTGGTACATGTAGTGCTTTAGTTAATATATCTGCTCATTGATTGTTTGTCTGTATGTATTTTGCATTTATGTACTCTAACTCAATGTAGCATTTAATAAAATCTTTCTTATGATCTAAATGCTTTGTTTGTTCTGAATATTTGAGTTTGTCTGATGTAACTGTTTGTATAACAGTATTGTTATTACAATAGATATTAATTAGTGTATCAGAGACCTGCAGAATCTCTTCAGCTAAATGAGTAAGTGTGATTGCTTCCTGTGTTCCTCTTACAAGAGCTATTAATTCAGCTTCATATGTCAAATTTGCCACCAGTGTTTGTCTTTTACTTGACCACAAAACTAATGAATTACT